TCATTTTACATAATTTTATCGAATAGAATAATTCAGAAAAAATTTATTCGTGATTTTGAGGTTTTTATTTCTGTTTTTTTTTGTTTTTAAGGGTACACATACAATGCAAATCTCATCTAACAAGTCATCAACAGCAAATTCTACAAAAGAGTTCGATTCCGAGATAAATGAACGATTAAACAACACTTTAATTTCTTCAACATCTAATGAAGTAAAAGAAATTCCTAAAATCTCCTTCAGTGTTACCAAACAAAAAACAACAAAAGTTGTTTCACAAAATAAATTACTCGGCAAAAGAGATCGAGATGAAGATGAGGAGGAGGATGACCAAAGCAGAAAAAGAGGAATCCTTCATCTGGAAAATGGCGTACCTGTTGAGTGAGTTTATTCTTTAAATTGGGGTGATAATTTAGTTCGGATTTGCAAACTTAGCCCAAAACTTTTGTTAATAAAATTTTAGAGATTGTTTTTGATAAGTAATTGAATTTTTTCTAAACGTGTCAAATTGTTTTTAAAACCTTGTGTATTATATTTATAAAATTTTATAGGTCAGGTGTACCTCGAAAAAAGGAAAAGATCTTCGTCATTCCTGTATTACGACTTTCAAATCAGGCTCAGATCGATAGGCTAAAGAAGTTAGTAGAAGAAGGAACTGCTTCTGAACAAGATTTGGCTCGATTGGCATTGCTTAGTGAATCTGTTGGTGATAATTCTGACGAGATTCAGATTCAACAATTTGAAGGGGTTTGTTTCTTTTACTCTGTCTAAAATAATATCTAAACTTTTTAGAAACATACTTTATTGCCAGCTTCTCATAGCGGAATGCCCACTATTGTCTTACCGGACGATGCTGATCCAGATTATGAGAGTATGCCCGTAGGTGAATTCGGTCTCGCATTTCTACGTGGTTGTGGATGGAAAAATGAGAGTTCGGCGATTGGAAGAACAAATGCGCAGGCTGTGCCTATGCACTTGAGCAAATCGAGACCTAAAGTATTTTTTTGATAATAATAAAATTTAATTATTTTTATTTTCATTTTTTGATTCATTTTTTAAACAATTTAGGGTTTGGGTCTTGGGGCTGCCGTTCCATCAACTGCTCTTGAAATTAATGCTTCTGGAAATGATAAATTGTCGAAAAATGGTACAAGTGATGAAAAGAATGTTTCGAGAACTCTTTGCAAGAATTCATTTGTTAGATGTTTAGGTAGTTTTGTATATTTTTATTTTTAAAAATTGCAAACGGATCCTGAAGAAAAGAATGGTTTTTAAATATGCAGACTAAAAATATCTCAATAATTAAAATTTTCATGTTCTTGCACATCCCCTAAATTAATATTGAAAATGCCAGTGTTGGCTAATAAAAGTTTCTGATTTGTCAAAAATTTTCCGAATTAAATAATCTTATCATTCGACAAAACTCGATAACCTCTTTTATTATTTTCACATTTGAAAATTTTACTTATATAACAATAAGTATCTAATTTTTGTATTTAAAAACACATTTCCTAAATTCGTAAACTTTTAAATGTTTGAGCAATTAAATTTAAATATTTAATTTTTCTCTTTTTTAAGCTGGTATGAATAAAAATGTTTATGGCCAAGTAACAAGTTTGGATGTTGAAAACAGCAGTGTTTTTATTGAAATTGCTTGGCCTCCTGATCGTATGGGCAAAATTATTCGTGTTAGTCAATTTTCTGTGGAATTGGTCTCGGCAAACGATTTTAAACAAAAATTAAATGATTCAAATAGAATTAAAACAGAAAATGGGGCTAAGAAGACACGATATAGATGAAAAAGGATGTGAATATACTTTAACTTTGAAACCTCTAAAAACTTTGATTTTGAAATGAAACTTTTATTTCTGTCATTTTCTGTGAAAAATTTAATGGATAAACAAATATAAATCAAGTCTATTTTGCATTATACAAAATTTAAGATGGAATTCTCAAATTAATTTTAAACGAAAAATTTTATCCAATTATTTATGGAGAAATATTTCTCACAAAATACATTTAAAATATAGGTAAATCTTAATTGGTTGCTAATCAGTCATTTATAAGGTATTTTGATAAAAATGCTTGCAAACTTCAAAACAATTTTTACATATTATAAAAAATTACCAAAATGTGCAAGTTATAGTTGGAATGTTTAAAGAGGGCTTTTTTAAAATTATTTTTTTGTAAATGAGTGGGAAGGAGAGGAGATTTTTTTGTTTATAATCACATTTGCATTACTTTCCGTCCATCCTTCTTTGAGACAGAATTTAAAGGTTCACCTTCTAAGTAAGGATTGTAGCGGCTGTATGATTGATGTTTATTTTGTTGGGGAGCGATAGAACGTTTGCGTCGCCGAGGCTCCTGAAGAGTGGAAGAAAAAATATTTGTTAATTCTATTTTTATTATACCTCAGCCCTAGTAACATGGAATTTCTTTGCAATCATCCTTGAAAAGGATAAAAGTATAGAAAAGCTATGAAGGTTACGACTTACGATTTGTGGAGTCCATTTTTGGCCAAGACCTGTTCTAAGTCTTGTTCATATTGCTCAGAATTGCTTTTTGTTTGACAACTGCAAAATAGAAATAATTTTTAAGAAATTATATTTTTGTTTGAAATTCTTTATATTACTTAAACATGTGTTCTTGGTCACAAAGGCATTGCTGATTGGCCTGGTAGCTACGTGAAAAATCAGCGGTGTTATCAAACTCCTCCAAACATCCATCTCGACTGGAGTAGCCTACAGGGCAGGGATTTGGAGGATCACAATATGCTGGCAAAACATTGTCACTTTTAATCTCTTGGCGGTGTGAAAATTCAGATTCTGGGTGGAGTTGTTGGTCTCCTTCACCGGCACCTCCTAATTATTTACAGTAAATTTATTAAAAGAAATAATTTACAATAATTCACACCTGTCATAAATTTATGACCAAATGCAATTGGCCCGGAAGCACTTTCAATGTCACGGGAAATCAAGTCGATAAATTGTGAATCCGGAAATATCTAATTAAAAAGTTTGTGTAACTTCAATGGATGATTAAAATTTTTTTATTGATTTTTAAATCCTACAGGTTCCCCAAATTCAGGCATTTGTTGGCCACCTGCTATGGCACCACATACGAACAAGGCAACACCAAAAAGCTCCACTAACATTTTGCAGTACAATGAAGAAAGGGGGAATGAAAATGAGGGAATTGAACGGAATGCGAAATGGCTAGGCAAACGACTGCCTTTAAAGGCGTGGAAATACGTCCTAGTTTGAAGGCACACGCTCGGCTGGCACAAATCAATAATGCCAGCGGCCATAGAACAAAAAAGATGTTATATATTGTATTTCATGAAAAAAACTGAGGAAATATATTTGAATTTTTAGAGTTGAGAACAAATGAAGAAATATTTAGTTACGTGTGCCTTGTATATGTGCCTTTTTATTCAAAATATAAAATCTGCGCTCTCCATAAAATGTAAATTGTTACTACCATAATATATCTATTAAGTTAGAAAAAAAGGGATTAATTTTTTAAATTATAGAAATATATACAAAAAATATTTATAAAGTAATATTTTTATATTTAAACTAAAACAGTCAATTCCTCCAAATTTTCATTTAAAACCAATTTATTTACAAAAACACTTCCATTTCTATGTCTCTTTAATGGTTTCTTCATCTGAACAAGTAATAATGTTGGTTCATCAGAATCCATATCAGAATTATTAAAATAATGCCGAAAATTTCTTTTACATTCACGAGAATTTAAATTGAAGAGTGAACCTTTAAATAAAATATTTATTTTTTAAATAATCAAAAAAAATTTTTATTTTCACCTAATGTCCACCAACAATCACACGTTAATGAAATAACCATTATTAAAATGCTTGCAACTAAACAGCAAAGAATTATTCCAATGAGTAAAACTCCCCCAATAGTAATTGAACGAATCTAGAGAATTTTAATTTATTTTTAGATTTTAAAAAATTTACATTTATTTTTGATTTAAAGATATTACAAATTCTTTTTTTTTCGATTCCTTAAAATCGGAAATTTATTTCCGTTGTCAAGATCTGTGATAAGTACCTACTAAAGAAAATAATCTCCGCAAGTTTAAACCTACCATTTAGATTTGTTCCTCTTCTAATATATTTAGTAGTAGCATTAAAGACTTCACAACAAGAAGCATCAAAGCATTATTTTATTTCAAGATTATTTTTTTTATTGGACGAATTTAAAGTTAAAATTATTTTTGTTTAAAAATTAATATTATTAACAAAAATTAGAAAAACTTTTAAAAAATCCATAATAACAAAAAATTCCTTTTTTATTCACCAAACGAGTAAATGAAATGAGAGATGGCACTTGTGGAATGACCGTTAAAAACTTTTATTAGTTTAGACGGCTTTCTCTCTTTTCCCAATTTTTTTTAGAAGAAAAAGGTTATTTTTTAATTAAAAATTATTTATTTAGAAAAACAAAAACTTTTATTTCTTTTGTTAAAAATTTGGTTGACTGGAATTTACGAAGAAAATAAAATTGACTTAAATTTTTCTTTGGATTTGTTTACATAATTAAATATTAGCCTAAACAAATTAATAATTTACTAATTAACTTAGTCTTTAACTTGACTCAATAAACTTGTTACCCTCAATAAATTAAACTTGCTTATATCAAAATTTAGAGAATTCTTTTATAGACTTCCAATTAACCTATTTAAATATTTAAAAAAAAATAAACAAAAAACAATTTTAAAATAACCCGTTTATTTCTTTTTTTTTTGTAAATCTGTAAATTGGAAATGCATTGCATAATGATAAAATTAAAAAAAAGAATGGACAAAAAATGAGATAATTTTAATTAAATTACAAAAGATTTAAAAAAATAATTAAAAAACTTTTTTGTCCATTAACTTATGGCAATGCTTTTAAAAAATATATTTTCGAGTACTAAATAAATAAAAAATTAAAAATATGTTTGTTTGTGCTTAGAAAATGTTAATTTGTTTAATTATCAAACGATATGAATATTTGGTGGTTCACTATGTCTATCAAATTGTTTTTGTTGTTCTCCTCTTTTATTTTCAATATCTGATTGTTGAATATTCTTTAAAAAATAATTTAAAGAAAAATAATTTTTATTAAAAAAAAACTTTTTCATTTGAAGTGTTTCTGTCAAGTAAAACAACTTTAATAGCCGAATCTCGAATTGATTGTTGATTGCTGGTACTTACAGGGGACCGCGGAGGATTATTTTGACGCATACATTGAGAAATTGAAGTAACTGTTAACTAGAAAAATTGAATTAAAATTCCATAAATATTCAATTATTACTTGAATTTTTACAAAAAAAAATTAATCTCAAAATGAGTAAAAATATTAAATATATGCAGTATACAATATATATTCAATAAATTAAAAAAAAAACAAAAATTAACTTGTTCATCAGCTTCAGGCACAACACTCAACTTTTTCGAATTAGAGCGCATTTCGGCATTTAATTTCGAAGCAATAAATCCATTCGAACGATTTGTAGGTATTGAACGTGATCGAACTAATAAAGAATTAATTACTGCATTTGGACGGCGATTTTGTGTTTGGGAAGAGTTGGAGTCTTGTTTTGAATTATTTTTATTTTCATTTTCGTTGGTAAAATCTTTTTTGTCATCGGCACCCAATAAATCTTCACTGGCACGAGAAACAGGGGAAGAACTTTAAAAAGTATTGAAAAATTTTTTAAATAAATTAAAAACCTTTGTTTTGTTCCACTTATTAAATTAACCATTCGATCTGGACATGTTGCTAGAGCAAAAAGCCTATTTATTAAATATTAAGTAAAGAAAAATTAAAAAGAAATTTTAAAAGAATTACCAAGCAAAGAATAAAAAACAACATAATAAAACAATTAAAATAATAGCCAATAATTCATTCATTACAATATTTACATTATAAAAACTTTAAATTTAAATTAAATTTAAAACATACAAAAAAGGGTAGTATAAATCCCATGACTTAAAATAACAATAAAAAGCATCGAAATAATGGAAGGCACGACTGTCAATAAAAGAAAAAGCTGGTCAATAATTAAAGAATAATTTAAAAAACATAATGCCAAATTAAATAAAATTTTTAAATATTTTAAAGTAAAACCAGACAGGTCAAGTTTAATTTCTCTTTCATGATTTTGGGGTTTTGGACTCGAACCTGGCGAAACATTTTTTATCCCTACTTCTTATTGACGATTAAATAATGTAACAAATTACACTAATAACATTTTTACCAACAAATGTGTTAATAAATGTAAAAATATATTAAATCAATTCCTAATCTCTCTCTCTTGAATGATAACGAGTAATAAATAATTCCTCTATTTTCCACTTTTCTCACAAAAATAACCACACCATTTTGTTGTAAATAATATGTACATCTGTACTAAAAAATAAATAAAGGACTAAAAAGGAATTTGCAAAATTAAAAAAAATATTTTCAATAATATTTATCTATCGACAACTTTTTCTCTCACTCCGACCGACCTAATTTTTCTAAATAATAACATTCTCGCCTTTAATCGGGAATATACAAAACATATGTATTTTCAGCCACTATCTACTAAATATTTAATATAAACAACTTTTTTTTTCAAAATTTTCTATTTTTTAACTCACTGTAAACTTGAGATAATTCCATATGGAAATTATTCAAATAATTTAACCTTTTATTAATTAATATAATTTATTATTTTTTTGCTTATCTTCACGAGAATTTTATTAAAAATAATATAATATTTTATCAAAATATGTACATTCTCTCGAATATTTTACTATTTATTCCCTAAATTCCAACCGATTTGGTGCGCACTTTTTCCTCCTTCCTTTAATCTTTTATTTATTCTTCCAACAACGATGAGTGTACACATTCAACAAAAAGTAGTTATATATATTTTGATTCTACACATTTTTATATTTTTATTGATTGTTTGAAAGGAAATTTTCAGACTTTTCTTTTGTACAAACAACAATTTTTAACTCTTCAATTTTATGATTATTCTTTAGGCAGTTAGGAAATTTGTTAATTAAAAATGAACGAATTAATAATTCCACCCATATTAAATCAAAACCTCCCGAGTAGGAGGACAAAAGATCAAATTTATAAAAAAATAAACTTAAAAAAATTTATAAGTTAACCCTGTTTACCTACACGTAGAAAACCTCAAAATAACGACGACAGTGTTTTGAAGGATATCATTATTGCTCCTGAAATCTCGTATTTTTTTCGGGACAATAAAAAGCTTAATATCTAAAAATAAACAAAAAACGGAAGAAGAAACTTACGTAAAAACAATATTTTAATTTTTAATGTTTTGATCTTCGTGTTTGTGTTCTTGAAAGGATTTAAATTTCAATTTTTTCATAAAAGAATACTTAAAAATCTTTTTACTTCTATTAAATAAAGTATTTATTTAAATTTTAAGTTTGGTAAATAAGTAAAATTAAATAAATAATTTTGTAGTGGAACGACACATCAAATTGCTAATTTATTTAAAAATAATTTTATTGTTTTTATAAAAAAATTAAAAAAATATTTTTAAAAGTCAAGTTTTGATTAATATAAGCTTTATTGTATACCTAATTTCATAATTTAAATGATTAATTAAATTAAATTGTTTTTAAATAAACGTCAATTTTTATTTTTCTCCACTTCAATTCCTTCTTATAACAATAATATTTACAATTTTTATAAAGCAATTATTTTTGTCATTTTTTTATCATCATTTCTTTTATTAATTCCCACTTTTCCAGCAATTTTTCTTTTTTAATTTTTTGTTTGTTTTGTTCCTATTGACAATTTTTAATATAAAACACGTTTTTTTGTGACAATTTTTAATTAAAAATAATTTTATATAAATTTAGAATTTTTATTTTAGAAATTTAAAGAAAAATAAAAGAAAATGTCAAAAGATTTAAATGATTACGAATTAGAATATAGATCAACAATACAGCCTAGAGCTACACATACAACACAAAGTAGACAATCAACAACAACAACTTCTGGTGGAGGCGGGGGAGGAGGTAAATTAAATTAAAAATATTCTAGTTAAATTAACAAAAATATTTATATTGACTTGAATACCTTTATTCATTCATCATATATCGGTTTTTGTAATGGTTGATAAAGATTATCCTTTAAATAAGTATTGGAATTAAATTTTAAAAATATATAAAATTTACCCATTTTCAAAATAATTTTTAATTTATTATTTTTTAATATTAAAATTCCATTTAATTTTTTTTGTTCCAATTTTGTATTGTTGCCGATAAAAACAAAATAGGAACTTCCCTTCCCTTTTACTAATTAATAAATCATTCAAATCATTTATTAATTTTATACCAAACACTCCCTCCACATTTAAAAGCAATGTGTTATGAATCAATTGGCAAGTCTATGTATGTATATCTTTAACGTCAACTTTAATTTTATTTTTGGAGTGATTCAGCGCAGAATTACTTCTCTTGTCTATTTCTTCATTATTTTTACTTTAAATATTCTTCTCCTTCTTCTTTTTCTATTTAATCAACACAAAATTCCTTTCCAATCAGCTGCACACCCACAAACCTCCATCAAGTTTTCTTCTTCTTTAATTTTAATTAGTCGTCTTCTTATCATTTAAAACTTCTTTTTATAGTCGCCTAGAATGCGCAAATTGTATATAATAAAAATAAATAAAAATAAATAAATATATTTTGTAAATCTTCAAAGATGACCTCGACGAGCTTTTTTTCTCAAAAAAAACTTTCAATTTTTTTCAATTTTATCTAATTACTTTTTTATTTATTTGTCCTCGAATAGATTACGTGAATACTTTCAATTATTTTTTTTCTATTCAATTTTTTTAAAATTAATTTTTAAAGCAAAATTCTTTCTTCTTCCCCTTTCTTTTTCACCAATTAATATATAAAAATTCTTTTTAATTTAACTAGTTTTCATTTCTTTTAAATTATTTCCTTTTCCAATTTTCACTTTCAAATATTTTTAAGAATTTTTAATAAAAATAAAATATGGTTGAAATTAAAAGAGTAGGCTCTTCTACTTCAATAGTTTCTAATTCTGTTGTTGATGGGATAACACAGAATGGTACTTCTGGAGGAGGTATTTTTTGGAAAATTAGAAGGGGGAATTAAATTTAATAGAGAGAAAAAGCCTCTTCCTCCTAGTCTAAAATATTTTATTTTTTATGTGGTGGTCGAATACTCAAAATGGTAACAGAAATGGGGTCGGCACCGGCAGTTGGAGGTATTAGCCCGGCATTGAGTGCAAGTGCCGCGAAATCTTTTTTGGAAGCTACTGATAAAGAAAAGAAGGAAATGCAGAATTTAAACGATCGTTTAGCTAATTATATCGATAGAGTTAAAAATCTTGAAGAACAAAATCGAAAATTAGTACAAGATTTGGAAGATCTTCGTGGACAATGGGGAAAGGATACTAGTGAAGTTAAGGTAGGATGAAAAAGTTTTTAAAGGGGGCTTATTATTTGTTAATTAAATTTAGTCATTTTTCTGGAAAATAATCCATGGATTAAAAAATAATTATTAAACAATTTTAAAGATTGTTTTAAGAAAGTTTTATTTATATGTATATAGAGAGATAATGTTTGTTTTTGGGATAATTTAACTAAAGCTAAAAACTTGAAAATAATTTTAAATAGGTAAGGTATTCAACAACTCTTTCAACTGCTCGGAAAGATATTGACCAAGCAGCACGTGATAAAGCTGCACTAGATGTTAAAGTTGCTCGTTTACGTGATGATTTAAATGAATATCGTAATCGGTAAAAGAAAAAAAAATAAATTAATTAAAAAATACATAATTTTCTTCCTTTCCTTCAAAGTTTTGAGGATATTCAGCGCCGTCGAGAAGGGGATCGAGAACATATAATTCAATTTACTAATATGATAGCTGATGCTCAAAGTGAATTGGAAATGCTTAGAGCCCGTTGGAAACAATTAACTGACGAAGAGAAACGTTTTACTGGAGATAATGCTCGTCTTTGGGATGATTTAACTAAAGCTAGAAATGTTTAGAAAATATATTTGGGAATTAATAATTTATTTTTAATTTTCTAGGATTTGGATGAAGAAACACTTGGACGTATTGACTTCCAAAATCAAGTCCAAACTTTATTAGAAGAATTGGAGGTAAAGAGAGAATGAAATAAAGGGACTTTAATATTTCCTTTATTTCAAGTTCCTTCGTCGTGTACATGAACAAGAAGTTAAAGAATTACAAGCACTTTTGGCACAAGCACCGGCAGATACACGCGAATTCTTTAAAAATGAATTGGCTTTGGCTATTCGAGATATTAAAGATGAATATGATTATATTGCTAAACAAGGACGTCAAGATATGGAAAGTTGGTATAAATTGAAGGTAATTGAAAGAGGGAAAGTAATGAAGTAAAATAAATAATTAAATATGTAGGTGTCAGAAGTTCAAGGAAATGCTAATCGTGCACTTATGGAATCTAATTACCAACGAGAAGAGGTAAAACGAATGCGTGACAATATTGGAGATTTACGTGGAAAGTTTGGAGATTTGGAAAATAAAAATTCTCAATTAGAAAAGGAAGTACAAACATTAAATTATCAATTAACTGATGATCAACGACAGTAAGAGAAAAAATTAAAAAAAATTTTTTTAATTTAAATAAATAAAGGTATGAACAAGCTTTGAATGAGAGAGATGCAACTTTACGTCGTCTAAAAGATGAATGTCAACAATTAGTTGCTGAATTACAATCATTATTAGATACAAAACAAATGTTAGATGCTGAAATTGCTATTTATAGAAAAATGTTGGAAGGAGAAGAAAGTCGTGTTGGGTTAAGACAAATGGTTGAACAGGTGGGGGAGGGGACTTTAAATGAGGGGGGACTTTTAAATGAATCTTCAATTAAAAAGGTTGTAAAAACTCATTCACTTCAACAACAAGAAGAGACAGATTCAACTCGTAATGTTCGTGGAGAAGTCCAAACAAAAACAACTTTCCAACGTTCTGCTAAAGGAAATATAACAATTGCTGAATGTGAGCCTAATGGAAAATATATAATGCTAGAAAATACACATAAAAGCAAAGTTTTTTTAAAGAAAAGTTTCTTCCCTTAGTTTTTAAAAATTTAGGATGAGGATATTTCTGGTTGTAGACTTAAACGAAGAATGGATGATAAACGTGAAATTAATTATACAATACCTGCAAATATTATTATACCTGCCGGAAGGAATGTTAAGGTATAAATAAAGGGATTGAGAGAAGTTATTCAAAGAGAATTCCCTTTTTTGTTGGCAGTTCTAGGTATTCGGAACCGAAAAAGTCTGAAGGATATAAGAGAGTTTCGGTTTCACTTAAAGTTTTCCTTCTCATATTTGTGTGAAAAAATAATTGCCCTATATTTGTGGAGCCATTCATTTTATTATTTCAGAATTAGCCATCCTAATTTTTATCTTTTAAAGATATGGGCAGCAGGTCAAGGAGGTGTTCACTCTCCTCCACATTCATTAATTATTCATGAGGAAAGTTGGGGTGTTGGACAAAATGTGATAACTGCATTCTTTAACAAAGAAGGGGAAGAAAGAGCAACTCATACACAAAAGACTATCCAAACTGGACAATAAACAAAAAATAAAATTTAAATAAAAAATATTTCAGCAAACTCCTGCCTATTCGCAAAAGATTATTCTCTACTAATTAATATTTTAATCTTTTATTTTATGTAATAATTTCCACAAAAATGTTTGGAGAAAACCTAAAATTAATTTTTAATAATAATTTAGTTAAAATAAAAATTATATTTTTTTTGTTTTTTAAATAAATACTTAATCTTTTTATTTTTTTCAATTATTCAACAGGAAAATAAGGTCGAAATTTAAATAATTGAGGGAAAATTCCTAACAAATAAGTTTCCAAAAATTTTATTTTAAAATTATTGATTGGAAAACAATTTAAAATAGGTATATACCTAATTAAAAGTAAAAGTATTTTAAACTTTTTAAAAAGTAATCTCAATTTTGTTTTACCAATCAATCTACAAAATAATGCATAGTAATAGTATATATAGTACAATAGACAATCGAACTTGTTAAAAAGAAAAAGGGGGACTTTTAAACAAGAAAAGTAGCTAAAAAATATTCTGCTATTTTTAAATAAACATTTTTTTAATTTTTTGTCCTTGCCCATGTAAATGTAAAATTAAAAAAAAAAAAAGAAAGAAAGAGAAAATTGTGAATTTAAAATATTCAGTATTTATTTGAGTTTGACTCACTTCAGAGAACGATAAAAATGAAGAATCAAAATGCGCTCATCACTACCATAATTTTCCTCTTTTCTTTTAAGTTTTTAAACATTATTCAACTCCTTTCAACCAATTATGCTTTAAACATTGACCAGCTGTAGCTCGTTCTGAAGGTCTAAAAAAGCAAAGTTTTTATTTTAATTAATTTAAATATTTACTCGTAATTAAGCATTGGAAGGAGAAATGAGGCAAAAGAACGTGCATGTTCAAATGGCCAGCCATATTTTTGTGTTAGCACCTGAAAAAATTTAATTTTTATATTCATACTCCTCAAAAATGAAGAAAAATAAGAAAGGGATCATAAAAATATATATCAGATCTTTTCTTCAAAATAATAAATTTTTTATTAAAAACCAGTTTAATAAATTCCAATTATTCTGTATTTTGAGGAAATATAAAATCTGATTAATTTTTCTTAAAATATTATAAAAAATCAAAACAAACTTCAACAAGCGACCATGGCTTTAAATTGGGAATATGCAGTAAGCGTCCGTTCTTTAAAAGAGAAGAGTGTTTTAAAACATATAAAAATCAAAATTCCTTTACTTTATGGAAGAATTCACGCCAGTGCTCGCCCTTTTTAAATACAGTTGGCGGAATGCTGCCCAAAAGCTCTATAAAAGCAGAATATACAATCAAAAAAATTAGAAAAAAAATTACCAATAATATGCGCGAGATGATCTTCATCTCGACTATATGTTGTACCACTGTGTGGCTCAAATAAATAATCGCCAGTAGCCAATTCAAATGCCTAAAGATTAAAATATTATAAAAAATTGATAATAAAACTAACCATGCAAGCAATACTCCAAATATCGGCAGCTTGGTTATAACTCTAAAATTTTGTAAATTATTTTTAAAAAAGTTGAAGTTAGAAATCGATTAATAAAACTAATAATTTCAAACATTGACCAAAATCCTCCCGTCAAAAAGAGGATTTGTTAAATTTAATTTTGTTAATTTTTTAAGGATTTTTTTAATAATGCGGTTAACTATTACTTTAGTCTAATACCAAGTTAAATTTCAAAAAATAGAGTTTTATTTGATAAAAATTTTATAATTTTTTCTCAAAATTTTATTCAAACAATTTAAAAAAATACCGCGCCAATAATAACTTCAAGTGCCCGATATTGACGAGTTTGAATGTCTTCAGTGAAGTGATGATGCTAAAAAGTTTTGTAAATTATTTAATCATATTTTCAAATGTACCGTCCAACAAGCATTTCCTAGATCAGCAATTTTTACATCAAAATCCTTTCGAAGAAATTTCCAATTTTGCCCTTCATCTTCATTTTTCTTAAAAATTTTTCATTTTTATTTACAAAAAACATCACAAACTTCCTTTATTGATTGATCATCTTCTAGAATTGCTTCCTCAGATAGAACGGGCTTTATAATTTCTTTACTTTCAAGCTCATTTGATTCATCCATTCTTGCATCTTCCAATTCCTCTAAAGATTGTTTTTGTTTCTTCTTCTTTCGTTTCTTCTTTTTAGTTTTCGTAATTGCTTCATTTTCCTAATTAAAATTTTAAAAAATTACAAATATTCTTAATAAAAAATTCTTTTACTTCAACATCCTTTTGAGGTGATTCAATAATTTCTTCTTTAACTTCAATTTTTGGCATCAACAATTCTCCATTATACAATTGTTTATTTTGTTCTTGTTTGGTATTCACATTTTGTTTTTTGGGATTGTCATTTTTAATTTTTGGATTTATTCCTCCTTCAATTAAATCATCAGTTTCATCCCTATTAATTGGAGGTGATGGGGATTCGTCTCTTTTTTCTTTTTTGGCAGATTCTTGTTGTTGATTTTGTTGCTTGTTTTTTGCATTATTTCCCTTCTTTTTCTTTCCTGTCCTTTTTGGTTCTGTTTCTGGAGGTCCTAAAAATTCGAAAAATAAACAAATCAAACGTCATAAAAAACCTTTCTCCTTATTATTCTCCTGATTAATATTCTCTGGCAGTATTTTATTTCCAACAGAATTTTTCTTAGTTGGCTTTTCTTGTTGTTGCTGTTTATTGTTAGAAATAATATTCCCATTAATTACAGCTTGATTTTCCTCCCTTCTGGAGTCTCCAGCCTCTTCTTCCTTTACTTCCTTTTTAATATCTGCTTTCACTCCTTCCTTTTCATTTTGAGCAAATTGATTTAAATAAATGCGTGGGATTTTGATTTCATCAAAAATTTTGAGATTCGTTGCTTTTTGTTCATTAACAATCTGTTCATCATCATTTGAGTCTTCACTCTTCAATTGAAGTCCGGTTGTTGTTTCACTATTATCCGGGTCACGCTCGGTTGATGAAAAAGCAGAGCTGTTAAGTTGGTCATCGACTGATAGAAATTGCTTTAAAAATAAAATTTAAAAATTTAATAGATTACAAGGGCGTAGCCAAGGGGGGGGCTTCTGGGGCTAAAGCCCCCCCCCCCCCCCCCGAGATGGGAGAAAGGGGAGAAAAATTAGGAGAAGAATTAGCAAAAAGTGAATTTTTTTAGCCTACGGCCTTCATAATTTTAAAAATTTTCGCCTGCGGCGCTGAAAATGGAAGAAAGCTGGCTTATGAGCTCCAAAATTTAAAAAATTTTCGCCTGCGGCGCTGAAAATCAAAATTTTGGCGCCTGCGGCGCCGAAAAAGTGAATTTTTTGGCCTACGGCCTTCTAAAATTAAAAAATTTTCGCCTGCGGCGCTGAAAAAAAAAATAAAATATGGTTCAAAAAAATTTGCGTCCAGAACGCCAAGGTAAACGCCAAAAATTTTGCGCACACCCAGTGTTAGCCCCCCCCCCCCCCCCGAAATCGACCCTCTGGCTACGCCCTTGATAGATTATGAAAAGCTAATAGATTATAACGCCCACTAGTTTTTCAGATACCTCTAAATAAAGACTAAGAGGTCAAAAGTTAATAACATAAAATAAAAAAAATCATACATTTCGACCGGAATCTAGACTATCAATATCAACACTCATTCCCTCAATTTCTTTAAGTTGCTGTTCCAAAAGATTTCGATGGCGTCTTCGCTTCTTTTTTAATTTCTTTTTCTTGCTTTTAGTCATAGATTCCTCCATCTTTAATTAATTTTGATTTTAAAAAATTAAAGAAAAAAACCTTTTTAAAGCACCGTTTTGAACTACAAATTGCACTTCCTGACAAATTTTTGCCTGTCTTTCCTGCCAGTATAGCATCTTCAGCTAACTTTTTAACCTCTTCAGGACTCATTGTTATAAGTACATTCTCCGGCTTAATATCTAAATACAAAAATTTTGAAAAAAATATGAACCAGCTCTCACCCGTATGAATAATCTGGCACTTTTCGTGTAAATAATGAAGTCCTTCAAGAACTTGTTTTATAATCTTTTTAACCATTGGTATTGGCAATCCTTGGTAATCACTTTTAAGAATTAATTTGAGTAAATTACAGCCCAGAACCTAGAAAATAAGAAAAATAACAAATAAAAATTAAAGAAAAAAACCTCAAAAACCATACAGACATGCACTCCATTTACCCCACTAACAGTAAAATGATCTAACAATTGGACAACTCGCTAAAACTTTTAGTTAAAATTTAATTTCAAAATTTCAAAAACCTGCAGTGCCATATCAGAAGGATCTGAATCCCTAACACATTCCAGAAGCTAAATTTAAAAAAAGGTATTAAAGAACAAAATCGGCAATACATATTTAACTTTACAGACAATTTTTCCTCCCAGTTTTTCCTATTTATGTACAGGATTGTCAGATTTTTGGCAATTTGTACGAAAGAAAAGTTTGCCCATTCTGTCCATAAATAGGAAAAAACTTAGGGATGAAAAAATCAGGTCTGTAAAGTTCAAGATTACCAAAAAATATAATATAACCTTAATTTCATCTAGAGCAGCTTCAGTATAATGTTCAGCAGATTTAACAATTTTCATTGCAATAAAACGTTTTGATTCGATATCCCAACTATGGAAAAATATTTAAAAATATGGAAATAAGAAAAAATACCAGAGCCAAACAGTTGAGAAATGTCCCCATCCAAGCTTCCTTATAACGTGATATCTGCCATTCTTGAACACATCACCAATTCTTACAGGGTGGTAACCACCTCTTCGGTAATCTTTTGGATCTTCCTGGAATTTAATTTAAAAAATGTGAATATATCCCGACACAATGTAAATCAAATAAAAAATTAAAAAGCAAAAACCTGTTCTTCATCATCACTCCCTAAAGGTGGCTGATCTTCTTGATCGTTATCCATTGAACCATCAATTAACCCATCATCGCAAGCCCCGTCACCAGACATATTTGCATGGGCATTGTAAGAACTTCCTTCACTGTCCACACCTTGTGGCTGACATTGGTAATCACTAGCTACAATAGTTGATTCGGCTTCTTCTTCAGGCATCCATCGAAGTTTATCCATCTAAATAATAAATATTAGAAACAAAATTTTACAAAAAATATTAAAATGGAAATGAAATTAAGAAAAACTTTTTAAAGAAAAATTAATAAAAAATAAAAAAGAGTTTGCATAAAATTCAATTTGTAACAATCAAAGCGCCAAATTGATTAATTTTTAAATCGAATATTTTACACTTTGACATTTCCCTCAAAATAATTATAATTTAAATATTTATTGGACTGCATAATTTAATTAGAATTCAAGGTAAATTAGAATAAAATTAGTATTTCAAACCCTCCAATTTAAAGCATGCCAATGTTGTTCTCTATCTTCATTTGTAAAATGTTCATCCCCAATTTGGGCAAAATCAAATAGTTCATTATGCCCATTATTTGAAATATCAGAATTCAACTCATTTCCACCTTGCCAGTCCATAAGCAGGTGTTTCCCTCTAAAATTGAGTGATTATATTTTGATAAAACTGATTGAAATATTTTTAATTGAAGCTATCAATAATGCTTCGTTAACACTACTATTTTTTGCTTTTTCTTTTTGCCAGTGTTTCTGGCCAAAAGAAATATGTAGTAATAGCCGAAAAAGAGACATAAAGCATGGGACATGCATGTACAATTTTGCAATAATAGAAGGAATCGATTATTCACACACTAACTATTACACTCACAAACTCAGTCATACCTCACTGGCGAATTTTTTTATATGTATTTGCTTTCTATTTTATTTTAAAGTGAGTTACTACTATCGTCAAATGCTGTTAGAAGAAAGTAATGTTGAGGCGAATTAAAGAGGCGACTATTAGAGTATAGTCTAAATTGACAATAATAGGCTGATAGAAATTAAAAAAGATGAAAAAATTGTGACTCTAAAAGAAACGCCGATTTAATCAATAAAAATCACGTATAATCACTTAAATTGCATATTAAGTGTAAGCAGAAGGAATTCATTAAGTTATTTTTAAATAATTTGATTTTTGTTTGTATCGGAAGGAACATTTCGTAGATCGATACGGTATAATTTGATATGTAACGTCGACTTTCCAAAAAAACTGGAAATTGAATAAAACTTGATAAAAAATTTAATTTCTAAATTTTTGATTAAACCAAGTTGATTGTAAGAGGAAATTAAAATAAAAAAATTACTATTACTAATATTTTTAAAATATTTTAAAAATTAAAAATTGTTTTTCTAATTTTAGATGATTTTCAAAGCAAAATTATCCAGAAAAATATTTTTCTATTTCAACTCCACTTCTTATCACTTTAATTGCCAACTGGGCAATTAAATGGAAAAAACGAAGCTACAATTAGCATTATCAAACAGATGAAATAATGATTGTGTGTCTATATTTAAAGATTTTATTTAAAAAATAATTATTCTAATTTTTATTAATTAAATGTTTATAATTGTTATTAATGCATAAGGATAATTTATTTTGAGTTTTTTAACTTTATAATTCAATTATTTTTTAAACAAATGTTCGGCACTATACGATAATCTTGCTAAAATTTTCGAGCTTTTTTGTAAAATTGATTGGAGTTTTTCTCCAAGATTTGGCTATGCTTATTAGTTTCCCCATAACTCTTGTATTATCAACTATTTCAGAGAAACTTTCGCTGGCTTTACATTAATTCACACAGAAAAGCTCAAATAGAATCATTAGAGAATAATCCCCGTTTCATTCTGATCTTCAATTTAAATATGAACTGAAATTCTTTTAACAAACATTGTTTAGTTTCATAATTTTTTATCATTTTAAAGTAGATAAATTAATTTTTTATAAAAATATCTAATCTTGTTACTATCTAGATTTTCAAAATTAAAAAAAACATAATTTGCCGAATATTGTTTTGATTCAACAATCAAAAATGAAAAAAAGTAAACTTGATTGTCTTTGATTGAAAATTAAAATAAATTATTATTTTCCCATAAGCCCGGGAGGTTTAATATTTTAGAAATTCAACTGTATAAACAAAAATATATTTATTTATTATTGCAAAATGTTTTGAAAACATTTTATATAAATTATATTAAATTCTCTCTTTAATTCATTGACTCTATTACGAAAATTATATTTAAATTTTATATATAATTTTATAGCTTCTCATTAAACACACGTTGCCAAAAATTTATTATAGTTAATTAATTATTTATTGACGTTTTTAAAAATTATTAAGAAATATTTTTTATTTAATTTTTTAAAAATTAAATTATTAAAAAGAATATTTTTTTAAATAAAAGAAATATGTAATATTTTGATTCTTTAAATTTACTTTGGAATTTCTTTTTTAAAGTAATACTTTAATTTATATATCTCATTCAGAATTTGTATTTTTTAAATTGATATTTTCAGATTAAATGAAAATTAGTAAAATATTGCCAACATTAATAATTCAATTTAAATTTAGCTTTTTATTAAATTATTTAAATTAACTCTATATTTAAACAGAAAACGTGAATAAAAACGTGAATAATTAAAACAAATCGATTAGCTTTTTAACACCCTTCTTTCTTCATTTTTTACTTAAATTTTTGGTCTTTATTGGAAATACTCAGAACACATAAAGCCTTCCAATTTAAAAATATTTTTATTTATATGTACAGAAACTAAAGAAATTGGAGATTCTCTTTAGGCTTTTTCTAAAGCTATGTAGTTTTTGAAATTATTTATTTCATTATTCCTTTCTTTTATTTTTCTTGTAAAATATTTCATTGGCAATTTTTTTTAATGTAAAAAAAAAGAAAAATATATTTCTACATAACTTCCGCTCATTCATCTTTCTCTCTTTCACAAGCTTTTTTTAAAAAGCCAGGCAAATAGTTGTTGACAAAGAAAAGGAAGACCCGCGGCATTCCTTTTCGGCATTTTTTGCCACTGTTAACGCTAACATTTTTTATTTCTTTACGGCATTCATTTATTTGTTTGCCACGCTCGCTAATCCCTCTCGCTTAACATCACTAGGCATCTATGGCCTTTTTAGGGGATATGCGTGCGTTCACATCCAATCAATCCCATAAATGGATAGGGAGAGGGGAAAAGGCTAAAAACCTCTAAATATTCCCTTTCAAAAGCTTTAACTCTCAAAAAAGCAATAGAGGGAAACCACTGTTTGTCAGTTAGTTTTTACATTAAATATTTCCAAGTTTTACCATTAATGGCATTTATAGAGAAACGTTGGTTGGATAGTCTTTTTTGTTTGTCAACTTGTCCAATAATAAAAATTTTTGTTATTATTATTTTATGTTTATTTTACATAAAATATATAGTTTATATTCTTAAATATTTACTAGCTTCTAATACCCAAAAAAACTTATTTTTAAATCTGAATATAATCTCATTAAATATTTACAAATTTATTTATTAATTAAATTAGATTAAAAAACATTATTAAGGGGCAACACAACATTTCATAAAAAATATTTTTTATGAAAGCCTCTTTTTGTTATTTTAAAATGTCCAAGAAAAAATTATTTGATTTTTTCTTAACCATTTTTACATTTAATTTACTTTTTGCTGCGCAACTTTGTAATGGATTTATGTCAGCAGAACAACAAAATCGTTTATATTCTGGTAAATATATTTTTTTATTTTAAATATTAAAAAAAAAATAAATTTGTAATTTGGTACTAGTCGACTTTGAATCCTCAAAAAATTAGATGCTCTCTGGTCTGGTTTACTAATCCAATGTTTATTAGTCGATTTAAAGTTTATCAGTCCACTAAATAATAATGATTACTTTAATGCGAATGAAATCATTTTATTTCTGTTTATATATAATAATGAGATTGAATCTTCTAAAGTTAATAATTTTACAAAAATAATTTCAGAAGGAGGTTCTTATTCAACAAAACAAGAAAATGATAGATCTTCAACTGCTGGAATTGCTGAAGAATTAGAAATGGAACAAGAATATGAACAACCAAATTTGTAATTTAATAAAAAATATTTTTAAAACTATTTAATAATTTAAATATATTCACATTTTTTTAAAAGATTTAAGATTTTCTTTACTCTTGAAGAGAAAAAAATTAACAAAATATTTATTTATTTATTTAGATATACAGAATCTTTTCAAGAAGAGCGTCAACGTCAACGTTTGGCTAATATAGTAGATCAACTTCGACAACAAAATGTTTATAATCAACAATATAATGCCGCCCCTTTATTTGAAGAAAACGAGGATAAACGTAACAAAAAATAAATTATTTTAAATTATTTTTTAAAAATTTTCAGCTTTTTTAAATCCTGAAGAGCCCCGATTAAGAAATAGAAATGCTGAAGAAATGGAAGAATTGCGACGACTTGGTATGGAATTAAAGCAAATTAGCGAGGAAAAAATTGGAGAAGAAATGGGAGGAGATTCTGAGGGGACTAGTACTGAAGAAGAAGAAGAGGTAAATAAATTATTTAAATAAATTATTTATAAAAATACAATTTTCCCCGATAATAGTTAAAGAAAGAAAAATAATGGTAACTTAAAAAAGAAGACAAGCTGTAGTATCTTTTTCCTAACAGGCTTGATCAAGTCTGATCATTCATTAAAAAGTTACAACAGATAAATGCATTTGTGTTCTTCACATTTATCGGGTTATAACTTTTAATTATTGACCAGACTTGATTAATCCTGCTAGGAAAATATGACGCTTATTGGGGCTTCTAAAGAATATAAGATTCACTCGGATTGGATTAAAGCAAAAAATTGTAGCCAATCAAAGAGTTTATATTTTATTTTTTTATTAAAAAAGGAGGAAACAAATCAAGAATATTATTTAAATCAAGAAAAGGAATATATAAAATATTTATTAAACAAAGGAGAATTAATTAAAGATTTGTTAAGTAAAATATCAGAAAAAGATAAAAGATTTGAAATTTTGTGGGAAACTTTTGTTGAAGAAGGGAGTAATTTAAAAGATTTAATTTACTCAAAAAATTTTGAAAAAGAAATTAAAAAACAAAATATCAATTTATTTGAAGAATTAAAAGTTTATAAAAAATTGATAGAAATTGGTGAAAAATCGTTGGAAATTATTGGAAAAAAGGAAAAATTAAAAGAAAATAAAAATTATTTTTTATTAAATCGTTTAAATGAAAGTGAAAAAATATTGACAAAATTATTAAAAGATAAAGCTAGTGGAGAATTTATTTTGGGCCAGAAAGAGCATAAATTACTTTGGCTAAATAAATTAGGAAGAGCTTTAGATTATTTTGAAAAAAATATTTTAAATTTTAAAAAATTAAATGAGGTAATTAATAGATTTTAAAAATATTTTTATTTTTTTAAAGACAAAAAAGCCTTCTAAAATGTCAACACCAGTTAAAAAAGGACAAAATGAATTTGTTGAATTTGCAGAACCTATTAGTAACCAAAATTTAAATAGTAAAAGAATTAAAGATATTGAATGGATGGAAAAACGGTAAATAAATTAAAATAAAATTTAAAAAATAAAAAAAATAAATTTTAAAGTTTGCCAAGTGATTCTGCTTATTTCGATAATCAGAGAAGAGGTGGAGGAGGTCCTTTCCATTTCTTTAACGCTTCTGGAAATATTTTGTTTATTGGTATTTTAATTGGAAAAGAAAATTTTATTTAAAAAATTATTTTAAGCTTATTTAACAATTTGCTGTGTTGGTGTTGTTGCTGGGGTTGTTGGGGGTGTTTACTACTACAACCAGTTAATTATTTTAATTTAAAAAATAATATTTTTTTTCTTCAAAGTGTTCGGTCCTCAAATGTTGATGACCCTTTTAACGAGTTTACTCGTTATTCGCCCTCTGGACCTGGCAAAGACAAATTTAGTAAGAGAGGAGGAGGAGGAGCACAAGCATTTGGACAAACTGTTGGAGATGATACTTTAGGTAAAATAAAAGAGAGGAATTAATTTTAAAAAATAATAATTTTTTTACAGCTTATAAAGCCCAACTTCAACAATATCAACAACAAAAACAAAAAATTTTGGGGGCCGGCCAAACAATTAGTAACGACCAAATGAGTGACAATGAAGAAGAAAATGATGAACTTGAACATAATTTTAGTGTTTTTGAATGTCCAGGTATTTTTATTAAATATGAAAAAAACTTAAAAAATATTCTAAAGGATTGGCACCTACTGGTGATGTTGAAATTCAAAATCCAAATTTTGTTGGAGAAAACGGGGAAAACAATACAGCAACAAAAAACATTGAAAATTCAAAGAAAGAGGAAAGAAATGATTGAAATTTTTGAGTAAAAAGAGGAGCAAAACTAAACAAAGTAAAAATCCCCTTCCTCCAATCCTTTCCCTCCTTACATAGTCCCCAAATATGTACATTAAAGTATTGCCCAAGGAAAAATGGATATACAAAAATTTAAATAATTTATCAAAAATTTTCAGTTATTTTAAAATTAATTTAGAACATCTAAATTTTATAAAACAAAAAAAAATCCGTTTTTCTTAGCATTTTTCTTTATTTTTTTTTATTTTAAGGAATAAACAAGAAAACTAATTTTTATTCTAAAAACATTTAAAGATTTTCATATTGTCTCTAAAAGGAACTCTTTTAATTCTTGTTTATTCCCCCATCCATTCATTTATTAAAAAAACATTCCAAATTTACAATGTATTCCCAATTTTATTCATCTCCACCTCTTTTTAAAAAACAACAAAAAAAAATTAAAAACAAAAAATCCCCAGAAAAGATACATTTATTAAAGTGTCATCATTTTATCTCAGTTTGCGTGTAAGAATATTTTACTCTTATTTTCCCTTTTAAATGTATATGTATTCCCATTTTATCCATCCCCTAAAATCGACTGGCACAACAACACATTTACGTGTTTTTTTAAACTTTGAAGAATTTGTCGATAAACTTTGAATTTTGTGTTTATTTTTGTGTTGGGATTTTAAATAATTAAAGGAAAGAATATAATACTGAAAGCATTAATTAGGAAATACGGGGTAGTCAAAAGCACAGTTCAATTATTTAAATAACTAATCTCACGTATATTTTCTAACAAATAAAAGGATTTATTGTTTAACTTACATATCGATCTAGTAAATATTTACAAACAAATAAATTCCAACAGATGTTCGTAAAAATAAAAACAGCTGGCGATTATGAGGAATAAAGAAGTCTTTGCAATTTTGCACTCCAAATAGTTTCTTTTTTATTTGTTTGCCGTTTTCGTAGAGAATTAGTATTTTTTAATGGAATTAAATACTTCCTATCGATTAACTAGATCCCAATCCTTATGTGGTATTCGTTCAACATCTGCCGGAAATTATCCAGTCGTTCCAGTCAGTTTTTATTTCCTCTTACATTTTTTCTTTATTATTTTAATTTTAAGAGAACATATTCAATTACTGATTTTGCTGATTATCGAAGAGAAGTTTTAGCACATCCAATTACTTGGCCTAGAGTCCCAGTTCTTCGTCCACGTATTTCTACATACGTTTACAGACCTCATTGGACATATCGCTCCCATTGGCCTCATAGCCAAATACACTTTCAATGTCCGCCGGGTCCATACGAATATCGCAAGGATCCATTTCATTGGGCATATCCTTATCATCCAACATGGACAAAATATAGAACTGAATGGTTAGTTAGTTTAGACTAAATATTTTCTAAAAAAACAATTTTTAAGGTATAAATTTAATAATATCAACAATCATCGAATTTCCGGTGCTTGGAACCACCCAAACTTGCTAAATAATCTCTTTTGATTCTTATGCTCTAAACGACAATAAAATATTAGATATTTTTAAATATAGGAAGGAAATTACATTTTATGGTATTTTTAATTTTAATGATAAAGTTTTATACATTGATAAGAATTGTAAATTGAAGACTTATTAACCTACTTATAATTAAATAAATTATTTATTGAACTCATTGGACATATCACTATCATTGGACTTATACGGCCAAATTTCAATGTTTGGCTCCAAGTGAATTTTTACAAAAAATAAAAACTTTTGCAAATGATGCATCGCTCATTTGAGATTAAAATCAGCGTTACTGAGGATATTGGACAAAGTTATGATCACTTGAATTCTCACTTGGAAAAATGCTTATTGTACTGTTCCCAAGAGCAGGCCTGTCATTCAAGTTAAACCTTTAGTCTCCAATGACAAGAAGCCAATCAATGTGTACCGTTTCGCTGGAAGGGCTCCTGGCCCAGATAAATTCGTCGTCCAATGGGCAGAAGATCCTAAGGCGCTATTCTTTATCAAGCACAGTCCGGAGAGGTGGTCTCAATGTCCGGTCCAATCCTGTTGTGAAGAAGGAATAAAGCAGAATGACTGTAAAAGAAGGAGCAGGAAACAACAAAATTGAAACGGATGGACATAGGATAATTCGATAGCTCCACTTGTAGATCTCTAACAGGGTTGGATTTTCTTTCGCTTAACCTTCCGCAGAATTCCGCCTTTTTAGCTCTTCTGTTTCCGCTTTTTAAAATTCAAAATTCTCAAGCACAGGTCTTTAACGCCAATCCAAGTATCTGTGAAATATTTATTTAATGTTTATTTATTTTTAGGCAAGAATTTTAACTTAAATGTTTTGCTTTACCGTACATTTTGACTTAAAACTTAAAATTAATAAAAAATTCATTTTTGTTAAATTTAATTTGCATAATATATTTGGAAATTATGACGTAAAAATTGTTCTTTTACATGCACTATTAGTATTTTGTAGAAAAGTAAAATTAACACTGACAGCCTTAGCTTCAAACCTTGTTGTCTTCATGCTTAATGAAAAATCAATTATTTTTCTTTCTATAATTCCATTATTATGCCGTTCCAAGATAAAGCCGCCGTGCTCAACGTGTGGTCGTTAAAAAAGAAAAATGGTGATGTGCCTACTTGAAGCCGCATATCTATGTCATTTTGCCTGCTTTTTTCCGCTTGGCCGCTGCAATAAACTCAAAATTCATTAGTAGTACATAGTGCCGGTAACAAACAAAGAGGCTAATGGATTGGGACTTGGCACACGAGTGGAATTGGTGCCGTTTCCCTTTTCTCAAAGAACCCTCTTCCTATTTCTCTTTCGTGCCGTTTCGCAGTCATGCATAAGCGCGCTTTGTTAAAAATGAATGTGAACGAGAAGCCTATGAATTGGCATTGTCGTTTTTGTTATCTTTCCTTTCAACATTAAGGGCAATATATATTACATAACAAAATCCCATTTTCTGACTTTTTCCTTTTTAAAAAAGGAAATCCGATTTCCAACGTTTTTCCACTTCCTAGATTTAACTTGGAAAATTCTCGGAAATTCATTCCTGGAGCTCTTAGACTTCAATCAGGTTTGTACTGACTAAGTTTAGGTTCGGATCTTAATCTGATGGAGACTTTCTTTTTGTTTTTCCCTTCAAAAATGTTTTTATTTTTAAATATTATTAAATGTAATTTAATATTAGTACGTATCAAATGAAAAATAAATAGAAAATTCAAATGAATCTTCTAATTTAAATTTTAGCGGCTGCGGCGCTAAAACGAATTTCTGGCTTCTTAGGCATTTAAAAATTTTAGCTTACTACGCTTAAAAATGATAAAAGCTTAAATTATCCGAAATCCTGAGCCTGCGGATCTGAAAATTTGAATTATGCTGTCTTTGGCACCAGAAAATCAAAATTTGAGATTATTTGCAATTTCTACAAGCATACAGCTCAGAAATTGTTTACATTTTCTGTTACCACTTTGTCGTTTGTATTTCCGATTTCCAAAATTACAATGACTTCCAACTTCCGAAACTTTCGAGTTCCGACACCTTCAGCATTTCCAACCCTCCTCTGACATACATTTCGAATAGTTTATTACTCAATGAATATTTTAAAAGTATTTTTTACAAATCAAAACAGCTGTTATTATTTTTCTGGATTTACTATTTGTACTCTAGTATATGTACATATTTTTGCAAATCAATTAAGTTGACAAATATTGATCAATGAAAATCTTATTTATATCGTTTATTATGTTTGTTAGCTAATTTTTTAAATATTTATTACTTTAAAATTCCAAATTATGTATAGCCGATTCAATATAATAACACTATATAATAATAAGATCTCAAATAAATTGATATTTTTGATAGAAAAAACCTAATATGTAATAATTTCGTAAAATGACTGAAATCAACTTTAATAACAAAAAATATTATTTATTTATTGTCGCATTTAAAAACAAAGAAAATTAAATTAATCATTAATGAATAATAGTGTGGCGAGAGTTAAAAAAAAAAGGTTGCGTCTATATCACTTCCGCACGCATCGCTTCTCCTCCACTATTCGCACACGGAAAATTTTTAGCTGGTCCCATTATTTTACCCCATTCTTTTTTTTCAATCTCTTCACACCAGAATCGTGAAGAAATTTAAGTGTACCTAAGCTGCCATCATAAGAAGAAGAAGAAAAATGCATGCTGGCTGCTGCTAACGGCTGAACAAAACCCCTCTGTCCGTTTTTTTTCTCCCACTTTTTACTGACAGCCCCGTTATATATCAGTTCTCTTTCTTCATTTTCACAATCCTTACATTTTGTTATTAACGCAAAAATTCTGTTTATGGCCAACAATGTTTTTTATTTATTGATTCCTTTAAACCCCTTTATAGACAGTGGAAACCAATGAAGAATTTAATTTTGTATTGAAAGAGAGAGAATTAAATATTTTTTTAAAGATTTAAAATTTAGAATATTTTTTGAAAAAATTCTTTTTTAAAAAAATATGTTAATTATTGAGTTATCGAAAAAATGGTTGTAAGCCCTGGACAGCCAAATAATATGATGACTAATAGCAACAATCAAATGGCTGCAGTAAGTTATCTATTTTTATTTGATTATTTATTAGTTTATTACTCCATTTTAAGAAATATTATTTGTTAAAATTATTATATTTTGGTATTTGTGTTTTGAAACTTTAAAGCGGGGGTTTTTGTGGATGTAGTTTTTTATACAAGAGGCGTAGTTTAATTTTTAATTAGTATAATAATATTCACGTTAATTAAAATATAACAAGATTACACGTCAAAATTAATTTAACAAAAGAATAATTTCAAGACCCTCATGGAATACTTTATAAAAACAAACTTGTGTTAATGAAAGAAAAAAGAAAAATTAGAAAAGTTTGATGCATGACTATGCAAAAACATTACCTTTAGTTAAACAATGAATATTTTGGAACATTTTTTAGAATAGTCTAATATGTATAATACAATAACCGGCTGTAGTTTAGTCGAGGGCCCGCTCCAAACAGGGTTGAAACATATACCATTCGATTCGTCTCGGCGAGCTGAGTCGAACGGTACCACTCCCTAGGTGCGGAAATGCCTGTGGACCGAGATATAGGTCCTTGAAATTTGAAAAACCATAGGGGGGAGTAAGCTTAATTTTGGGCTGAAAAAATCGATTTTTTGAATGATAGCTCATCCGAAAGAGCTCATCGAGCTGAGTCGAAAGACACCAAAATCACAGAGATTGGACAAGTTTGGACCGAGATATAGGGCTCGAAATGGTCAAAAGTCATAGGGAGATTTTAGGGTCAAAAATTCGAAGTTACAAATGATAGCTCATTCGAAAGAGCTCTTTGAGCTGAGTCGGATGACACCAAAATCGGCTCGATACGATCATTCTGAACAAAACTATGAACAACTTAATTCTCGCTTGAATAACAGTTTTGGTGCTGCTACGGAGGGTAGGTCGGCATTCAAGGCTGAGAATCGGTAAAAAGGAATAGGATTAAGTTATAGGATTAAGTTTACTAAGCTCGATGAGCTCTTTCGGATGAGCTATCATTCAAAAAATCGATTTTTTCAGCCCAAAATTAAGCTTACTCCCCCCTATGGTTTTTCAAATTTCAAGGACCTATATCTCGGTCCACAGGCATTTCCGCACCTAGGGAGTGGTACCATTCGACTCAGCTCGCCGAGACGAATCGAATGGTATATGTTTCGACCCGGTTTCGAGCGGGCCCTCGACTAAACTATATCCCAATAACCAAACTTTGCCTTTTATATAATAAACCCTCAAAAAGATAATCTAAATAAACGAGACAATTGCCATTATTTTTAAATTAAATTTTAAAATAATTTTCCCGATTTTTTAAAAATATTTTTATTTCTAAGACTGCAATTTCTCAACAACAACAAATTCAAATGAATAATGCTACTTCTACAAAATTTAGTGATAATTATGATGTTAAGGAAGAATTGGGAAAGTAAAGAATTTTTAATAAATTTTGAAATAAGATTTGAAATTAATTTTCAGAGGAGCGTTCTCAGTTGTTCGTCGTTGTGTTCACAAAGCTACAAATATGGAGTATTTAATTGTTATTTCTATAAAAATATTTTTGTTTAGATTTGCTGCCAAAATTATTAATACTCGAAAATTGTCTTCAAGAGGTTTTTGAATTAAATATTTTCTTACCAAATTTTTTCTTTAGATTTTCAAAAACTTGAACGTGAGGCCAGAATTTGTAGAAAATTAAAACACTCAAATATTGGTATTTTTTAACTAAATTTTGAGAAATATTCTCAAAAAAAATTTTTTTTAAGTTCGTCTTCATGATAGTATACAAGAAGAAGGATTTCATTACCTCGTTTTTGATCTGTATTTTTTCTGAAATTTTTGAAAAAATATTTTCTAATTTTTAAAGGGTTACCGGTGGTGAACTTTTTGAAGATATTGTTGCTCGGGAATTTTATAGTGAAGCTGATGCGAGGTTTTTTTTGTTAAATTTCGTAGTAATTAAATTTTTTCAAGTCAATGTATTCAACAAATACTTGAATCAATTGCTTATTGTCACGATAATAGTGTTGTACATCGAGATTTAAAACCAGAAAATTTATTACTTGCCAGTCGTGCTAAAGGAGCTTCTGTTAAATTAGGTTGAAATTTAATTGTTTAAAATTAAATTTTAATTATTTTTTAAAGCTGATTTTGGCCTTGCAATTGAAGTTAAGGGAGAGGATGAAGCTTGGTATTTTTTAATTAATTTTTAAATTATTTAAGAAAAACTTAGAATTTTTACATATGTAGTTTATATATCGTTGATCGGAACAGGATCATTGAGTCACGGGGACATATTTTGGTCCATAACTTTTTCAATTCTTAATCGATTTAGATAATTAATATATCAATCGAAAGCTATTGGTGTAAGGATTATTTTATCAAGCAAGATTGATCAGATCAACATACAAAAATTTACATTCTAATAAATATCAAAAATTACGATTATCTCTTCTTTACTCTTTTTAATTTTAATTAATAAAAAGGTATGGATTTGCCGGCACTCCTGGCTATTTATCCCCGGAAGTACTTAAAAAAGATCCATATGGAAAGCCTGTAGACATTTGGGCATGTGGTATAAAATAAATAAAAAGACTTTCTTAAAAATTATTTTCTTTAGGTGTAATTCTTTATATTTTACTTGTTGGGTATCCTCCTTTTTGGGATGAAGATCAACTTCGGTTATATGCCCAAATTAAAAATGGCGCTTATGATGTAAATTTTATTTTTAAATTAATTTAATTTTAAATTTTCTTTTACTTTTTAAAGTATCCAACACCCGAATGGTTGGTTTTTTTTAAATTAATTTAAAAAATTTTTTAAGGGACACTGTTACACCAGAAGCTAAAGCACTTATTGATGCAATGTTAACATTAAATCCAAAAAAGAGAATCACAGCCCAAGAAGCTTTGAAAGTGCCTTGGATTTGTGTAAATTTTTTAATTAAAATTTAATTATTTGAATCGGTTATTAGGGTTAGGGGATATATAGAAGGGTTTTGAATTGGTTTATAGAGTGTTTCGAGTTAGGGAAGATTTTTTTTATTTTCCATACATCTTTCCGTCATTTAAATTTTCGATAAAATCTTCTTTCTAGGACAGACAAAGAGTAGCATCAATGATGCATCGTCAGGATACTGTTGATTGTTTGCGTAAATTCAATGCTAGACGTAAATTGAAGGTAAGTACTTTTTAAAATTAATTTAAATTTCTATATATTTTTGTGGACTTTTTTCTCGTTTTTTTCGATTTTGGTCGGTGTTTTGTTTATTTCTATGTCAGTGAAATTGTTAATGTTTTTTGCTAATATTGATATAAATAAATTTTTGTATTTTTTAACACTTTAAATGTTTTTATTGTTTTTTATTTTTTAATTTTGTGGGAAAATTTCTTCAAATTTTTTGTCCCCATTTAAGTTTATTTTTTGAGATTTTCTTTAAAGACTTTTCCTACAATTTTTGATAAAAACTGAGAAAAAAGTTCGGCTTTTCAGACTATGAGTTCACTGCCATAAATTGCTTAGTCATTGGGTCTTATGACCTATGGATGTCTAATGCTTTAGACTTGATTTTTACTTTGGATTAAAACAAAAAACCAAATGTGACAAGTCAAAAACAGCTTTAGACATGCCTTTCATTGTACTCATAGTCTAAACAATCGCCATAAATTTTCTTTTCTTTTCCTATTTTTGGCTTCCCTGTTTAAGCCTTAAATTTTTTGAAATCCGATCTCCTATATTTTTAAATGAAAAAAGGGTTTATCATTTTCTAGTATCAATTCCTTCTCCATCTTTTTTGTATAGGCAGTAATTTCTGCTGTGACAATGGTCAATAGGATGTCTAATGCCTTTCGAATTACACCACAAAGCAGCCGCTCAACTCCAACACCTCCACCCATTACCACTTCATCTCTCGACTCTGTAGATAGAGAAGGAAATACTCCAAATAATAAAAATGAGGGAATTGGTTGGCGCTATCCAGCTTCTGTTAAAAATACAGCTGCCACTCAAAATGTTGATATTAATAATTGTTCTGTCATTGGTTGGCGTCCAGAAATGACAGTTAATCCTTCAGCAGTCCAAAACTTCGCTGAATCTTTGCCACCGAAAAGGTCTGATTCAGCACCTACAATTGCAGAGGAACAGCAAAACGAGGTGGTCAAAAAATGCTGAAAATCCTTTTTTAATCCTTTGTTTTTTTTTGTTTTGTAGTGGCTTTGCTTATAATTTATTAGGGTTAATATTTTAAAGAGAGTTATTTTTTTGTTTTTGTGTTTTTTTGTGAATGTGTGTCTATCTTTTTTTAATATTTTTTATTTATTTGCTTTTATCTGTTTGCAATTTTTTTTTGTCTTTTTTCATTTTTAAGTTTACAAATTATTTTTAACATTATTTACAATTAACTTTTTTTTTATACATTTATTTCCAAATAGAAAAGATAGGATTTACTAATTATTTAAATACATATATATTTAATTTTATTTTTAAATAGGGTGCCATCCTAACAACAATGATAGCAACTAGAAATATGTCAAGTGAGTTTATATTATCGTTAAGGTTGTCCATGATTTACACGGAGAATTGCCAAATATGGCCATATTTATGCAGCAAAAAAGTTGCAAAATTCCCTAAAATGTGCTGCAAAAATAGCATATCCGCATTCAAAACATGCATTTGTATGTTTTGAACAACCCTAATTATTATTAAACTTTTTGAAATGAATTTTAAAAATTAAAGAAAAATTAATATTTTTTTCATTTTTAAACTACAGGTCGAAATTTGTTGAATAAAAAAGACGTGCCGCCAAGTACAATCAAGGAGTCTACAGAATCTTCGCAAACTATTGACGATTCTGATGGTTTGGGTACCAGCTCAACAGCAGATAAAGGTGATTGAGTGTTTGAAAGAAGTAGTTTATATTTTTTGGTTTTTGTGGTTTTGTATTTAACATTTAAGTTTGCTGTGAACTGGGGGGTTTTGGGAAATTTTAGATTAGCCAAAATATTTTTTTGATAATTATTTGGATTTGCTTTTAAAATATCCTTCTAAAAATTTTTTAAAAACTCAAAAATTTACTTAAATTTTCCCTCTCTTTTTTTTATTCTTATTTACCTTTTTGTCTAACATTTTCTTGATTCTTTTTCGCTTTTTCTTTTTAATTGCCAAAACAAATAAAAGTATTAATTAAAAGATAATTTAGAATTTAAATAAACATTTTTAATAATCTTCATTTTATTTTAAATTTTATAATCTACATATAATTATTTTTAAAATCTAAAATAAAATTTAAATATCTAATAACCTTTTGTGTTATTATTTTTACATTTTTGCACTGTCCTTGTCTATTTTTTTGAATTAATCTTCACAAAAAATGTACTTTTTGTTTCTTATTAAAATTTTATTTTCCTAATTTTGTTTAATTTGCACATTTTATCCTTTTGCTGTTTTCTTTAAAAAGTTTTTTGCTGTTTATGTACTTTTTTTTCAATTAATTTTTAATTAACCTCTACTAGTTATTTTAATTCAAAAATTCACAATTTTTTTATTTAACCTTTTTTTAATTTTTATTTCTTTAAATGTATAGTGTCAGTTGTTAATTCCAACTTTTAAGTTTTAATTTAAAAATATTTTTTGCAAATTTCTAGCACTAAAATAACTGTCACTATATTAAAAACAAATTAAAATCTTTTATAAATATAAAATAAATTATTTTTTCCTCTTTTTTTCTTCCTCTATAGCAGCTGCAGCTGCGCGTATTCAACATGAAAATACAGTTGTTGAGCGAGTGCCCAACAACAATAAGGGCCACCAACAATCACCACTGGCTCCGATTAGTGGTGGAATGAATGCAACAATTGTTGGTGTTGGAAATTACTACAATTCTGCTGCTGGAGCTACAACTGCTTCTGCTGCCTCATCACCTGCTCCACCTCTTCCCGCACGCGCTTCCCCAATTCTTTCTGGTGGGCATTTTTGTGATATTTTATTTTTTATTTTTATGTGGGTTTATTTAAAAATTTAACTCGAAGTTTTGTAAGAAAAAAATAAATAATATAATTTTTTAAGGGGTTTATATTCTGCATTTAAATTTTTAATTTATGTATTACATTTATATGTTGGACAATAATTTAAATCCCTTTGTAGTTCTAACAGGATAATGTAGAATACATAGCATAATGTGCAATCTATTAGCTAGTTTCTATTAGAAAATTATCGTATAACTAGGGTTTGATGTTTTTTTGATGTTTATAAGTTTATTCAAAAGAATTTTCTATTTTCTATTGCACAAATTACATATGTACATATAAGATTTCGCTAATAAAATTCCACAAAAGAACACTTGTAGCATGTCACACATAACAAAAATATGTATTTTTTGTTTTTCATTGCTTTTTGGTTTTCTTTTGTTTTTTTTGTCTCTTCATTTTCTTTATTTTTCTGTTATGTGTCTTATTTGTTAGGTTTTCACTATTAATGAAATCCGATAATAAATATATATTTGTTTTGGACTTGTTTTTATAAAATGCACAATATGTGTGTATTCTCCTTTTTATTTTCCTTTCTTGTTTTCTTAATTAATGAATGCTTCAATGCTTTATTTCTTTTATTCACAAATTGCCCCAACTACTTTAGATAACATTTTTGGAAATCCAAACCTCGCTAATTGTACATTTTTTTGTTTCTGATACACTTTATACTTCCTATGAATGTTTTTGTCCCATAAAATTTTTTGTGCGTCCCAAAAAACTCCTAAAATGCTATAGTTAATGGCTCAGATTCTGTACATGGTGGCAGATAGTTAATTCTCAATCTGCCTCTGAAGTTGATGATCTGAGTGGGGGAGGGGGTCTAAAATACATTAGAGCCATTTTTCATTAAATCCAATATTTTTATTTCTATAATTTTACATCGAAAATGTTTTCATTTAAAATTTATAATTATCTCAATTGAAGAGATAAATCTTTAACTTTCTGCTTGCCTTTTAAATTTATTCTTCTTAAACCAACTTTTATTTTTTATCGTTTACTTTTTTTATTTGTCAAGTTTATTTTAAAAAGTCAGAAATCAATCAGATCAAGTGAATTCCAAACAATTTTTTTCGTTTTTTTTAACTGAAAGAAAAAAAAGAAAAGAAAAAAAGCATTTGTGGTCTAGGCAATTGACTTTTTACTTTTTTAAAAATCACACAAATCCTTTCCTTCTTTAAAAATTCTGTTTTAACTTTGCCTTCATCTGTTTACTTTATTTTTTGCTTAATATTGATGTGTAAATTTTTATTTTAATTTAAAAAATTTAAATAATTATTTAAATTATTTAAATTTAAAAAAAAATTTAAATAATTATTTTAATGTTTTTATCGGAAAAATAAAAGGATTAATTGTTTTTGAAGTAAAAAATTTTTCGTCAAAATTTTGGGTGGCACCACGAGACACACAAAGCTTTTCTTCTCTTTTATATTTTTCACACCTTTACTTTAGACTCCCCGGGGAGTGCCATCCCCCCTCAATTCACTCAAAGCTATTCAATATATATCGAAATAAATTTTATTTTAAATGTTTCTTATATAAATATTTGTATAATTTTAAGATTATCAAGAAAATTGTATATAAATATACCTTTTTTTCACATTACCTTCAATTTATATTATATCAGAATTTTTGATTCCTCCAAATATATTTTTTTGTATTTACATACCTCTAATTTATCATTTAATTAAACATTAAAATAAGGTTCAAAAAATAATGTTAAAAGGTTTTGTACCCCTACTTAGTTCCTCTAATAATACAAATACAAATAATCAACAACAACAAAATAACCTTTCTTCTCCAATTTCATCCTCCTCCCCTTCCCCCAATCACAATCATCATCAATTTCTTCATCAACTTCCTCCATCAAATAATCATTCCGCCTTCTCCCAACCAACACCTGCCACCTCCTCTCCACTTTATAATGATGGAAAGAATAATAATAATATATTATTGTCTCCTTCAACATTTAGTAATAGTTCATCACAATTAACAGCTATTGCTGCAGTAATGAGTGGTAGTGGTATTTGTAGTACTAGTAATATTTCAGCATCAACTGTTAAGAGTAAGCACAAGCATCACAAAAAAATAAAATTAATTAATCTTTTTCTATTTCTTTTTTTTTGTAAAAATATTTAGTTTTTTGTATTTTTTTGTTTGTCTGTTTATTTAAAATATTTTGGGAGAGGGGATTTTTAAATATGTTATTTAAAAAAATAATAATTTAATATTTTAGCACAAAAACAAGAAATTGTTCGAGTAACTCAACAATTGTTAGATGCAATTTCTTGCAAAGATTTTGATTCTTTTTCGTTTGTTTTTCTTTGTTAAATTTAAATTTAAAAATAATTTTTTTAAAGAAAATTATGTGACCCAAACCTTACTTGTTTTGAACCAGAAACTTTGGGAAATCTTATTGGTTAGAATTAATTTTATTTTTTAAATTTTTAAAATTAATTTCTTTTAAGAAGGAATGGATTTCCATAAATTTTATTTTGTTAATGGTAAAAAAATAATTATTTTGGAATTTAATAAAAATAATAAATTATTTTTAGGACCACAAATTTTACCTGGTTCTGATAAACAACATCAAATACACACTACTCTATTAAATCCAAATGTTCATTTAATGGGTAAATATTAGAAACTAGTTTTTTTGTGTGATTAGAAATAAATATTTCTATTTTTGATAAACAAAACTTTTAAATTTTTAAATAAAAATAAATTTTTAGGTGATGAAGGAGCTTGTATTGCCTATATTCGATTAACACAATATATTGATAGGTGTTTTTATTTTTAATTTAATTTTTAATTAAATTTAAAAGATTTGGAGAAGCACGTACTTGTCAAGCACAAGAAACACGTGTTTGGAAAAAAAGAAATGGGAATTGGTATTGCATTCACACACATCGTTCTGGTGGTTATTTGTTTAATTGTTTAAAAATAAATATTTTTTATTTAATTTTAGCTGGAGAATTATCTTGTGTTTTTGCTGGAAGTAGTGGAGGGGGAAGTGCACAAACACCTCCATTACAACAAAATTCTTCTTACCAAAATTTCCATTAAAAATATTTTTTTAAATGTTTTTGTCGCTAGAATTTTTCAAAGAATACCACAAATGTATTAATTAATTATTTTTTTGTGAAAATTATGATGAAGCTTTCCCTCGTTTTTTAAAATTCGCTCTATTTTATTTTTCTCTTTTCGCCATTTTTTAAACCCATTTTTTGAAATTTAAAGTTAAATTATAGATTAAAATGATTTTTTTATTTGAAAATAAAGTGTTGGTTTTCCCTTCTAAATATTTTTAATTTAAATCAATGCCTTTCGCGGCTCCAAAAAGTCATCGGGTCCTGGAACCGGGAATTACTGTCTAGAATTACTTGTATTTTTGGTTGATGGTTATCGAATCCAAATCATTTAAGTATCGAGTTTAGTTGGTTATTCCATTTTTTAATATGTACATATTTCCGAAAAACTTTTCCAATATTTTTCAAAAAAAATCATTTTAACTTCCAAATCATCCCTTTCCCAAATTATAAAATTTAATTGTCCTCAAGTTAATTTCAAAACTCTATTAATTATATACAGTCGGAACTCACTCAGGTACACACTTTTAGGAACGGAAAAGTGTTACACATAAGTCCTATTGTGTACATTGGGGATATATATCTTGGCAGCCTCCTCCCTTCAATGACTAAATTAATTGAGATCCGATTGTATTTATTTTTTTCTCTGGTCATTCTCTCTTTCTCTTTCTGGTGATTTTAAATAATTAAAAATGTTGCTTATATTTTCTGTATTTTAAATTTTTTATATAAATATTTTTTCTTTCCTTTAATCTAAAAACGAAAAAAAATCATTTCACTTTTGTTGAAAAAGATTTTTTAAACATCATTTTTACATATTTTTTTTTCTAAATTTTCAATTAAACAATTTTTATAAAAATAAATAATTTGTTAAAAAATAATTTAAACATATTTAGCAAAAAAAGACATTTCATCAACAAAACATTCACAAGAAACTCTAACATTTAAATTAAACTTTTCCCAAACTTGACATAATCTAAAAAATAAAAATAATTATTTAACAAAAAATTACTAACGGCGTTCCAACATTTCTCAAAACAACAAAATTCATATATTTTTGTTTACATTTCCCATGTGCTTTAAAATTAATTTTCAAAAAAATTAATTTAAAAAAAAACCAACGATATTCATAAAAATATAAACAAGCTTTATCTTCATTGCAAACAACTTCGTTAATAAAAGGAGGGAAAAAATCCCCAGGTAATTTTCTAATTGCTTGACAAGCACTACATAAACGTAAATAACCATCCTTTTTAAATTTATTTTTGATAAAAAAATATTTTCTTTAAAAAACTACCTCAGAATATCCTCTTTTGTCACACCCAAAAGGGACTATATGTACATCCCCTATTTGAGATTTTAATTGTTTTTTATTTTTAAAATCACTTCTTTTTCTTCTTTCAGAAGAAGAAGAATTGAAAAGATTTTGAGCAAAAATTGTATTTCTTTTTTGTCTAGTCATCATTATATTCTCCTCCCCTTCCTCCTTTAAATTTTAAAATTTAATTTTGATTTAAATTTAATTAATTTACCCAATAACCCCCACGCATTGAAGGGGATATTATTGAATGTTTTGGATTTGCTCTAAATTTATCTTAATTAAAAATTAATTATATATTAATTAATTTACAATGTTATATTGCCAAATCTTGATAAAGCCTCTGGAGTTCGAATATTCTGAAAATAAATATTTAATTAATTTTGGAGATTTAATTATTTAATTTTTAAAAATAATTAATTTATTTACGCAATGTAATTTTAATTCTCCAAGTAACTTTTCCAAAGCTTCAATATTTCTTTTAATTGCTTGTTCTCCAGATTTTTGTGTTTTTATTTGTTTCTCATATTGATCAACAATTGAACGATCTAGAAATCTAAAAACGCCGCTAACATCCCAAGCCATTAATTCTGGATTGTAAGTTCCCTTTCTTTTTAATTCCTCTACTAATTCTGGTTGACTTAAATGTTTACATTGATCGAGAATAGAACTTGTTAGGTTTTTCTTTGAAATTAATTTTAAATTAAATTTAAATTAAAAATTAAAATTACAATAGAATTTTGAATAATTATTTTTGGAATAAATAATTTATTTGATTGTAGCAAAATATTGGGTTTTGAATTGGAGGTAGATGAAGAAGTTGAAGTAGTTAGTGAATCATTTAAAATATCAAATTGAGGAGTATTTTCTTCTTTTTCTGTTGTTGTTATTGAAATATTTTCTTTAAAAATAAATGTGTTTTATTCTAATTTTTTAAAATTTTCTCTAAAAAATATTTAATTTAAATATTACCACCAATATTTTCAATAAATGTTTGATTTAAAAGAGATATTATTGTTGTTGTATTTATTGTTGATGTTGTTTTTATTGTAATATTTTCTTCAGAATTATTTGTTTGGGGAATTAATGTTGTTGTTGTTGTTTTATTTGTTAATTGAAGAGGACTTTTTCGAATATTTTCTTCAACATTTTTATTAAAAGAATTAATTCTATTTAATAAATATTTAGATCTCCAATTAGGTAATGAGGAAGATATTGCACTTAAAATTAAATTTTATTCAAATATTTTAAATTTAAAGAAAAACCTTTTAATTTTAAAATTATCTTTAATTAATTGTTTAATTAATTTATTTTTATTTAAACTATTTTCTCCTTCTTTTTCTTCTACTAAATTATTTTCATTATTTTCCATTGTATTTAATGCTGTATCTATTGTTGTTATTATTCTTTTTAAATTTTCTTTATATTTTTGAAGTTCTTCGACTAAAAAATAATTAAAATTTTGTTAAATATCCAGAAATTATGCAGAAATAATTAAAAGAGACAGTCAACTTTTTAAATTAAAATAATTTATTAAAAACCCCCTCCCTACTAACAATTAATATTATTTAAATCCCCATTTTCGTGTATTTGTTTATCTAATTTTAAAATAGCCAAATTTAATTCTTCTTTTTTTATTAATTTCATTTCTAAAAATTCTTTTGATTCGTTGTCGTTAATTAATAAATTATTATTTTCTTCTATTATTTGTTTTGTAGTTATGTTATTTTCTTCTTCTTTTATCTAAAAATTATAAATAATAAATAAATAATTATTTTTTATTTTTTAAAATTAACTGTTAAATTATTTAAAGGTATTGAAGTTGTTGTAATTTCAAAAAATAATTTATTTTCTTTTGTTGAATTAAATAAACTAATATCTTGTTGTTCTATTGTTGTTGGTTTTGTTGTTGAATTTTCAGAATTATTTGTTAAATTAAAAGTAGGGAATAATTGAGAAGTAATTATTTTTGTTGTTGTTGTTAAATTATCTAAATAAATTAATTAATTTAAATTATTTATTTTCTTTTTTTACTTAATTCTGATTTAATTGTTGTGTTTACAACATTAATTAATTGTGTTGTGGGTAAAATTGTTTGTTCGCTAGTTGTTATAGTGGAAGTTGGAGAAGAAACGGAATTTGTTGTTGTAAATATTGTTTGTTGGTTATTATTAATTAAATTATTTTCTGTTGTTTTTTGATTAAAATTTATTTCTTTAAAAAAAATTAAAAATATTTTAATTAAATAATTAATTACCATCATTATTTTTTGTTAAATTAATTGTTGTTTCTTCAATTTTTATTTCTTTATTAATTAAATTTGTTGAATTTAAAATATTTTTAATTTCCTCCTTCTCTTCTTTTTTTGTTGTTAAATTAAATAAATTATTTGAATTAATTATTGTTGAATTAATTAAATTAAATTCTAATTTAAAAAATAATTTTACAAAAATCCTTAAACACCACTAACCCTTCCCCTCCCCCTCCTTCCCCTCATTATTTTTTAATATTTTATTTTCTTCTTTTTCATTTTTTGTTTTATTAAATTCTTTTTCAATTTCAATTCCTTCTTCATCAATAACATCTAATAATTGTAATAAAACTTGAGCATTATTTTCATTATTTTCTTCTCCTTCTTCTTCTAAATCTTTACTAAATTGTATATCTAAATTATTTTTATCTAAAAAAATTTTAAATTTTAATTCAATTAAATACCTAAAATTTCATTTCCCTCCTCTTCTTTAAAATAATTGTTTTCTTCACCTTCACTACTATCATAATCAAATAAAGACAAAAGTTCTTGTGTCAATTCTTCTTCATCAGAAATTGAAGATAAATTAATTGTCGAGATTTTCTAAATAAATATTTAAATTTATTTTTAATTTTTTTTTCAAAACTTTTTTCAATTCATTTGCCAATTTACTTTTTTCTATAGCTGAAAGAGAAGCAGAAAGTCCATTTAAAAGAATTAAAAAACAAAAAAGAAAAGTTGACAGTTTGTGGATTTGCCAAATTTTTTGTTCAAAATATTTTAATAAAAATAATTTTTTATTTAATTTTTTAATTGTTTTTGTTGTTTTTATTAAATTAAATTCTTTATTCATTTACCCCTTATTTAAAAATAATTTTGTTAAAATTAAATATTTTATGGAAAATTCTTAAAACATTTTTTCCATAATCTTACCAATTCAAAAATATATTTAAGATTTATACAACCCAAAAATCCGGACTTTTTTGGGGTTGTTTAAATTATGGTTGCGCCCCAAGCCTTTAGAGGTAGAAAAGTTGGGGTTGGGATTTTTGGGGTTGAGATTCGTGTTGGTGTAGGCCAAATCGTTCAAAAGTTAACACTCGGGTTTTAGCGTACTTGGCGAAAATTTTGGAAAATATTTTGACTTAAAAATCTTGATTAAGATTTTATTAAATAAACAAATTCATTATTTCATAATAGAAATAAATTTTAAATAATGTCCAACAAAAATAGGCGGCGCCAAATTGGTGGCGCCGAAAAGTACAAATAAAGCCTAAACCTTGTGAAGCCTAAACCTTTAGGATTAAAACGACTATTTGGCGCCAACACAACCTGGCGCCAAAATTATTTCTTCACTTATAAATTTTAAGACTGACTAATTTTATTAACAAGAATTATATAATTTGTTAATGTAAAATATCAATTGATAGTGTACGTTGAAATTATTTTTGGAAAAATTCCGTCATATCACCCGGAAACCGATTCGGACAAATGATATGTCATTCGAAAGATCTCGCCGAGCTGAGTCGAACGGCACCAAAATTAGCTGGGGGACTCACCTATGGGCCGAGATATTGGTCCCCGAAAATCGAAAAACCATAGGGGGGAGTAAGCAAAATTTTGGGGTGAAAAATTCGATTTTTTGAATGATAGCTCATTCGAAAGAGCTCCTCGAGCTGAGTCGAATGACACCAAAATCAGCTCGAGATCTTGATTCTGAGCCAAGATAAACAGGTTAAAAATGGTCAACGTAAACCTATGGAGCGTAGGCGAGGCGCTTGTGCAAAACTCCGCGCTTCGCGCGGAGTTTTGCGGCACGCGCCTCGCGGGGAGTCTACGGTCGCTGGGTTCTGGGCTCATAACTTAATCCTATTCCTATCATCGATGAGCTGGGCATTCCTGGCTTCCTCCGAAGCAGTAAAAATTTCAACGGAGACCATAGGTACGGAGCTAAAACAAACTGTCATAACTTTGTCAAATCAAGTCGGATTTCGTTGATTTTGGTTCATTCGACTCAGCTCAATGAGCTCTTTCGAATGAGCTATCACGCAAAAAATCGAATTTTTCACCCCAAAATTTTGCTTACTCCCCCCTATGGTTTTTCGATTTTCGGGGACCAATATCTCGGCCCATAGGTGAGTCCCCCAGCTAATTTTGGTGCCGTTCGACTCAGCTCGGCGAGATCTTTCGAATGACATATCATTTGTCCAAATCGGTTTCCGGGTGATATGACGGAATTTTACCTTATTTTTTAATGGATAAAATTTAACAAAAAATTTATCGAAACAAAATATTGGCGTCAGACAATCGGCGCCGAATTGTCCACTTCCGCTTCCCCTATAAAACCTAAACCTTTTGACTTCAAGTTTTAAGCAAAAACTTGAATCCAAAAGGTATAGGTTTTATAGGGGGAATTGAAATGGACAATTCGGCGCAAATTATTTGGCGTTAACATTTTTTCTCTATGAAATAAAAATGATATATTGAGACAAAACTCGAATGTTTTCTCTTATTTGTTCAAGTAAATTTGTAATTTATTAATTTAATTATTCAAAAAATATATAAGGTAATAAACATGGCTTGAAAATCTAAAAAAGTTTTCTTTTCAAATATTGTTTATCTTAAAATGTCATTTACAAAGCCTTGTTAGTATTTAATTCAGGGTTCCGATATGTGCAGATTTTGCCTCATTTCGTGGTTTTTTGATAGGCCGAGGAGGATTATTTTTAAAAATGCGGATTTTTATGCTTAAAATTGTTCATTTTCAAAAATTCGCGATCGGAACTCAGATTTAATTTAAATATTTATTAAATATAAAAAGTTTTGTGAAAAAATAAAAAGTAAAAATTAAAAAGAAAAATTTAAAAATCCTTTAATTTTAATTAAAATATATGTATATCCGTTTGTTTGTTTGTGATATATTAATTAAATAATAAATTTCCTGAAAGGCGCCCCCACACAATATTAACTAAATTATTATAGTTTAAATAGAAATGAGCGGTAAATTTTTGTTAATTAATTAATAACTGGTTTTTATCTTTTTTTAATTAAATCTTCTCTTATCCGTTTTTATTTTCTGAGCGGATAAATGATTAATAAATATTTTTAATTTTTCCCTTTATTTTCCAGAAAAGTATTTTATTTAGTGTAGTTGATTATTGACTAAAAATAAAAGAATAAATTTTTGGGTTAAAAAATAAATTTAATTTTTTAAAATTTAATTTTAATATTCTAAATTTTCAAAACTTATCAAGAAAAAATTATTTTTTTCTAAAACCCCTCTTCCATTTATTCAAATAGAAATTACATTTAAATTAGAAAAAACTCGTTAAAAGAGATCACAAAATATTAAGAAAAAACAAAATTAATTTTAAAAAATCCTTTCTTTTCAAATTTTCTTTTAAAAATATGTCGATTCCCAAAACAGAGGGGTTGCTATTGACCGTTTCCCCATAGAATTTAAACGTTCTAATGAAAGAAGACCTTTAAATAATTTTAAAAATTAATTTTTAAATTAAACAAACAACCATTTATAAATTCTGCACTTCTTCGTTTCGAAATATATTTTGATGGAGGAAATGATGAATCTTGAAGGAAATGTAGTTGTTGATTTATCTAAAATTAATTATTGCTTTTTTTAAATAAAATTAAATTTACATTTAAATTTGAAGGAATTATTTGTTGTGTTTCTTCTTTATTTAAAGGTTTTGAATTTGTAAAACTTTTAAATAAACAGATAAACAAAATAATTGCAAATAATTTATTTTTAATTATTTTTGTTGTTTTTATTTTATTTAAATTAAAGAACATTTTTGTGTTTTAAATTAAAATTTACTTGTAAACTAAAATTTAGAAAAATATATTTATTTTATTCGAAAGAAAAAATAATTTTTATTAAAATTTAAATAATTATGTGCATATGTTGTTTAAATTTCACGTAGATAGTTGAAGTTTTTGGCATATTTGTGTCGGGTATTCCAAAAATGGACAACGAATTTAATCTTCACGGTATCCAATTATTAGAGACCTTGAGTTAGGTGGTGAGGATGGGAACTTGAGAATTGGGAACGGGGAATTACTCAAAAAACGGCAAAAAATGTCAGGACTATGTAGGTAAAGAGGTTTTTAACTTCCTTTTCTGTCAATTTTTCACTTTTTTAAGAATTTATAAGGAAATGTTCTTTTAATTAATCTTTTTAGTACATAAAATGTCAAAGAAAAAAGAGTGATGAACACTTTTTAATGATTTTTAGTAAAAGAATTCTAAGAAAAAAAATATTTTTTTTTAAAAATGAAAGAGAGAAATTAATTCAATTGAATTTTTTCTTGTTTAAAATTGGATTTTTGAGGTTTTTCTAATTTTATCGAAAATTGAGAAAATAATTCTTTAGGCAAAATTTTACAAAAAAAATCCAAAAAGATAAAAGGATTTTTTATTTATATTTATTTAATTAAATTTATTTGGATATTAATTAAACCTGAAAAGTTTGAATAATTTTTAGAGAAATGCTTAAATAGAAAGAAAAAGATATTAGATGATGTTACTTTTATTTAGTATGTACATATAATAAAAATAAATTATTAGTAACATTTTCCAACGTTGAAATAGTTGAAAATACTTGGATTTCAAATTTGTTCGTAATTGGTGTACCAAGTACGAATTTTGGTACGAGCGTTTAATCATTAGTAGGAGGTATTTAATTGTATTTAATTTTATTTGCTACAAATTTTAATTCGAATTATTTATTTTATTTAATAATTTAATATTTATTATTTAAATTTAATGACAAAACTTGTTCAAGTTTTGCTCTATTTAAGTAAAAGCAACAAATAAATAATGTCAAGACATCCATCAAATAAAAAATTAGGAGGAGGATGAGGAGAACTTTAAGTAAAGGATAAGTAGAGGTGTTTATATTACATAAAATGACATATTTTTTTATTCTTTTTTTAGTAAAAAATTTAATTTAAAAAGAAAAAACGAGAGGAAAGATGAAAGGACATTTACATACATATATTTACAAATGATTTTGAGACTTTAAAAAAATAATAATAAAACTTTAATCTTGAATAAAAAAAACTTTAAACTTCGTCGTCACAAAACAATTAAAGGATTAAAAAATGTTTTAAATAATTCCTATGTCCTTAATATTAAAGAGTTAGGATTTTTAAAAGAATTATCAAAAACTTGTCCTATTCTTTTCTGTTTTGTAAAAACAATTTTTTATTAATTTTATTTGACGAATTTTCTAGATTTAAATTTAAATTATAAATATTTTAATAATTATTTATTTGTTTATTTAAAAATTAATAAATATATCATCATATAAAATACTCAAATTAATTTGTATTAAAAGCTTTTAAATATTTACACAAAAATTAAAAATAAAAAGTTTTTAAATTATTGCGTAAATAAAATAATATTTTTTAATGATAAATAGATTAAAATAAAGTAAGGAGGAACTTATAACCTTTTTAAATTAAAAAAAATATTTTTTAAATATGTTTTTAATGGAAGAAAAGTTTTAAAAAAATAAAAAGATTTATTTAAAAAGTACAAAATATACTATATTTTAAATGTATATTTTAACGAGAAAAAGTTCCTTTTAAAAATCTTTGCCCTTTTATTTATTTAAAAATCTCTGGGGATTAAAAACAACTTTTTGTAAAAATTTTTTAAAAATATTTTTAAGAATAATTTTTAAAAAAAGTAAAATTTGAATAAAATTAAAAGAAAAAATATTTTTTAAATAAAAAAAGGGGAGAAAGATAACATAAATTAAATAAATTGACAAAAAAATGAGCAATTAATTAATTAAAATATATTTGTTGTTGTTGTTGTTTTTGTACTAAACATCTCTAGAATACCCAATCTATTTGCAACTTCCATAAAATCATTTGCATTATTTAATTCATCAACAACTAAGATTAATAAATATTTAAATATTGTTTTCAGTTTCAACCAGAGGTGGGTCGGAAATGACGAAGGTGTCGGAAATGAAATCGGGAGTCGAAATTCCGACCCACCTCTGGTTTCCACTTACTATTATCATTTGGTGGCATCATTCCTGGAGGGTTCCCACTAATTATTGTTGTTGTTGTTGTTAATTCATCTTCCTCTTCTCCCTCTTCCGCCTCTTCTTCCTCCTTCTCTTCATCAATATTTTCTAATAAAGTTGGTTCAATTTCTGTTGTTGTAGATATTAAGGGCTTTAAAGTTGTTGTTGTTGTAGAAGGAGGGGAGGGGGGAGAGGGAGGAGAAAGAGAAGAAGGGGAAGGGGGTAATGTTGGAGATATTGAAAATACCCTTTCCCTAATTAATTGTTTAGCTTTTTCTCTTTCAAATGATGAATCTTCTACTAATTTTGTTTTTAATAATAAAATATTTTCATGTCTTTTATCATTTGGTAATTGTTGGTGTTTGTTGTTAACTGTTGTTGTTAACTAATTAAATAATTAAATTAAAAGTCTTTAATTTAATTATCTACATTAATTTTTTGTCTACTTTCCCCAATTTTTGTTTTTCCTTCATTTTTATTAAAAGAATTTCTGTTGCTACTAATTTTTTCTTTGTTTATATTTTGTCTTCTTTTTAATTCTAAATTTAATTGTTGCTCTTGAATTTGTTTATTATTTCTTTCTTTTTGTTTTTTGTTTAATAATGATTGAAGAAATAAACGTTGTGAAGGTGTAGAAGGAGTATTTACTTTAATTTACATAATTATTTTAATCCCTCCCCCCTAACCTTTAGGTATTATTTTTGCATTTCTCAATTTATTATTTGTTTGTATTGGCAAAATTATTGTTTTCTATAAAAATTAAAATTAATTTAAAATTAATTAATTAAACTTACAGTAAATTTAGTTATTTTGGGTATTTGATTATTTTTGTTAATTAATGTAGATGAAGAAGTTATTAATGTTTGGGGCTTTAAATTTTTAATTCTTGGCAAAATATTTCTTTAAATTAAAATTAAAAACTTTTTTAATTTATTTAAACAATACTTCCCTTAATAATTCTAAACTAAAATTTTTAGTTCTAAATATTTGTAACCAAAAATCCCTCCAAAATTTTTGAAATTTTGCGAGTTCCAGTAATTTCCCAGAATTAAAAAATTATTAGAAAAAAATAAGAATATTTTAAATAAATTTAATTTTACCCTTCAGGAATTCGTCTATTATTATTAAATTTTAGACGTTTTGTTGTGTTATTTATTATTATTGAATTACTAGTTTTTGATCTAACAAAAAAAAATAAATAATTAATTCAAAATATGTAAATAACCTAAATTGTTGAATAAATTGTTGTTTCTATTTAAAAAAAATTAAATTTAAAATTTAAAAATAAATATAAAAATAAACCAAAAAATTATTTTTAGAAGAAGATATATTTAAGGGTTTTTGTTGTTCTACAAATTTAATAAAAAATAATAATAAAATAATAATTATTATTTTTAAATATAACATTTATTTAATTCTTTCTAAAAATTAAAAGAAGTAAGTAGACCTTTCCCAAACATTTAAAACCAAAACATTGTTTAATTATAAAGAACAAATAAAACAAATTACAAGAATTCTTTGAGTAAAAAAATTTAATTTTAAATTAAATAAAAAAAAACAAAATTAATTTTTTAATTAAAAAAATATTTGAAGAAAAAAGGGGGAAATACTTATTTAATAAAATACAAAATACTATATTTCTCTCTCCCCTCTTCAATTTTTGTATTTATCCGGCAATTATTAATAAATTATGTCCATTTCCCATTTATTTTTTTAGCAACCCTTAGGGAAGTTTTTGTGAAAGAAATAAAGAATATACGGAAAAAGAATATTTTTTTAAATATTGAATTATGTACATATAGATTTTTAGTTAAAATTCAAAACTGCTTTTCTTCAAAAAAATAATTTAAAAAAAAACGAGAAGAATCATGAGACATGGAGCCAAAAATGGAAAAATTTGAATGTTTATTTTAAATATTAAGTTCTACTAAATATTTTCTGTTATTGTTTTGTTTATTTTTTATTCTTTTTTCTTTAACCTTTATTTATTTATTTTTTACTTTATTTTCTGTTTTCTTTCCCTCGTTTTCAATTTGCCACCCGTAATTAAAGGAAAAAAGAGAAAATGCATTATTTAATGTTTAACAAATATGTGCAACCTTCCAAAAAAGCTAATTAAGTATAAAAATAAATATTTGATGGAACAAAAATAAAGAAGAAAAAATAAATAAAAATTTTGGAAAAAATATTTTTATTTCTTTATATTGTCAAAAGGCCAACATACATAAATAATTTAGATCGAAAATAATAAATGAATTTCTGTATTAATTAACAGGTTATGAATGGAAAATAATAATTTTTGATTTAATAATTAATGTTTTTAACTGACAAAAAAAGGAATAACTTAACAATTAAATAATTAATTTTTCATAATTGGAAATGCTTTAGTATGTAAAGCTGTGGCTATTTTTGTATTATCTACTTTTCTATAAACATCAGCAGAAGTATAACTTAAAGTACGTCCTAATTTAGTTACCCAAGCATCTATTAAAATTGTTTCACCTAAAAAATAAATTTATTTTTAAAAAATATTTTTTTTAATTTTTTACCAATTCTGGCAGGAGCCAGATAACTAACAGTCAAATCAACAGTTACACCCGCCTTTCCCTGAGGTGTTGCCATTAAAGCTGTTGTTGTTACAATATCCACTAATGTTGCTGTCATTCCTTTAATTATTATTTTCAACACAAAATTAATTACTAAATACACATTAGAATTTCACCGGAAGTTCCGGTAACGTGATCCGGAACTCAAATTGGATCCGGGCCAAAATTTCGGTTCCGGTGAAACACTAATACACACCTCCATGTAAAGTGCCAAAAGGATTTGTATGTTTTTCTTCAACTTCCATTTCTACTTTAACCCGTCCTTCTTCTACTTCAACTACTCGACACTTTAAAAATTAAATTTAATAAAAAAAATATATTGTCTTTAAAATTTCCAACTTTTTCAGCACATCTTTGAAAATTTTTTGATAAAGCATACACTTTATATAAATCTTTAATTGTATTTAAATATTTATTTGTTGACATTTTCTGTAAAAATTAGAGAATTAATTAAACAAAAAAACTTTAAACTTTAAAAACTTTAAACAAAATTTATTATAATTTTTCTAAAATTAGAGGGTGTATTTTTTTTAGAGGGTGTACTAAAATTAGAGGGTGTACTCGTGGGGAAGAATACAAATTGACTATTCCACATTGCTCATCCATGGTTAGATATAATTCCTACTTTATCAGAACATCTAGATTATATAATTCACTACCTATTGTTATTAGAAAAAATACACCCTCTAATTTTAGAAAAATTATAATAAATTTTGATCTGTTAGGCCATTTACGACAAGCTTTACCACACCTTATTACAAACCACTAGTTTACACAGATTTTATATTTACTCTCAAATAAAACATTCCATTTAATTTTTAAAATTTACAGTCGTGGAAAAAAGTATGGAAGCGCTAGAAAATTTTTTCTTAATTCTTAATTTTTCATTCAAAAAATACGTTCTATATACCAATCGAAAGCTCTATTCGTATCTCAGTTGACATGTTTCTGCATTTTTCATGAAAATGAAAATTGGCCGAGATAATCCGGATCTACCGGATGTACCAAATCCCACTTTTTCGGAAAAATTTTTCGGAACAAATTCAAAAAACCCAAATGATAAAGCATATTTTTCTGAGTATTTTCCATAAAACCGCTTAGAAAAATCTTTTTCCGGAGCAGAGATATGATTTTTTGAAAATGGCATTTTTCGTCTATTTTTGCAAAAAATTCAATTTTTAAGCGAAAAATGCCATTTTCAAAAAATCATATCTCTGCTCCGGAAAAAGATATTTCTAAGCGGTTTTATGGAAAATACTCAGAAAAATATGCTTTATCATTTGGGTTTTTTGAATTTGTTCCGAAAAATTTTTCCGAAAAAGTGAGATTTGGTATATCCGGTAGATCCGGATTATCTCGACCAATTTTCGATTTCATGAAAAATGCAGAAACATGTCAACTGAGATACGAATAGAGCTTTCGATTGGTATATAGAACGTATTTTTTGAATGAAAAATTAAGAATTAAGAAAAAATTTTCTAGCGCTTCCATACTTTTTTCCACGACTGTATATTATTTCGAATTTTTATGTTTTTATTTTGTTGCATTGTTGTGAATTGTAATTTTATTTGTGACCTTCGCGTCATTTTGACGTAAATAAATAAATAAATAAATCCCCCTCATTTTATTTTTTGTTTTCCTTCTTTAAACTTTTTTAAAGAAATTTAGTGAAAAGAAAATAAAAACAAATGTTCTCTTTTTTTCACTCTCAGAATCAGTCAAAAATCAGAGATACCCTTTTAATTAAACCTTTATCTTTTAAATTCTTTAAAAAAATCCCAAAGAATTATTTCCTAATCAATCAATACAAAATTCAAACAAAAAATGTACGGACATATTTGTCGAAGCCGTTCAACAGCTACATTAACCCCCGAAAGTTTAACTAACGAGCCACTCCCAAAACTTTGTAAATCCCAATCTTCTTTAAATATTGCCCAACGTTATTCTGATATTAATTCCCCAACAAGGTTTTCTTTCTTTTAAATTTATTTAAATTTAAAATTCCCTCCCTAACAGATACTGGCCAAAAAACAAACCCTATTACTGGCCTTTAACTAGCAATTTGTGCTCTATTGTCTCCAATTATTTTTACTACCCTTTATTTCGCTCTTATTGGCCCTCTTATCGAAGTTATTTGGTAATTCCTTTTTTTAATAAATTAAAAAAATTCCTTTTTAGTTAGAAACAAATTGGTATAATCGAAAATTTGATCGTTACCAATTTTTACCTTCAGACCCTTATTACAAGTATTAATTTTTAATTATTTTAAATTTCCTTACAATTTTTAAAAGTTATTGGCCTCTTCGAAGTAGTTATTATTACTGGTAAATTTAAAAAAAATAAAAATTATTTAATAAAAAAGGAACATTCTTTTAGGTATCATTATCCTTATTTTAAACGTTGGTATGGAAATTTTTAAAATTTTAAAAATAAATAAAAAATGTAAATGAAGATTTAGAATTTAAAAAGAACAAGAAAGAGAGAAGAGATAATTTTTAATAAAATTTAAATTTTTCAATTAATTTCAATTTATTCTTTTTTTAAACAAAAATTCTGTCAATAGAAAATACATAAATGATAAAAATTAATTAATTATTCTTCCTCTCTCTCTCTCTAATTATTTAATGAATATCAGAAAAAAAATATTCGTTAAAAAAGATTGTTAATGTGCAAAGAACATAATATATTTAAATATCATTTACAATTTAAAGTAAAAAGAAAATTTACAGAAAAGGAGAAAAAGGTTATCTAAATGAAAAATTAAAAAAAAATTTTTTTTTGATAACCCTTTTAAACCTTTTTAAAAAATTAAAGAAAATTAAAATTTAAGAAAATTAAAATAAATTATTTTTTAAATATCGCAAGAAGGAGAAAAGAAACGCCTACAAACACCTTCAATTGTTGCCAACCCCAACCATCTTTCCACCGGCCAAAGATGACTTTCTCGATAAAGTCTTTCATTTTTATGCTAAATTTAAACAACTTTTATTTATTCAAAATTTAATTTTTACCAAAGAAATACGAATTCCCTCAATTTTTTGTCCATTTTGCCCATTAAAAATTTGAGAATTAAAAACAATTATATTTTTAGTTAGTGGGTGGGAAAAAATAAAAGCACCTCTAAAATAAAAAATTAGTTTTTTTCAATTTTCAAAGTAATTCCTTACTCAATTTCTCGAACTTCAAATTTAACACCAATTTTTTGTGCCAAATTAAATAAATTATTTCTTTCATTGTAAAGTAAAAAAGGGTCGGTAATTCTTTGAAGGCAATCCTTTAAAAATAAAAAAAAAATTAAAAAAAAAAGAAAATTTTCAAAACTGTTGGGATTTCTTGTATTAAAGTACTGCAAGAATCTGCAGAATTAAGTCGAGGTATATTTAAAATTGAAGAATTTAATGTTGTTGAATGTCCATTATTTAATGAAGAGGAAGATAATTGACTTTTTAACTAAAAAATATTTTTAAATAAATTTATTTAATTAATTTACATTAAATAAAGTATTTATTGAATTCTCATTTTTGGATAAATTATTTAAATTAATATTTGTTGCCAAACTTTCAGAATCATTTCCTTCCTCATCCCAATTTCTTCTTCTTTCATTTAAATTCTAAATAAATAAATTTTAGGTAAATTAAAAATTAAATTTCCTCAACCTCATTTAATCCAATTGAAGACAAACTACAACTTTCTCCACCAAAATCATTTATTTTCTTTCTTCCAATTAATTGTGAATCTGTTGTAAATGTAAAGGAAGATAAACTACTTGGAATTGGTGATTGAAGATTTTTAACCTTTTTTAAAAATTATATGTATATTAATTAAAAATAATATCATTTTTACTTTATTTACTTTATTTTTATTTAAAAATCCATTTCTTTGAAAATTATTTAAAGGTCCATTACTATATTTTCCCATCAAAAAATCACCATAATCTTCATTTTGAGATACTTCCTCACTTTCTTGTTCAGACCAAGAATTAGTTTGATTTGTTAGACTAGTAATTTTTGATAAATTTGTTTTTGATTGTTTTTGCCTAAAAAATTAATTAAAAACAAAATTTGTTTATTTCACTTTTGTCCACGAGATATTAAATCCAAAAATCCCCCATCAACAACATTTTCACTAGCCATATGTTGAGAACGAATAAAATTTTTTAGTTGTTTTCTTTTATTATTTTCTTCTTTTTGTTTATTTAAATAATCTCTAGATAATCCAATATCGTCTTCACTTTCAATTACTTGAATATTTTCTTCAGAACTAGTAGAATAATTGTCAGTAAATGTTCCCCTACCAAACATAACCTTTTTAAAAACTTTAATATAAATTCATTCTAAAAAGAATTTTTCTCAATTTAAAATATTTAATTTTAAAGGTAAAAAATAAATTTTTTGATGGAAATTTAATAAGTTTATTTTGTAACAAAATGGAAAACTACATATTTAGTAATTCTGTTTTTATGTTCAAAAAATATTCATAAAATTTCTTTTAATATTCCAGAAAAAAGTTTTGTAAAAAAAGAATTACTTGAAAAAATAAAAATAATTTTTAATAATTTAAAGTAACTGGGTGTTCTCGAGATAAAGAAATATTCCCCGAGTTGGATATAAAAATATATATTTTTAAAAAAGAGATTTGTCAATAGCATGTATTTATATCGGCGAAAAAATAAATGAAAGTATTTCTACCGGTTTCGCCTCTAAAGCACTTTTTTATTTTTAATTAAATAATAAAAGCTCAAAATTTAACTAAAAGTGCCTTCATAGAAGAATTACAAAATCAAAAATGTAGAAAATGAAAAAGTAAAGAAGCAGGTCCGCTAAATAAAAAAAAAGTAAAAATAAAAACTTGATAAAATGAAAAGGGAATGGAGAAATTAAAAAAATATGTAGAATAGGTAATTCCAAATAAATTGTTTTTGTGGTGATTAAAGTAGAGCAAAACCAGACCGAGCAAATAAACGGCGAAATTCATTCTGAAAATATTAAAATTTAAGTAATTAATAAAATTTATGCGGCCTTCAATGTTTTTAAAATGTTATTTTAAATTAGAAAATAATAACTTTTAACGAGTAATGGGATAAATTACGAATCGTGTCCAATTGAATAAACACAAATTTAAATATTTAACCTTTTTTGTAAGCAAAAATAATTTCTGGCAACTCTTTGGTACGTTCAGAAATTAATCCTTGAGGATTTTGTATTGGCTTATCAATTGGATGTTTGCAAATAAAATATTGATGATGCTGTCCAGAAGTAATTTTAATTGTACTCTTTCCACCAATTTCCAATTCAAATTCATGAAGTTTAAGTTCCGGACAGGCAATCAAAATTACATAATTTGCATCCTTCTTATTCTAAATTTTTATTTAAAAAATATATCAAAAGTTAAATTACAGTTTTTAATGCGTGCACAAACAAACGAGCAAAATTAGGATCACGAATTTCACAATACAACTTTCTTGGCCCTTTTTTAGCCTTTCCATGCAACCATCCAAATAATTTCTTTAAAAACATTTTTATTAAAAATATTTTAAACGAAGAAATATTTAAAACCTTCATTCCAATTGAACCAAAATCTAAAATAGAATTGGCACTTGTCAGCATAACATGAAGTTCAGGAATGCGATCCAAAGCTGAATTTTTAATTATTTTTAAAATTAATTTTAAATTTCATACCAGACAGTTCAAGAAGATTTAATTGCACAAATCCGATTTTTAACAATTCACATCCAGAAAGTAAAGCCGTAGTAAGAGATTTCATTTTGCCTATAGCTAAAATAATTAAATTTTTTGAAAATTCATATAAATTTTTTAAAATTATACTTTCTGCATCATTCAGCAGAACAGTCACAGAATTATAAATATTCGCTTTTTTAAAGAAAACTCCCATAGTCCCAACAAACATAGCCATGTCATTTCGGATTGGCTCAGAATGTTCAACTCTTCCAGTAATAATTAACCTCTTTAAAGAAGCAACAGTTCCGTCAGAAATATTCTTTAAAATATTTTAAAAATTAAACAAAAAATTTTAAAACCTTATAATTAAATTTTCCATCTTTTCCATCAACAATCCCCTCAATATCAATTTCCAATTGGCAACTTAAATAAAACAATACTTATCATTTTAATTACAAACTAACAGTGGAATCTTCTCTTCCTGTTTAGGCTGATAATTTTGTTTAGAAGGTCTTGGCTCGTAATCACGGCCGCCACCACCATAATCACCACCACTTCGCTTTCGATCGTTATATCCTAAAAATTATATTTAAATAAAAATAGAATATAAAATTAAAACCGTTATTATGATTTCCATTGTAACGACCTCCACCACCACCTCCCCCTCCCCCACCACCACCACCATAACCATTTCCGCGATTCCCTCCATCATAGTTATTACGACCTCCCCCGCCGCGATTATCGTTGTTATGCTGCGATGGACCACGTCGATCATAGCCTCCTCCACGTCCGCCTCCTCCATTCCTCTGGTCACGATAGCGGTTATTATCCATTAAAAGGTGAATATGACTGATTGTTATCTAAAAACATAAAATTACGGACAAATTCTACATAAACGAGGTCACAAAATTCATTGAAAAGAAAAATGCGTAAAAAAAGAAAAAAATAATTTAAAAAATTTACAATTTACATAATGCCAAAAAATAATTTATCATTATATCAAATCTCACTTGACCAAAATTAATTTGTAATTCTTTTAAAATTCCCTCTAAAGTTTATATTTGCATTAATAAATGGAGCAAAATAATTCTGGTGTTGAATCGGAAGTAAATGGTTCTAATGGAGCTGAATCTGACACAAATGTTCAATCTAGAAATATTTTTGATTTGAGTGGCGTTCCAAATACAGAGACGGTTTGAATTTAGATAAATTTAAAAAAAAGATATTTTTAAGTCAATTGATTTAAATCAAATGCGTGTTGACACAATTCCTGATTTGTCGCGTTTTAAGGATTTAGAGGTTTTTTTTGTTTTAAATTTTAAAAATTTATTTTTTTTTTAGTTTTTGGGTCTACGACAAAATTTACTTACTAATTTAAACACAAATATTTCTTTATTAATAAATCTCACTGAACTTGAATTATATGACAATCAATTAACAGAAATACAAGGAATTGAAAATTTAATTAATTTGGAAATTTTGGATTTAAGTTATAACAGAATTGGGAAAATAAAAGGTTTTTTTCTTTAAATATTTTAAACGAAATTATTTTTATAGGCCTTTCAACGCTTTCAAAGCTTCGTAAACTTTTTCTTATAAATAACAAAATTGAACAAATTGAAGGATTGGAAGGATTAATTTCCCTTAAATTATTAGAATTGGGAGATAATAAAATTAAAGAAATTTGTAATTTAAATCATTTAATTAATTTAGAAGAATTATTTTTGGGAAAAAATAAAATTAAAAAAATTGAAGGAATTGATTCTCTTGTTAAATTAAGAATACTTAGTTTACCTGTAAGTTTTGTTTTTTAATTAAAAAATTTTTTAATTTTTAGGCGAATCGTTTGACAAAATTGGAAGGTTTGGAAAATTTGGTAGAATTGGAAGAATTACATATAAATGACCAGGGAATTGAATCTTTAAATGGAATTGAAAATCAGGTTTTTGTTTTTTAATTAAAAAAAATATTTTTTTCAAAAAAAGGTTAATTTGCAATTACTCGATGCTGCTGCAAATTCTATTTCTTCCTTGGATAATTTGGGACATTTACAAAAACTTGAAGATATTTGGGTAAAATAATAATTAAAATTAAAAGTTTTTTTAAAGTTAAATAATAACAAAATTTCATCTTGGTTTGAAGTCGATAAATTATCTAAATTAGAATCTCTTAAAACAGTTTATCTGGAACATAATCCAATATATAATGAAGGGTGTGCTAATTATAGAAGAAAAGCAATATTAGCACTTCCGCAAATACGACAATTGGATGCTACATTTTGTAGATGAATTTATTGAAAGAAAAATAATTTTTAAATATTTTTTTTTGTATTTGAAATTTTCTGAAAGTATTTTTAAAAAATATTTTTTTGATTATTTTTTACTTGTTTCAAACAATTTTTTAGAAATTATTTGAAAAATAGCTTTGACAAGTTTTTAATATTTTCCTTTAATTTTTATAATGATGCCTTCAACATCAGATGAATCGAAAGAAAATAGCAATCCAAATAATGAACATCAACTAAATAAATATGCTCCAAGACAACCAGTAAATAATTTTATTTTTAAATTTAAAATTAATTATTAAATTTAAGTGGAGTGATTATTTTATTTGGTTACAAGAGAATATGCAAAAATTTATTGACAAATATGGAAAAATGTAATTTTAATTATTTTTATAACAAACAATTTTTAGAGATTATCTTCGACATGCAATTGCTGAATGGCAAAATATGCCTGTTAAAGAGAAATTAATTTGGACAAAAAAATCAGAAAAAGACAAGAGAAGATATCAACGTGAAGTTGTTGAATATTACAAATTAAAATATCAAAATGTGGAAGAACAAGTTGAATAAAAAATATTTAAAAGTATTTTTCTCTTGAAGATTTCTTTTTGAATTTTAAAAATTAAACAAAAAGTTGTTGAAATATTTTTGTAAACTACAAAGACAAATAAAACATTTTAAATATATTTATTTTTGTTTAAATAAAAACAAATGTCAATTATTATAACATCACAGTTATTATGCTTGTAACTGTTTAAATTGGTCATTAAAATAAAAAAATGGCTTGCGGACCCCAAGGAATGAGTCTGTTTGAAATTTAAGAAAAATTATGGAAACAAAGCATTTTAGAGGAACCAGGTCTTTAAATAAAGATAAATGCAAAAAATATATAAACATCCCTCAAAAAGTTAGAACGTTCTTCAAAATAAAATATCTTTTCTTTTCAATTTTCCTTCTTAACAACTCCATTTGCAACATTTGATTTACTAAAACGCCATTCATCAATATTTAATTGATTTGTTTGTAAAGACCACCCTTGGGCAGTCATTGACTCTCTAAATTGGCAAATTTCTTCTTCTGTTGGCCAACTTTTAAATTAAAAAAAAATCTTTTTTTTAAAAACTTTCAAAAAAACCTTTTTGTTAATCCGAAATATTCCAAAGAAAAAAGAGAATTAAACATATCCTCTTGTGTAGCCCCATCAACGGCAACCATCCAACCAATTTTCTCAATTTTGTCAACAACACAAAGTAATTTCCCCGTCCATTTCCAACAAATATTTTCTTTTTCTTCAATTTCTTTACTTAAAAATTCCAAAACACTAATATTTTTTGGTAAAGAAGATAATGGACATCCAAGATTTAAATGACAAAAACTTTTAATTAATGGAACCAAAATTGGTTCTTTTGCATTACAATATTGAACTGAAGGTGCTTTGCCATTATTTAAATAATGTCTAAAAGAAAAGAAAATTTTTTTGATTAAAGACGTGGGTAATAATTATAAGAGGGGGAATTTAAATTTAATTTAAAAAAATTTTTTTTTCTTTACCTAACAGAAATATGAAATCTTGCTTGATTTAAAGTATCAAATTCTAATGATTTTGCCGCTCTATAATTTGAATATAAATGTACATAAGTAAAAGAAAAATAAAAAAGCCAAATAAGTAATGCATTTCCTTCAACTGTTGGCAATAACATTAAAGAACATAATAAAGAAAAAACATTAACTAAAGTTTCTTGACTTCCATCTTTTGCTGCAACATCTGCTAAATTGTCTCTACGAGCCTTTAAAAAAATTAAAATTTTTTAATTTTTATTTTTCTATTTACTTGATGTCTTATAACAGCCATTCTAGTTGTTCGACCAGAAACATCAACAATTGCTCTTTAAAAAATAAATAATTCTCCCTTATTTTTTTAATTCTCAAACCTAACAAAAGCAGCAAAACAAGCTAATGGAGCAAAAAACAGTCTCGGTAAATAAACAGCAAATAATTCAACCATAAAAGAAAAATCATTTAAAAAATCAGCAATTAATCTCCATTGTTTATTATCTTTTTTAAAAAATATTTTTTCTTTTAAAAGAATTTTTTAGAAAAAACCAGAATCTAATTTAGAACCACGTGCCCAAGCAAAAACAATTCTTGCAATCATTCCAACTCCATCTTTCAATAACCAAGTTAAAGCTGCAGCCAAAACTGTTGCTTGTTCATTTCCGACTCCAGCACCTTTTAAAACTGCTAAAGTGGCTAAAGCGCCGTTTTGAGAACTTGCAAAGGCCTAAGAATAAATAGAAAAAAAATTTCTAATTGTAAGAAGTTTATAAAAAATGCAAGACCAAGAAAAAAAACATTTGACAGAGAAGGACACGGAGCGATGGGTTTAATAGAAATTAATTAAAATGTCCCCTCATCTCCTCATCACCATTTAATTTTCAATATTTTTACCTGTAAAGTATCCCATTTCTGATATTCCAAATAATCAGAACTAACAGTTTGTGGATATCCTTGAGGCATAAAAATTTCAGCAAAAAGTGCTCTAGCATTGTGAATATGTTGTCGGAGGGGTCTTTTAATTATATTAGAAGACTAAAAATTAATTTAAAAATTTATTTAATTAATTTTTACTTTTCTGTCTTTTATCATATATTCATGAACAGCTTCCCCACTATAGGCTTCTTCAATTAATAAAGGTTCATTATCTTCATCAAGATTATTCTTTTTTGGTGCAAACATTTTTTACTAAAAAAACACAAATAATTTTTGTTTAATTTTTTAGAATAAACAAAATCAATCCAAAATATTTATTATGTTTTTCTTTCTGCTCTTTCCAATTTCCTTATGGTTTCTTTTACAAAATAATTTATTTCTCTACAAATATTTCTTTTACCCTCTTTAAACAACTAAAGATATATCGCAGATATTTAAAGCTATAGCGCGTCACAGCCTCGGGCATCCGATTAAACAAATAAATATTATATTACATAAAATCTTTAGCCTATCTCAGATTATTTATTTTTCCAAATCTTTCTTTTAAATTAAAAAACCTCCTCTCAATCTTTCAATCTTTTCTTTCAATAAATTCTTCCAAAAAAGAATAATTTTCCTAAAAAAACTTTTTCCCTCCATTTTCTCTTTTTTTGCTAAATTTTTCTATTTATTTTTTATTTATCAATAGGTAATAATGAGAAAAGATTTTGGAAAATAGTAATATTTAGCTCCTGAAATAGCCAGTTGGCAACTAAAAAAAGAAAAGTCAGTAAGTAAATGCCAATTCTTTCTTTTATTTTTTCCCTTGTTATCTATATATAAAAAAATTTTACCAAAAAGTAGCATTTTTTTAAATAACTTTTTTTCTGAGTCTCCGATTTGGATGAAATTTTTTTTGTTGAACCGGAAATTCAAAAAGCTACAAAAAGTCTGTTGACCACGAATTTCGAAAATTTCAGGAATGTCGAAATGTCGAAATTTCGAAACACGAAATTGAGGATGAATGTCCCAAAACGAAATTGGAAAAATAAGGTGCTGGGAAAAGAAATGTAGCCCGTTTAATTCTGCACCGATTAACCGGAGCACTTTTTCAAATTCGATTTCCCTAACCCGAAATATTTTCGGTCGAAAAGGGTACTACCCACTTTTTTTCACTTTTTGTAAAATTGACCGTTTTTTCGACATTTCGACATGAAGACGAAATGCGAAATAAACGATTTTGACTACTGCGATAGAGAAGAGAATTCTCTATCGAATGACCGAAAGACTTTTAAATTTGGACTTTCCGTTCGAAAGTTATGGCCCCTCAAAGTGTCAAAATTTGACAAAAATTTTTGTCAAAATTTTTAACTTTTTTGGGTATCCCGGGAAAGAAAAAATAGGGCTCGACTCGAAAGTCGGATCCGAACAAACTTTTTTTTGTTTGAAAGGGGATATATGGGTCCATAGAGGAAAATTATAGAGAAGTTCCAAAAGTCGACTTAAGGGTGTCAAAAGTCGATTGCGACGAAAATTTAAAAAAAAATTTTTGACATTTCGACATGATCCCGAACTCCTACGATTTCGACCCTTCCCGAAGGTTAAATCTAGACTGAATTTCGTGTCGATTAAAAAAAAGTTCATGGAAAACGGACTTTCCGTTGGGGAGTTATGCTTGCAACAGCGAACCGGGGTTGGGGCAAATTTAGATTTTGTAGGGGTGAATTAGTATAAAACGTCGGCGCGACAGAAGATCACTTTTTTCGTGCTGTTATAAAAATTCTGTCTTGATTCTATAATAGGTAATCGAATATGGGGAGTTCGAAAAAAATATTTTTAGACGGGACACTTGAGTCTCAAAAAAGATATTTGAGTCTGAGTGAAAAAATGGTGATTTTTTGATATTTCTTCGACTTTTCGACATTAAGTCGAAATCCTAAAAATATGTTTTTTAGTACATTTGAATGTACATTTAATTCTCTATCGAACACGAAAAAATTTTACAAAACGGATTATTTGTTGGGAAGTTATAACAGGGCAAATTATCATTTTTTGGCAAAATTTTTTATTTTTCAAACTTTCTGAATAAAATCACATAAAAATGGTAGATGCTCAAAATTTAAAAACTAATTTGAGCAGAACGGAAAGTCGTATCCGGAAAAACTTTTTTTGTTTTTTTGCTTTTTGTTTTTGCTTTTTTGCTTTTTGCTTTTTTGCTTTTTTTGTTTTTTAGCAAATTGATGGGACCACAGGGGAAAATTATGGAGAAGTTCAAAAAGTCGACTTAAGTTGGTCAACTTTCGATATCTGTTTTAGATCTTAACTGAAAATACTTTCTGCTTCAGCTTTTAATTTTTTGCTTCAGTTCTTATCTGAAGCAATTTTTGCTCCAGTTTTTAACTGAAGCTTCTTTTTGCATCAGATTTTAATTGAAGCAATTTTTGCTTCAGTTTTCAATGTTCAATGGCTTTAATGTCGAAATTCGCCAAAAAATTTTTTACAAATCAACTATTGAGCAGCAATTGGTTGTTCTATACCAAATATTTGCTTAAAAATATATTAATTAAAAATTGAACTTTTATATATTAAGTAAATATTAAGCTTTAGATCAGTATATCTAATTATTTAGAAATTGAATTTCTATATATTAAGTAAAATTTTCGAAATTTCGCCATAAATGCGAAATGGAAAATCTGATTTTGACCACTGTATCTAAGCAGGTAATTCTCTGTCAAATGACGTAAAAATTGGTTCAACCGGATTGTCCGTTCCAGAATTATGGTTCGACAAAATGTCGAAATACCCCTTTTTTAATTTTTTTCGATTTTTTGCCCGTTTTTTCGAACTTTCGTCAGGAAGACAAAACAGAAAAATATGAATTTGACTATTGCGAATCAGCAGCAAATTCTCTATTAAATGACTGTAAAATTTTGTAAAACGGTCTATCCATTCGGGAGTTGTGATCCATCAAAATGTCAAAATTTGGCAAAAAAGACAAAATTACAAAACTAGACTTCGGTTGACATGAATATTCAAGTCAAATCTCAACCGACGCTGTTGAAATAAATCTTAAAAAATTCCCCATATTTGAGTTCATATTTTGACAATTTTTCTCACAGATCTGATTATCTGTTAAAAAGTTATTACGGTTTAATTGTGAAAAATAACCGAAAAAATATACCAAAATAATAAACACTTTTGTAAATTACTGAGTCCAATTTGCCAAATTTTAACAAAAAAGGTGTTTTATAGTGGAATAATACATGGAGAATTCAAATCCGTTGTCAGAAAATTTTTAAAAAATTTTTCCGCGATGTTTGAGTCAAACTGGCAGTTTGAGTCTCGGATACTTTCTTCTACTTATATCTCCCGGAGACTCAATTGTAACCCATACAAACCATATATTTTTGGAGTCAGCTGAAGTTGCTCTACAAGATAGGCTATTTAAGTCACATTTCAATTTTTTGACCCGAAAAAATTTCCAAACATTTTTGACACTTAGACTCAAATATCACCGCCCAGACTCAACTGACCCTTTTGAAACTTTTTTTAAAAAATTCCCCATATTCGATTACATATTCGTACCAAATTTCATCCAGATCGGCTGATCCTTTAAAAAGTTATGATGAAATTAAAAAACCCAAAAATCGTAGAAATATATAATATTTCAATTAAGTTTTTATATATGGATTTGGAATTTTTCACTATTTTAAGCATAATTCCTTCTGAATTTTGGTTATGGGGTAGTACCGCGAGGTCCGTTGGGACCGTTTGAGCGGGATCCAAAAAAACCCTTAGGCACAGAGGTGCAGGGACGTGCGATCTTCCAATTCGGGGATCGGAGTGAACCTGTTTACCTTTATGGTAGATAGGATGACTTCCCCTGACGGGAGTGAGCCTTTGGATGGTGTGCATCCAATGTGTCCCGGCTCTCGGAGGGCGCGGGTGGGGTGAGCCCGGTGGCCGTGCTGGATGAACGAAGGCGCTATGCGGAGACTTCGTCTCTGGGCTCTTAGCTGAGTTCTGAAGGATCACACGGTCATCGGTACGGAGTAAGAAAAGCATGGAATGTCCGGCCATGCTGCCCCACTGGAGTCCCTGCCATGTTCGTGGATAAGCTTCGGCTTATTCACCTCACCCTGACGTCCGAAGCGTATGGGGTGTGATGGCATATTCCAAACGCACCGGAATAAAACCTGGCAGCTCGATGTTCGCCCTGGTGTGGCAACTCCCGAGGCGTGCGAACAGGTCCTTGATCTCCGGGGGTCAAAGCCAACTGATGGCTAAGCTATCAGGAGGCATGAACTTGGTTGATAAGTTCGCTTATCGACCTGTAGTTCGCGAGAGCTACAGGGACAGGTTCATGCACTCTTGCATCATGTATTGGATGCACAGGCCATAACTCTTTAAGGGTGTATGTCTGGTGGATTCATGGCATTCTCTATGTGGTGTAAGACTCTTGATACGTTTGGTCCTCTCGGTTTGAATCCACTGGGCATGCATCCGAAATTATTACATTATGTCAACATGGAACAATGATCGTCTACAATCAATATGTCAGAACATGCAACAAGAAGGAACTGTACACTGGATACGTGGGTTAAAAGGGTCATTTGAGTGTTAAAATTTTTAAGTGTTTATTTAGTCATTAGAAGTTCTAAAACAGTATAGGGGAGGGTTTTCAAGTCCTTAGAAGACATTTTTGTCAAAGTGAATTTTTGAAGAAGTTGGTGGTTTTCTGAGTCTCTGAGCAGAGATACGGACTTCTAAGTGTGTTTTTCGGATTCCTCGACCAAACTTTACCCCCCTTTAATAAACCCCCAAATTTTAACGGCTAAGCTCTATTTTTAACGGGAAAAAAGTTATGCTCAAAAGTTTGACATCTCAGGGTAATTTTTTCACTTTTGGGGTATAATTGAAAAGGATGGTTTTAAATAAGCTTATTTATCATAATATTGATAATTAATAACAAAATTAATAGTTAAGAGTCTTGGTTTTAGTAAAATTCAGCTTTATTTAAAATTTGCTTAAATTCGTGTTCACGGTTTTTGGTCGACTTGCCTTGACTTTTTCGTTTATAACTTTCGGAAAAAAATTAGCAGGGAAATTGTTTATAGCTCTTTCGAAAGCTAATAAATAGGGCTTCAAAAATTACCATAAATTATAAAATTAAAAAATTTTTTAGTGCCAAAAATGTTGGGTGCCGGATGTATGACCCCCTAAAAATTAAAAAATATTTTTTTGTAAAATTTTTGTTTTAATGCGATTTTTTGATTTAAGAATATTGAGTGACTGGGTTTAATTGGGAAAAAACTATTTTAGTTGTCATTAGAGTCTTAGAACGCATATTTGAGTATTTTTAAAATTCTAAAAATTTTTAACAGTTTTTTAACTTAGTTGCGTTAATTTGCTAAATGTATTTTATTGTTGGCTTCATGTTGCTTTATAATTACAGTTAGTTAAAGTTTTTTTAAATTTAATTATTGTTTTTATTAGTTTTTGCCTAAATTCGTGTTCACGGTTTTGGGTCGACTTGCCTTCACTTTTTCGTTTATAACTTTGTCAATAATCATAGTATCGAGGGTGTTTATATCTCATTCGAAAGCTAATAAATAGGGCTTCAAAACGTACCATAAATTATAAAATTAAAAAATTTTTTAGTGCCAAAAATGTTTGGTGCCGTACGTATGACCCCCCTAAAAATTAAAAATGTTATTTTGTAAAATTTTTGTTTTAATGCGGGTTTCTTATTTAAAAATATAGAATAATTGTCTTTAGTTGGGGCAAAAAATAATTTAATTATTGTTAAAGTCTTAGAACGCACATTTGAGTATTTTTAAAATTCTAAAAATTTTAACAATTTTTTAGTTCAGGTCGGTTTATATGATAATTGTATTGTGTTAAATCATCATACGGTTGGATTATATTAATTTCAGTAAGTTAACGTTTTTTCAATTTATTATTATTGTTTTTATTAGTGATTTACTCAGTTATTGAAATATTACCTCATGTGATTGATGATAAACAATTATTTAACATTTGTTTACATATTTAATGTATGTTTGATTTTTATTTTTAGCTGTATAATTTCAAGCTATTATAATTGATATTATAATTATTTATAATTGAATATTTTTAAGTTTAATGTCTTGTAACAATCTAATTACAACAATCAATTTGCTTCACGTATTTTTTGCATTGTTACCTATTCAATTATTTGACGATTTTTCAATCAATTATGATCGGCCTTAATTTATTAGTTAGTTTTCGATTTGCTAAGTTTGTTAGCTTTTGTTTGATTTATTATTAATTTTATTAGCGATTTAATTCATTTATTACTTGGTTGTATTGATTATTTGGTTTATTTGAGATTGTTTCATTTCAATATTTATAATTTGTTTCAATTAATTTGAGTTTGTTTTATTTTTGGTTGTCTGTTTTTAATATTTTAATTTTAAGTTATTTACATGGATTGTTTTACTTAGTAAAGTGTACAGGTTTTTAGTTTAATTAGGGACCCTGAGAATCCGACGGTTTAATATTACTCAATGGCTGTCGGGGGAGGGTGGTGCGCATTTCCGCAAGCCTCCACGAAGGTGACTAGCACCGGGCTGCGCACTGGGCAACTTTTATCCATTTTTTCGTTTGTGATGGATAAAAGGCTAAGTCTATCTCAAAAAGAGAAAGACAGCGGAATAGTCATAAGATTTATTATATGTTAATAGTTAAGTGTAAGCTTAGTACATTCTTTTTAAGTTTTCATTTCAATATTTCGTTTTTTAATAAATTTGTATAATTTGTTGATATATTATTTGTTTACCAAACTATTTTTTATTTTATGAATATTTTTTTTGTTTTTAGCTTTCAACTAAACTTTAATCATTAATATTTTTAGAATAAATACTTAATTCGCTTTAATTTTTTACTATGGTTTCCAAAGAACAAAAAAGGCGTGAAAAGGAGCGTGCTGCTATTAGAAAGAGAAGAAGTGAAAATGCTTCTGTTAGTTCGTTAGATAGTATTGCTGCCAAACGTTTAAATTTTGACAATGATGATCAAAGTATTTAATATTTTTTGCATTTAGTACTTCCTTCTACTTATCTTTAGGCTCTATAACATCTGATGTTTTTGATGTTCCTGCTACGCCAACACATAGCTATGACAATGTTTCCGAAATTGTTTATGGTTACTATCTATTAGGAACTTATATAATTTTTTTGTTCATAGATAATATGGTCACAAACAAGAGTGGGAGGCCTTGTAAAACTAAACGTGTTGGGTCCGGAAGAAAGCCTAAAAATGAAGACCCAGTTTCTAAGTCAGCTGAAAATTTTGAAAATGAAGTTATACAAGGAATTGCTCGCGAATTAGACCTTGAAGATATTGGTTTTTAATATTTTTTATGTTATTTATTGCTAATTTTAGAATCAATTGAATCTACTTCACAAATAAGTGTTTTAACATTTACTTTGCGCCGGTCCACTCGACATTCAAGCACAATAAGCCGTTTCTCTGAAATTTCTTTTGACGATAAGTGGCCTTCATTTCGCCCTGTCACTCATAAATGTTCTTTTTATCATGTTGGTCTTGGATGTGGTGCTAAGAGTGCTAAACATATGCCAAATTATTACAATTCGCTTTGCAAAGTAAATATAACAAAATTATTTAACATGAAACCATTTCTAGAATGACGTTTTGATTGACTCCCGTTGCCCGTTTTGTAAGGCATTATTGCTACCATCGGAGACAATCGGCCCGTCTGCATTTGTTAAATGTTGTGCAAAAGGGCGCATCGATTTGAATGAACGGTTCACGAATCTGCAAGACTTTCCAATTGGAATTGATCTTTTACTTCACAATCCTGCCAACTCTGCGACACGAGATCGTCTTTTGAAAAATGTATTGCGATACAATGACCAGCTTTCTTTTGGCCAACTTCGTATGGAACGAACTTATGACTTTCCAGAATCATATCGGATTGTCAAAACAAATAACATGTTTAATTATATGCTATTTGATTTTCGCGCGCCTGGTGGACAACAACAACCAGAACTTCGTGGTCAATTGTACACAATACCGCCAAATTCCGCTGATATCCGCCTTAATGTACTTTCAGCTGAAAATGAATTAGATGTTTGTTAAAATATATAAAAATTTGACAAATGTTTTTCTTTTTAGCCCTTTATTCTGCAAGAACTATTTACTATCTTAAAACAAAATCATTGGATGGCAGAACTTTTCAAAGTTGCATCTGACGTTTACGAAGATCTTTCGGCCGACTTGCAGCTTCAGTTTCGAATGCTTGTAGTCGATGCCAATAAACGTGGAACAGAGCGCACTATTGAAAACGTTATTAATTAAATTTTATTTCGTATTAATAAAAATTTTAGGTTCCACCTATTGATGTTAATCCATCTGATGCATCTGTTTTACATCAAATTCATCCTGGTCGCCTTAGTGTCGAAACTGCTGCTGGGAGTCAACTTGTCGCGCAATTTTATTTGGATAATGGGGAGAATGTTCCACCAGAAGGAAAATATGACGTAATTCTAACAGGGCAAAAAGGAACAGGCCAAGTCAGTCTGAAATGGTGGCACCGTGCAGCTGATGCAGCATGTTTCCCTATAATTTTTTCAAAAGGACAAAATGGATTTGGTATTTAATGATCAATATTTAATAAAAATATATTTTAAGAAAATGGTATAAAGCTTATTTTGCGACCTGGAGAAAGTTTGCAAGGAGCTAGACGTGTAATTGTTGGAGGTGATGGAGAACTTGACCCAGAAATCGATCTTGGAGAAGGCGAGGAATTTCTCCATGATCTTGGCACAAAACAAGAACATCAACGTGAACATGTTTCAAGGGCTCAATATTTTCGGTACATGTGTCAACATAGAGGAACCTCATGGAAAGCAAATCATTGGCTATGGGAATATGGTCAGTTGGCCCAGCTTTACACGATCACCTATAACCAAAGAATGGAGGCGCAGAAGGTTCAATATATGAAGCAACTTCAAGGCAAATACCGTTATGTCCGTCAGGCTGCTTTACTGGATTGGCTTAAAAAACTTTTGGAAAAACAAGGCAAATAACTATGCTCAATATTTATAATGTAAATTTTAGGATTACAAGGACCCATTGGCCAGGTGTATATGACAAATGAACACTTTAGAGGATCTCGACAATATTACCAAAAGCAATACGCTGCTTGCATGACCATCTGCAGAGAAATTGGTTCGATTGATCTTCTCATCACATATACTATGGACCCGGCTGCACCAGAATTAGACAATATACTTCTTGAACATCAAACCTGGTCAGACCGTCCAATGGAAGTCTGTCGCATTTTTATCGATAAGCTTGCCGAACTTGTAAAGGACATTACTGAGCGTGAAGTACTTGGACCCGTCAAAGGATGGTTTCATAGTCTTGAACACCAGAAACGGTTTTTATTAGTTTATACATATGTCTATATTGTTTTTAGTGGACTTCCTCATGTTCATTTCGCCGTTATCTTGGATTGGGAAAAAATTCGCAAATCTGGCTGTATAACATCAAAAGAAGAATATATGTCACAGTATATTTCTGCTGAAATACCGGATTTGCCAATACCAGAAGATCGCAGAGAATCGGCAGTTTTACAAAGGCTTTTGCATAAAATTGTTGTGACAAAACATGTTCATACATGTAACCAACATTGCCTGCGAGAAGGATTAAGAAGATGTGCTAAACGTTTTCCTGTAAGAATCTTTAAATGTTTTGTTTAATGTTTTTAAATTAGCACAACTATTCCGATAATAACATCTATTCGGACAATTCTTACCCAAAATATCGACGCCGTCCTCCACCACCATCGGAGATTGAACGCAAAAATAATCCTGATTTATATGGAAATTCTCATGAATATACCGATCGTTATGGCAAACATCATGTTGTTACAAATCAATATGTTGTTCCCTATAACCATTTTCTTCTTTCGAAATACAGATCACAGTATCTTTATTTTTTAATACAATTTAATTTTTCGTTTAGCATTAACGTTGAGCTTGTAGCTGGAGATGGATGCGTAAAATATGTGACTAAATATGTGATGAAAGGTGCCGACATGGCATTCATTAGAATTGAACAAGATGGTGTTGAAGGAGGTGCTTGGAGGTATGACGAGTTTCATCAACTTCGTCTTGCACGATACATCACATCTATGGAGGCTTTTTTGTCCCTTTGGGGTACAAAATTGGTCGTGAGATCTCATATTGTATTTTTTTCTATTTTTTCTATTTTTTTATTTATTTGGTTTAGGTTGACGAGCTTGACATTCACGGCCCTCAGGGTCATCATGTTGCTATTGAAGAAGGTAGAGAGTTAGAGATTGCTGAAGAAGTTCAAAAGAGATTAAACGAAGGAGAAGAACGCCGCACCCAATTAACTGCCTATTTCGATTTCAATCGTCAAAGACAATTAATTGGTGATCCACCTGCTGGCTTGACTTATAGTAATGCGTACAAACAACTTCGCTATAATGTCCATAAAAAGAACTGGCAATTATCTGTATACCACCATCAGAAGAAACTTTGTCGAATGCGAACAGTTTCGCCAACTAATTTGGAGCTTCTTGCAATTAGAGTATTAAAAATCAAATTTTTAAATTTACTTTAAATTTATCTATATATAAAAAAATTTTACCAAAAAGTAGCATTTTTTTAAATAACTTTTTTTCTGAGTCTCCGATTTGGATGAAATTTTTTTTGTTGAACCGGAAATTCAAAAAGCTACAAAAAGTCTGTTGACCACGAATTTCGAAAATTTCAGGAATGTCGAAATGTCGAAATTTCGAAACACGAAATTGAGGATGAATGTCCCAAAACGAAATTGGAAAAATAAGGTGCTGGGAAAAGAAATGTAGCCCGTTTAATTCTGCACCGATTAACCGGAGCACTTTTTCAAATTCGATTTCCCTAACCCGAAATATTTTCGGTCGAAAAGGGTACTACCCACTTTTTTTCACTTTTTGTAAAATTGACCGTTTTTTCGACATTTCGACATGAAGACGAAATGCGAAATAAACGATTTTGACTACTGCGATAGAGAAGAGAATTCTCTATCGAATGACCGAAAGACTTTTAAATTTGGACTTTCCGTTCGAAAGTTATGGCCCCTCAAAGTGTCAAAATTTGACAAAAATTTTTGTCAAAATTTTTAACTTTTTTGGGTATCCCGGGAAAGAAAAAATAGGGCTCGACTCGAAAGTCGGATCCGAACAAACTTTTTTTTGTTTGAAAGGGGATATATGGGTCCATAGAGGAAAATTATAGAGAAGTTCCAAAAGTCGACTTAAGGGTGTCAAAAGTCGATTGCGACGAAAATTTAAAAAAAAATTTTTGACATTTCGACATGATCCCGAACTCCTACGATTTCGACCCTTCCCGAAGGTTAAATCTAGACTGAATTTCGTGTCGATTAAAAAAAAGTTCATGGAAAACGGACTTTCCGTTGGGGAGTTATGCTTGCAACAGCGAACCGGGGTTGGGGCAAATTTAGATTTTGTAGGGGTGAATTAGTATAAAACGTCGGCGCGACAGAAGATCACTTTTTTCGTGCTGTTATAAAAATTCTGTCTTGATTCTATAATAGGTAATCGAATATGGGGAGTTCGAAAAAAATATTTTTAGACGGGACACTTGAGTCTCAAAAAAGATATTTGAGTCTGAGTGAAAAAATGGTGATTTTTTGATATTTCTTCGACTTTTCGACATTAAGTCGAAATCCTAAAAATATGTTTTTTAGTACATTTGAATGTACATTTAATTCTCTATCGAACACGAAAAAATTTTACAAAACGGATTATTTGTTGGGAAGTTATAACAGGGCAAATTATCATTTTTTGGCAAAATTTTTTATTTTTCAAACTTTCTGAATAAAATCACATAAAAATGGTAGATGCTCAAAATTTAAAAACTAATTTGAGCAGAACGGAAAGTCGTATCCGGAAAAACTTTTTTTGTTTTTTTGCTTTTTGTTTTTGCTTTTTTGCTTTTTGCTTTTTTGCTTTTTTTGTTTTTTAGCAAATTGATGGGACCACAGGGGAAAATTATGGAGAAGTTCAAAAAGTCGACTTAAGTTGGTCAACTTTCGATATCTGTTTTAGATCTTAACTGAAAATACTTTCTGCTTCAGCTTTTAATTTTTTGCTTCAGTTCTTATCTGAAGCAATTTTTGCTCCAGTTTTTAACTGAAGCTTCTTTTTGCATCAGATTTTAATTGAAGCAATTTTTGCTTCAGTTTTCAATGTTCAATGGCTTTAATGTCGAAATTCGCCAAAAAATTTTTTACAAATCAACTATTGAGCAGCAATTGGTTGTTCTATACCAAATATTTGCTTAAAAATATATTAATTAAAAATTGAACTTTTATATATTAAGTAAATATTAAGCTTTAGATCAGTATATCTAATTATTTAGAAATTGAATTTCTATATATTAAGTAAAATTTTCGAAATTTCGCCATAAATGCGAAATGGAAAATCTGATTTTGACCACTGTATCTAAGCAGGTAATTCTCTGTCAAATGACGTAAAAATTGGTTCAACCGGATTGTCCGTTCCAGAATTATGGTTCGACAAAATGTCGAAATACCCCTTTTTTAATTTTTTTCGATTTTTTGCCCGTTTTTTCGAACTTTCGTCAGGAAGACAAAACAGAAAAATATGAATTTGACTATTGCGAATCAGCAGCAAATTCTCTATTAAATGACTGTAAAATTTTGTAAAACGGTCTATCCATTCGGGAGTTGTGATCCATCAAAATGTCAAAATTTGGCAAAAAAGACAAAATTACAAAACTAGACTTCGGTTGACATGAATATTCAAGTCAAATCTCAACCGACGCTGTTGAAATAAATCTTAAAAAATTCCCCATATTTGAGTTCATATTTTGACAATTTTTCTCACAGATCTGATTATCTGTTAAAAAGTTATTACGGTTTAATTGTGAAAAATAACCGAAAAAATATACCAAAATAATAAACACTTTTGTAAATTACTGAGTCCAATTTGCCAAATTTTAACAAAAAAGGTGTTTTATAGTGGAATAATACATGGAGAATTCAAATCCGTTGTCAGAAAATTTTTAAAAAATTTTTCCGCGATGTTTGAGTCAAACTGGCAGTTTGAGTCTCGGATACTTTCTTCTACTTATATCTCCCGGAGACTCAATTGTAACCCATACAAACCATATATTTTTGGAGTCAGCTGAAGTTGCTCTACAAGATAGGCTATTTAAGTCACATTTCAATTTTTTGACCCGAAAAAATTTCCAAACATTTTTGACACTTAGACTCAAATATCACCGCCCAGACTCAACTGACCCTTTTGAAACTTTTTTTAAAAAATTCCCCATATTCGATTACATATTCGTACCAAATTTCATCCAGATCGGCTGATCCTTTAAAAAGTTATGATGAAATTAAAAAACCCAAAAATCGTAGAAATATATAATATTTCAATTAAGTTTTTATATATGGATTTGGAATTTTTCACTATTTTAAGCATAATTCCTTCTGAATTTTGGTTATGGGGTAGTACCGCGAGGTCCGTTGGGACCGTTTGAGCGGGATCCAAAAAAACCCTTAGGCACAGAGGTGCAGGGACGTGCGATCTTCCAATTCGGGGATCGGAGTGAACCTGTTTACCTTTATGGTAGATAGGATGACTTCCCCTGACGGGAGTGAGCCTTTGGATGGTGTGCATCCAATGTGTCCCGGCTCTCGGAGGGCGCGGGTGGGGTGAGCCCGGTGGCCGTGCTGGATGAACGAAGGCGCTATGCGGAGACTTCGTCTCTGGGCTCTTAGCTGAGTTCTGAAGGATCACACGGTCATCGGTACGGAGTAAGAAAAGCATGGAATGTCCGGCCATGCTGCCCCACTGGAGTCCCTGCCATGTTCGTGGATAAGCTTCGGCTTATTCACCTCACCCTGACGTCCGAAGCGTATGGGGTGTGATGGCATATTCCAAACGCACCGGAATAAAACCTGGCAGCTCGATGTTCGCCCTGGTGTGGCAACTCCCGAGGCGTGCGAACAGGTCCTTGATCTCCGGGGGTCAAAGCCAACTGATGGCTAAGCTATCAGGAGGCATGAACTTGGTTGATAAGTTCGCTTATCGACCTGTAGTTCGCGAGAGCTACAGGGACAGGTTCATGCACTCTTGCATCATGTATTGGATGCACAGGCCATAACTCTTTAAGGGTGTATGTCTGGTGGATTCATGGCATTCTCTATGTGGTGTAAGACTCTTGATACGTTTGGTCCTCTCGGTTTGAATCCACTGGGCATGCATCCGAAATTATTACATTATGTCAACATGGAACAATGATCGTCTACAATCAATATGTCAGAACATGCAACAAGAAGGAACTGTACACTGGATACGTGGGTTAAAAGGGTCATTTGAGTGTTAAAATTTTTAAGTGTTTATTTAGTCATTAGAAGTTCTAAAACAGTATAGGGGAGGGTTTTCAAGTCCTTAGAAGACATTTTTGTCAAAGTGAATTTTTGAAGAAGTTGGTGGTTTTCTGAGTCTCTGAGCAGAGATACGGACTTCTAAGTGTGTTTTTCGGATTCCTCGACCAAACTTTACCCCCCTTTAATAAACCCCCAAATTTTAACGGCTAAGCTCTATTTTTAACGGGAAAAAAGTTATGCTCAAAAGTTTGACATCTCAGGGTAATTTTTTCACTTTTGGGGTATAATTGAAAAGGATGGTTTTAAATAAGCTTATTTATCATAATATTGATAATTAATAACAAAATTAATAGTTAAGAGTCTTGGTTTTAGTAAAATTCAGCTTTATTTAAAATTTGCTTAAATTCGTGTTCACGGTTTTTGGTCGACTTGCCTTGACTTTTTCGTTTATAACTTTCGGAAAAAAATTAGCAGGGAAATTGTTTATAGCTCTTTCGAAAGCTAATAAATAGGGCTTCAAAAATTACCATAAATTATAAAATTAAAAAATTTTTTAGTGCCAAAAATGTTGGGTGCCGGATGTATGACCCCCTAAAAATTAAAAAATATTTTTTTGTAAAATTTTTGTTTTAATGCGATTTTTTGATTTAAGAATATTGAGTGACTGGGTTTAATTGGGAAAAAACTATTTTAGTTGTCATTAGAGTCTTAGAACGCATATTTGAGTATTTTTAAAATTCTAAAAATTTTTAACAGTTTTTTAACTTAGTTGCGTTAATTTGCTAAATGTATTTTATTGTTGGCTTCATGTTGCTTTATAATTACAGTTAGTTAAAGTTTTTTTAAATTTAATTATTGTTTTTATTAGTTTTTGCCTAAATTCGTGTTCACGGTTTTGGGTCGACTTGCCTTCACTTTTTCGTTTATAACTTTGTCAATAATCATAGTATCGAGGGTGTTTATATCTCATTCGAAAGCTAATAAATAGGGCTTCAAAACGTACCATAAATTATAAAATTAAAAAATTTTTTAGTGCCAAAAATGTTTGGTGCCGTACGTATGACCCCCCTAAAAATTAAAAATGTTATTTTGTAAAATTTTTGTTTTAATGCGGGTTTCTTATTTAAAAATATAGAATAATTGTCTTTAGTTGGGGCAAAAAATAATTTAATTATTGTTAAAGTCTTAGAACGCACATTTGAGTATTTTTAAAATTCTAAAAATTTTAACAATTTTTTAGTTCAGGTCGGTTTATATGATAATTGTATTGTGTTAAATCATCATACGGTTGGATTATATTAATTTCAGTAAGTTAACGTTTTTTCAATTTATTATTATTGTTTTTATTAGTGATTTACTCAGTTATTGAAATATTACCTCATGTGATTGATGATAAACAATTATTTAACATTTGTTTACATATTTAATGTATGTTTGATTTTTATTTTTAGCTGTATAATTTCAAGCTATTATAATTGATATTATAATTATTTATAATTGAATATTTTTAAGTTTAATGTCTTGTAACAATCTAATTACAACAATCAATTTGCTTCACGTATTTTTTGCATTGTTACCTATTCAATTATTTGACGATTTTTCAATCAATTATGATCGGCCTTAATTTATTAGTTAGTTTTCGATTTGCTAAGTTTGTTAGCTTTTGTTTGATTTATTATTAATTTTATTAGCGATTTAATTCATTTATTACTTGGTTGTATTGATTATTTGGTTTATTTGAGATTGTTTCATTTCAATATTTATAATTTGTTTCAATTAATTTGAGTTTGTTTTATTTTTGGTTGTCTGTTTTTAATATTTTAATTTTAAGTTATTTACATGGATTGTTTTACTTAGTAAAGTGTACAGGTTTTTAGTTTAATTAGGGACCCTGAGAATCCGACGGTTTAATATTACTCAATGGCTGTCGGGGGAGGGTGGTGCGCATTTCCGCAAGCCTCCACGAAGGTGACTAGCACCGGGCTGCGCACTGGGCAACTTTTATCCATTTTTTCGTTTGTGATGGATAAAAGGCTAAGTCTATCTCAAAAAGAGAAAGACAGCGGAATAGTCATAAGATTTATTATATGTTAATAGTTAAGTGTAAGCTTAGTACATTCTTTTTAAGTTTTCATTTCAATATTTCGTTTTTTAATAAATTTGTATAATTTGTTGATATATTATTTGTTTACCAAACTATTTTTTATTTTATGAATATTTTTTTTGTTTTTAGCTTTCAACTAAACTTTAATCATTAATATTTTTAGAATAAATACTTAATTCGCTTTAATTTTTTACTATGGTTTCCAAAGAACAAAAAAGGCGTGAAAAGGAGCGTGCTGCTATTAGAAAGAGAAGAAGTGAAAATGCTTCTGTTAGTTCGTTAGATAGTATTGCTGCCAAACGTTTAAATTTTGACAATGATGATCAAAGTATTTAATATTTTTTGCATTTAGTACTTCCTTCTACTTATCTTTAGGCTCTATAACATCTGATGTTTTTGATGTTCCTGCTACGCCAACACATAGCTATGACAATGTTTCCGAAATTGTTTATGGTTACTATCTATTAGGAACTTATATAATTTTTTTGTTCATAGATAATATGGTCACAAACAAGAGTGGGAGGCCTTGTAAAACTAAACGTGTTGGGTCCGGAAGAAAGCCTAAAAATGAAGACCCAGTTTCTAAGTCAGCTGAAAATTTTGAAAATGAAGTTATACAAGGAATTGCTCGCGAATTAGACCTTGAAGATATTGGTTTTTAATATTTTTTATGTTATTTATTGCTAATTTTAGAATCAATTGAATCTACTTCACAAATAAGTGTTTTAACATTTACTTTGCGCCGGTCCACTCGACATTCAAGCACAATAAGCCGTTTCTCTGAAATTTCTTTTGACGATAAGTGGCCTTCATTTCGCCCTGTCACTCATAAATGTTCTTTTTATCATGTTGGTCTTGGATGTGGTGCTAAGAGTGCTAAACATATGCCAAATTATTACAATTCGCTTTGCAAAGTAAATATAACAAAATTATTTAACATGAAACCATTTCTAGAATGACGTTTTGATTGACTCCCGTTGCCCGTTTTGTAAGGCATTATTGCTACCATCGGAGACAATCGGCCCGTCTGCATTTGTTAAATGTTGTGCAAAAGGGCGCATCGATTTGAATGAACGGTTCACGAATCTGCAAGACTTTCCAATTGGAATTGATCTTTTACTTCACAATCCTGCCAACTCTGCGACACGAGATCGTCTTTTGAAAAATGTATTGCGATACAATGACCAGCTTTCTTTTGGCCAACTTCGTATGGAACGAACTTATGACTTTCCAGAATCATATCGGATTGTCAAAACAAATAACATGTTTAATTATATGCTATTTGATTTTCGCGCGCCTGGTGGACAACAACAACCAGAACTTCGTGGTCAATTGTACACAATACCGCCAAATTCCGCTGATATCCGCCTTAATGTACTTTCAGCTGAAAATGAATTAGATGTTTGTTAAAATATATAAAAATTTGACAAATGTTTTTCTTTTTAGCCCTTTATTCTGCAAGAACTATTTACTATCTTAAAACAAAATCATTGGATGGCAGAACTTTTCAAAGTTGCATCTGACGTTTACGAAGATCTTTCGGCCGACTTGCAGCTTCAGTTTCGAATGCTTGTAGTCGATGCCAATAAACGTGGAACAGAGCGCACTATTGAAAACGTTATTAATTAAATTTTATTTCGTATTAATAAAAATTTTAGGTTCCACCTATTGATGTTAATCCATCTGATGCATCTGTTTTACATCAAATTCATCCTGGTCGCCTTAGTGTCGAAACTGCTGCTGGGAGTCAACTTGTCGCGCAATTTTATTTGGATAATGGGGAGAATGTTCCACCAGAAGGAAAATATGACGTAATTCTAACAGGGCAAAAAGGAACAGGCCAAGTCAGTCTGAAATGGTGGCACCGTGCAGCTGATGCAGCATGTTTCCCTATAATTTTTTCAAAAGGACAAAATGGATTTGGTATTTAATGATCAATATTTAATAAAAATATATTTTAAGAAAATGGTATAAAGCTTATTTTGCGACCTGGAGAAAGTTTGCAAGGAGCTAGACGTGTAATTGTTGGAGGTGATGGAGAACTTGACCCAGAAATCGATCTTGGAGAAGGCGAGGAATTTCTCCATGATCTTGGCACAAAACAAGAACATCAACGTGAACATGTTTCAAGGGCTCAATATTTTCGGTACATGTGTCAACATAGAGGAACCTCATGGAAAGCAAATCATTGGCTATGGGAATATGGTCAGTTGGCCCAGCTTTACACGATCACCTATAACCAAAGAATGGAGGCGCAGAAGGTTCAATATATGAAGCAACTTCAAGGCAAATACCGTTATGTCCGTCAGGCTGCTTTACTGGATTGGCTTAAAAAACTTTTGGAAAAACAAGGCAAATAACTATGCTCAATATTTATAATGTAAATTTTAGGATTACAAGGACCCATTGGCCAGGTGTATATGACAAATGAACACTTTAGAGGATCTCGACAATATTACCAAAAGCAATACGCTGCTTGCATGACCATCTGCAGAGAAATTGGTTCGATTGATCTTCTCATCACATATACTATGGACCCGGCTGCACCAGAATTAGACAATATACTTCTTGAACATCAAACCTGGTCAGACCGTCCAATGGAAGTCTGTCGCATTTTTATCGATAAGCTTGCCGAACTTGTAAAGGACATTACTGAGCGTGAAGTACTTGGACCCGTCAAAGGATGGTTTCATAGTCTTGAACACCAGAAACGGTTTTTATTAGTTTATACATATGTCTATATTGTTTTTAGTGGACTTCCTCATGTTCATTTCGCCGTTATCTTGGATTGGGAAAAAATTCGCAAATCTGGCTGTATAACATCAAAAGAAGAATATATGTCACAGTATATTTCTGCTGAAATACCGGATTTGCCAATACCAGAAGATCGCAGAGAATCGGCAGTTTTACAAAGGCTTTTGCATAAAATTGTTGTGACAAAACATGTTCATACATGTAACCAACATTGCCTGCGAGAAGGATTAAGAAGATGTGCTAAACGTTTTCCTGTAAGAATCTTTAAATGTTTTGTTTAATGTTTTTAAATTAGCACAACTATTCCGATAATAACATCTATTCGGACAATTCTTACCCAAAATATCGACGCCGTCCTCCACCACCATCGGAGATTGAACGCAAAAATAATCCTGATTTATATGGAAATTCTCATGAATATACCGATCGTTATGGCAAACATCATGTTGTTACAAATCAATATGTTGTTCCCTATAACCATTTTCTTCTTTCGAAATACAGATCACAGTATCTTTATTTTTTAATACAATTTAATTTTTCGTTTAGCATTAACGTTGAGCTTGTAGCTGGAGATGGATGCGTAAAATATGTGACTAAATATGTGATGAAAGGTGCCGACATGGCATTCATTAGAATTGAACAAGATGGTGTTGAAGGAGGTGCTTGGAGGTATGACGAGTTTCATCAACTTCGTCTTGCACGATACATCACATCTATGGAGGCTTTTTTGTCCCTTTGGGGTACAAAATTGGTCGTGAGATCTCATATTGTATTTTTTTCTATTTTTTCTATTTTTTTATTTATTTGGTTTAGGTTGACGAGCTTGACATTCACGGCCCTCAGGGTCATCATGTTGCTATTGAAGAAGGTAGAGAGTTAGAGATTGCTGAAGAAGTTCAAAAGAGATTAAACGAAGGAGAAGAACGCCGCACCCAATTAACTGCCTATTTCGATTTCAATCGTCAAAGACAATTAATTGGTGATCCACCTGCTGGCTTGACTTATAGTAATGCGTACAAACAACTTCGCTATAATGTCCATAAAAAGAACTGGCAATTATCTGTATACCACCATCAGAAGAAACTTTGTCGAATGCGAACAGTTTCGCCAACTAATTTGGAGCTTCTTGCAATTAGAGTATTAAAAATCAAATTTTTAAATTTACTTTAAATTTAGATCTTGCTAACTGTCGTTGTTGATCCCACTTGCTGGGAGGACCTGCGCACTTTTGAAGATGTTGTCTACCCAACATTTTTAGAAGCTGCTAAGGCTAGAGGACTAATGTCAGACGATGTAATTTGGAGAAAAACGATTCAAGAAGCTTTTGATTCTAATAAGCGCATTCAACAGCGCATTCGTTGGCTTGCCATGTTCTTCGGATCCACGAATCTTACTAATCCAACTGCTTTGTTAGACTATGTTATTCAATTGCCGGAAGATTGGCTTGTATGTGTTAAAATAACTATTCTGTTTTATTTTTAATTTAGTATGGAACACGTGTTGCGCAGTTGGATTTCGAAGCACGCCGAGATTATGTTTTGTGCAATATGGAGTGGTTTTTGAGAGCAAATGGAATAAGACCAGATGAGATTGAAAGGGAAGATGGTTCTTTTGAAACGGCTTGTGAGAGGATTCGGTAAAGATTATAACTTACAAGTGAACCTATCGTTTATTATAACAGGCTCCCACGTCCATCTCTCCGAAACATTCAACCTGAATTGCTTAACGATGCCGAAATTGATCCTGAAATGATGATAAGAACGCATGTTGATAGTCCTTTCTTAGAACAACACCAACGAGGCTCAACACAAGACTATTATCTTCGCCTGTTTTACAATGATCCTCGCCCAACTGAGGAACAACAAAACTTCATTGATGAAATTGTCCGAGGTATGTGGAGCGCACGTCATGTCATCGACGGTTCTGAAACATCTTTTGCGCAAGACATTCCGCGATATTTCTTCATAACAGGAGAAGGTGGTTCAGGAAAAACGTTTATGTATAATGTATGTTTATGCACTTAAATTGAGTTTAAAATTATATTTATAGAAATTAATTGCTTTTCTGCATGCGAATGAGTTTATGATAATGTCTATGGCAAGTACTGGTATAGCTGCTGAGCTTCTTTATGGTGGAGCTACAGTTCATAAAAGACTTTGCCGCCAAAAACATGTTGATTCGTCTACTCAACCATTTGTCGACTATCGAAGCCAGTTCGCCGATACTATCCGTAAACTTCATGGAATTATTATTGATGAAATTAGTATGCAGCATAAGGATGTCATTGACTTTGTCGATCGTCTTTTTCGATCCGTTGCTCCTCGACCACTGAAGAATATCCCGTTTGGTGGAAAAGTAAATTAACAAATAATTTTTATATATAATTAAATTTTTAAGTGCGTTGTTCTTGGAGGAGATTGGAAACAACTTCTTCCTGTCGTTGCTGGTGGTACATTATTACATCAATTTGACGCGTCAATAAGGAACACGGCACTTTTCAAGAACTTTGTTACAAAAAAATTACACTCAAATCTTCGGTTACATCCTGGTCAAGAACAATACAGAACTTTGCTGAAATGCGTCGGTACTGGTGTTTTGAATGATTCAGATGAGCGAGTTCAACTCCCAGTTGACATTTGTGTTAACTCGAGAGAAGAACTGATAAACTTTGTTTATCCGCAAGATCTGCTTCAGTCAGCAATTCATCGCTGGGAAGAGTTTTGTGGTCGTGCAATTTTGTGCCCACTCAACACAGAAACATTTGAAATGAATAATATTATCTTGGTATAATTTAATTTTATGTTTAAAATTTAATTAATAAATAGGATCGCATTGCCGGACACGAACAAACTTATATGTCGATAACAACGCCTATAATGGATGAAGATTCTCTCGAAAACAATGCTTCTGATATTGACTATGAAAACTTGACAAGGCAAACACCGCCTGGAATTCCGGAACATGCACTTCGTGTACGCATTGGAGCTATAATGATGATAATTATTAACTTATCTGTAATAGTTGTTAATTTTTTTAATATTATTTATATAATTAAGGTTCAAAATGGTCTATGCAATGGAACCAGAGTCCAGATTGTTGGTTTACGCCAAAATCTTATTCGTTGCCGAATTCTGTCTGGCTCCGGGAAAGGAAATGAACACGATTTGTTTAGAACACGTTTCCAATATGGTGCCGATCCTAAAGCCCCACAAGAAGGCATGGTTCGAGTTGAACGAGTTCAGTTTCCGTTGCGTCCAGGTGCCGTCATGACTATTAACAAGTCTCAAGGGTAAATACTTTTTTAAAAATATTTATGTAAAATATATTATAGACAAACTCTTTCTCGCGTTGGCGTTGCACTCGACCATTCTCAGTGCTTCTCCCATGGACAACTCTATGTTGCTCTTTCAAGAGCCCGTGACGCAGAAAGTGTGAAGGTCGCCACACTCCGCAAAGATCGCAGAGTGAAGAACCCAGTCATTCCTGCAATGATTGATGAAGAAGACTTCAACGAGCTTGGACCAACGGAGATCGCCATGTCATCCGGCGACGAACCAGTTCTAATTGAACGGATTTCACACGAACAGGTACTTTATAAAATAAATTCAAAATTTATAAATTAATATAGACAACAACATCGTCTGCTGCTTTTATCTCACAACAGCCAACAACATCGGTTAATGCTTTAAATTCACAACAGCCAACAACATCGGCTACTGATTTTACACAGGCAACAACATCGCCAATTATTCAACAAAACAAGACATCACAAAGACCTGCTAATTCTATAAACTATTTCCTAGATAACGTTACTGGCGACGGAGATTGTTTATTTCGGTTTAATTGATTTAATTTTTTTGAAAACCGTAAATTATAGATCAATTGTTCGTGCGTTATATGCTGGATCAGAGGGACTGGCTTTGCACGCTAATTTCTTATACGAAGACTATCAAAGAGGACTAAGAAGACTTATTGCACGTCGTTATCAAGAAGACCTGCACAACATCGCAGATGAACACCTCACTGATGAGCGCATTCACGAGATCGAATGGGACGCTCCACATATTCGACAGGCTGGACTTCGTTTGGATGTGACAGATCCTCGAAGATCTATGCGAGAATATAGTCTTCACATGATGCAGCCGGCAAACAACAACAACACACGCTATGGATCTCATCTTGAAATCCGTTATGCTGAAATTGTTCTTGGGCGCCGTATACTCATCGTTGAAAATCTCCGACGTCGCGTAGTTGATGAAAATGGCCGTGTTCAATGGAGAATTATGCCAAACGAATACCAAGGAATTTTCCTCTCTCCTGGCCTTTCTGCAGAAGAGATGGGGCTTACAAGCATCACTAACTTTGGTCAAATATTTCAAATACTCCGTGCACATAATATGGATAACACCATCGTCCTTAGACTAGAAGGATTACATTATCGGCCAATTTATTTGGTAGATTATTTTTACTGTAACATAGATTAAATAAAAAATTTAAGCGTCCGATGCCTGATGAACATGGTGAAGAGAATGCTAGAATTTTAGATCTGCTAAGCGACGTCCCATCAGAACCTTGGACCCCACAATGATAAATTTAAAATATGATTATGCTGTTTTTACGAATTTAGTATATGATTTGGTTTCGGATGATTTCTGGATTTTTGACAAATTTGTTTGTTTATTATGTATGTTATTTGCAATTTAATTAAAATAATTTAATATTTCGTTAAGTGTAATTAGTTTGAAGTTGTTAATGATACTTATAAAATTTTGTTTTTAAGGAAGTTTTATGTTGCGTTATTTTTTGGATGATATTTGTTTGGAAGCTTTGTTATGTTATTTGGATATTTTGAAATGTTTATTTTTTGTTTATTTTGGGAATCAATTTGTCATGGCTTTACGTTAATTAGTTTTATTGAATATATGTCTTAGTATTTTTTCGTTTTTTGGTTGTCTTGGATTATTAGTTTTTTTGGGTTTTTGGAAAAGAAGTTGAGAATTGTTTGGAGAATTGTATGTAGTTTAAATTATGGATAATATTTAAAATTTTTTAAGGAGGAATAGAGATTTGTATGGAAAAAATTTGTGTGTTGAATATTTTTGGATTAGATTTTATGTTGTTTGGTTGGTTGATTTTGAGTACGTTGTATGTTTTGGATTTTAAATTCATTAGATGTTTTGGATTATACGCTTTTGGATTTTTTACAAAGAAATGGATAATTGTTTGGATAAATGTATGTAGTTAAGCTTATATAATAATATTTAAAAATTTTATTAAGGACGAAATTGAGATATAAATTGAAAATATCTTGGATGATGTTTGGTTATTGGATTGGATTTTATGTTATTTAGATTTAGATGTTATGTAAGAATCTTAAATTACTAAATATATTCATATTTTTAGTTAAGGAGTAAGTGCGGGTTGTTAGAAATATTTTGGTTGTTGGGTTATTTATTTTGGATTGGATTTTAATTTGTTGTGATGTTTTGGATGTTTGGATTTTAAGTTCTTTGGATTGTGGGGAGATATAAAAGAGAATTGCTTGGGTAAATTTATATAGTTTAAATTATTGAATAATATTTAAACTTTTTTTAAGGATAAAATTGTGTTTTGTTGTGAATATTTTGATTGTTTAGCTATTTATTGTGGATTGGATTTTAAGACGTTGGGATGTTTTTGGAATTGAATTTTTTGGTGACTAGAATTAAATGTGTTGGATTTTTGGAAAAGTGTTGCGAATTGCTAGGATTAATGTATGGAGTTTAAAATAATTTAAAAAAATTATAATTTTCATTAAGGAGGAATTGAGATTTATTATGAAAATATTTTGTATGCTGAGTTATTTTTTGGATGGAATTATGTTGTTTGGATTGTATGGTTATAAGTTTGTTGTATTTTTGGGTGTTTAGATTTTGTGTTTTCTGAACTTTGGATGTTAAATTTGTTAGATGCTTTGGTTATTAATTGTTTTGGGTCTATTAGGTGTTGGAAATTTTTTTAAAGCGAGATATTATGTTAAATTTTTGATTCTTTGATTGTCTATTTTAATTTTAATATGTTAATGTTATTTTTATATATTGAGCCATTGAAACATTAAATCTAAATTTTGTTTTTAAATGTTACAATAACTTTTATTTTAGGTTTGGGGAGGGATGTGTGACACATCTCACTCATTCCTAAGAATTCAAATTTTCATTTATTCTTGGCTCCTTATATTTATTTTGTAAAGTTTATTCTGTTAATTTTATTTTTTCGTTTTGTTTGTTTTTTACTTATTTTAATTGAATGTTATTTACTTTTTATATATTGAGCCAGAAATTTTTTTATTTAAATTTTGTTTTTAAAGTAACATATCATTTATTTTAGGTTTGGGGAGGGATGTGTAACGCATCTCACTCATTCCTAAGAATTCAAATTTTCACAATTTTTGGCTCCTTATATTTTTTCTTGATAAGTATGTTTTGTTTCATTTATTTTGTGTTATTTTATTTTTTGCTTATTTTTTTGCTTTCTTTCATTTAAAATATTTACCTACTTTATATTGAGCCAGAAAAATTTTTATTTAAATTTTGTTTTTAAAGTAACATAACTTTTATTTTAGGTTTGGGGAGGGATGTGTAATGCATCTCACTCATTCCTAAGAATTCAAATTTTCACAATTTTTGGCTCCTTATATTTTTTTAATTATAATTTATCTGTGATATTTTTTGTTAAATTATTCTATTTTAATAATTGGTTTAAAAAAATTTTTGAAAAGTAAAATTTTAAATTTTTGTTGTATTTAATATTATTATTAAAAGTATTGACCTACAAATAGTTTAAAACTTACTTTATATTAAGTTATATATTTTAAAGAAAATTCTTTATATGTCAAGAATGCCCAATCAGATTTTTAAATTTGATTTTTATCTAAAAATTTTGACATATAATTTATTTTCAATTAACAGCGATTTACTTATAATTGAAGATAATTAGATAATGTCTTAATAAAATAACTCAAACTTTTTGGATAAGCCATGGCACTGAAATTAATAAATAATGACCAGCCTGATTTTTTAAATTTTATCTCCATCCAAAAATATAGAATTTTAAAAAATTGCAAATCATGTCTGAGACTGAAATTTTTCTAGGACGCTAACTTTGTGGAAAATTTTTGCAGAATTTTTCTGAGAACGGATTTGAATTTAGCGTGTACTGTTCCACTATAAATCATATTTTTCAGCTAAAATAAAAACATTTTATTCCCTCGATTTTTTCAATATGGGTACCCCTATTCAAAAAAATTTGGAAAATCTTACTTGGCCATAACTTTTTAAGGGATTAATATTTTTGAATGGGTTTTCTTTTATAAATAAGAGAAAAAAATTAGAAATTTTTTAAAATCAAAATAATTATAAAAATTTCTTATCTGGAGGAGTAGGGGTCAATTTTTAAAAATCCAAAATTTTACAGTTTTTCAAAAATTTTTTGGGTTTTCGACGTTAGAGCTAAGTGAAATGATTTTTCCTATGAAAAGCCAATTTTTCTACATAATATAAAAGTTAAAAATATTTAAAAATTTATACTTTGAAAAAGTTATGATTTTTTAAAAATTTCGAGCAATTTTTCGACCATGATTTCCGGCCAAAAAATATTTTTTCCCAAAATAAAGATAAATGGGTCAAATAATATATCATTCGAAAGCTCTTATCAAGCTGAGTCTAAAAATAATTTTTGTAAAATTTTCTGATCAACTGTGCTCAAGTAAAAAAATAAAAATTTTTCAAATTACACAATAATCCTCATAAAAGTATTAATAAAAATTTTTTACGTGTTTTCTCAAATTTTTTAAATACCTAATCATATACCCACTACAAATTACGCTAGAGACAGCAGTTTCTCCCATGCCCAGAGGCAACGCCCCAGACGCTAGTCTGTTTACTCAACCAAAAAATATGTAAAGCGAATAGTTAGCTAATTATTAATTCTTTTTTCCTTTTCTCTTTTCTAATGCCACAAAAAAGTAAAAAAAGAATGTGTTTTTGACATTTAACAGTTGTTGAAAATATATGTAGACAATCCTTCAACATCAAAAATTTTTAACTTTTTTTTAATAAAAAGAAAGAGTTCATTTAAAATAAATTGATTATTATGATTTTCTTTTTTTTTTAAATAAAAAAGAAGGAAAGTAAATTTTATTTATTTGAACAGCGTTAAACTTATTCAAATTTAATAATTTAGTACATATAATGGTTAATGTAAATGCCAGTAAATTACTTTTTGCTACAGCTTCGATAGATGCAGATGAAGCAGAAAAACAACGTCGATTATTTATACTTGGATTAATGATATTATTTGGATGGATGTTAGTTATTGTATTTTGTGTTTATCCACAGGTAATTGTTAAAATAAAAACAGAAATAGAAAAGTACAAAATAAAATTTGAAAATGTTTACTGAATTAACATATCACGGAGAAAATTCCCTTTAAGGATATCTAATTCAGATTGTAAACCACCGAAATATTATCAATTATAACGATGTTTTTACTAATTATTTTTAAATTAAAGTTATTTTCTGATTTATTTACTCGATATTTGTGTTGCTGTTTTACAAGATTATCGGGTAAAAAACAACAAGGATTAGAAGAATTGGCAGCTTTGAAGCGAGAACAAGAACGTGTTCGAACATCAAACCGAACATTCATTGGGCTTTCATTGGCAACCACAAGCCCTTCAAATATTTTGCTCAAACAGGTATTTTAAATAATTAAAAATAAAAAATGTGGGGAAAATTGTTTAGAAAGTTAGAATATTTTATGGGGAAAATCTGCGATTACATATTTTTAGACATAAATTGAACCTAAATAAACATGGGCATTTACTAAATGTCTTAATTATGAAAAAATAGCTAAAAGAGTGTTATGAAAGATTAAATATTTAATGTTAAAAATCAAGCAAAATTAAGGTTGGATTCGATGGAAATATGGTTGAATATGATACACAAAGGAAACAATTTGTTTCTGCCAGTATAGCAATTCCAGAGTCAATTTTAGAAATCGAGGTGAATTTAATTAATAAAAATTATTTAAGAAAAAATTTAAAAATAAAGGATATTGATTATAAAGAAAGTGAAGAAGAGGAGGAAGATAAAATAGAAAGAAGTAAAAGGGAATCACAAAAATCAAAAAAATCTAACAAGAAATTACATTTAAAAGATGCTCAATAATTTTTTTGTTCAAAATACTTTTAATTGATCTCACTTAAAGAACTTATAAAAAATAACTTTTTAAAACTATTTTAATCAAATAATCTGATCCCTTGTTTTTACAATGAGACGTTCTCTATGAACCTCTCATTACCAGAAATACTACTTAACCACTAAATTTGTTAAATATTAAAAAAACCTACAAAACGTCAACCAATTTTTGATTGAGTGTGCAATTCAATAGCAACCAACCCGTAAATAAATAACAAAAATCCAAGTTTAAAGAAATTATCTAAAAATATTACATATCAAAATTATATTATTTGAAAATATTTAAAAACAATATATGCAATATTCTACATATAATCTTTACAAAATATCCCAGGCTTTTCAACGTTTAATGAATAATAGAACAAACAATTTAAAAAAAATATTGTGTAAAATATGAATAATGATCTTTGAGAAAATAACAACTTTTATTAAATTTAAGTACTCATTTATATAAAATTTAGTTTCAAGTGATACATTTTCATTATACAGTAGAACGTAAACCAGTTTTATAACCACAAATATGGAGCAAAAAACCCATCACCCTTCGTCAATGAGAGACTGAAAAGATAATAAAAAACGCAAAATGGCGGGAGTAATAAACTACTAGAATGGCTTGACGAGAGAAACTTCGCCTCATTAAATGGCAGACCTCTGAGACTATTTTAATAAATAGAAAAAAAATGTAAAATAAAGAATTTGTTAATGAATATTGTCAATTAATAATAGGCGTTTATAAAAAAATTTGGGGCATATATGTGGGAGATGATCACACTAAATAGGTGGGAAAAATAATAATTAATTGATGGTTGGTTAAATTAAATTTAAACTAAAATATATTTTGGATGGATAGAGGAGTATTTTAACGCTGCTAAAAATTCTTAACAAAAAATAAAAGTAAATTTAGATGTTCAAAAATTAATTGTTTTGAAATTATTAACAATTTTTAGCGGCAATACTTAAAATATTTAAATATTTAATATATATTTAGGTCAGAATTTGGGAGAAATAAATAATAAAATTAAATTTTAAAAAATATTCTAAAGGGTAAATCAAAGATATTAAACGTCATTTTTCACCTTCTAAATTATTTAAATTAAATTTACTTTTCCAATTTCTTATTGATGTCGTCGCAATTCTCTTGTCAATTTTTCCTCAGCTAATCTCACTGCTTGTGGAATTCGTTGATCTGTTTTTGATTTATAACATCCAAGGAGTTTCTCACAATGTTCGTCACCACGTGAAATACCATCCATCTAAAGAATATTTTTTAAGGGAGAAAACATGTACATTGACGGGAATAGTGAACTTTAATTATTCCCAATTTTTTTTGAAAATTTTAATTCAACTTCGAATTATTAATTCAAAAAGAATTTACCTTCTTTAAAAGATCATAAATAATTTCATCACTGACGTAAGAATTATGCTTATAATCTGAATGATTTTGCACAAAAGATCGCATCCAACTAGCTGTAGTCATAATTTCTCCTTTTGCTCGTTTTTGTATAAACGATAAATATTGATTGATTGTACAACGTGTATCAACATCAACATCAGCTCCATCAAGAAATTGTCTAATTAAAGGTGCAAGTCCAGAGAATTGACTATTTCCTTAAAAATATTTTTTAAGTTTAAAAACAATATTTAAAACCGTTAACAATTTCATCTATTGTCATTTCTGTAGTATTATAGTCAGGTTCTGGTTCAGCTGGCGGCTGTCCTTCTGTACATGGCTTACCTTCAGGCGTATGTTGGCAGTTGGCCATTTTTGAGCGAAACTACAAAAACAAAGTTTTTTTAAACAAAATTTAAGCTTTACATGAAACTTTTCAGTCAAAATAGCATTTCTTCTCTTAAATTTAAATTAGAAAAATATTTATTTAAAATAGTTAACTGTTGCTCGTTTCATATTTTCCGAAACAAGAGAGATTCGAATAAGAAAAGTAAGTCGATAAGAAACAATTACTCTGAAAAATAATAAATAAAATATTTTTTAAATAATAACCTTGTTAGTAAAACTAAAAAACAACAATATGCAGCATTTTCAAAATTTGTCAATTGAACCTGAAAATGAAACAGAAAAATTAATAAAAAGAATTTTTTTACCTCTGTTGGACGAAACTCAACACGCCATCCAATTTCTGGCGCGTCAGGAGGAGGTGGCTTGAATCGCATATTCATCCAATTAGAGGATTGGATTGTTTCAAAATGTTCAGTAGATCTCTGGTCATCTTGTTCAATACGTTCTTTAAAAACCTGATAAGAAAAATAAATTTGTTGATATTGTAAGCTCTCGCTCATTATTAAAAAACCTGTAGAGGATCACGAATAAACATATGAGCAAAATGTCTTGCCAAATATTCATCAACCCCACCATCAACTAATTGTTGATAATGTTTTTGTTGATATTGTAATGGTAAATCATTATAAGGCGCAGAACATGGATAAATATAGCAATCAGTACTGTCATATCTGCTCTTTGGAATATTTTTGAATAAACTATATCCATCAGGAGCTGTTCCAGTCGAATCAAGTTCTGATGGTTCTTTTCCACGTTCAAAATTTGTTCGATCATCAACAGAAGCAGAAATTATATCCCAACGAGAATCAAGGTCAGAAAGATAAGAACGAAAAATAGGAGTAGCTAAAAAAGGAACAATAAAAATTGAATTAAGAAAATACCGGCACTCAACGCAACCATAACTGGAGTAATAATTGTGAGTTGGTCATAAAGCCAACGAGCTTCTTGAACATTTACCGCCTGAAAAGTCATTTGTAAACAACAAAGTCCCATTCCAAATCCCATATGGTCCATATAAATGTGATCAGGAAGAGCAGCACGAGCAGCTTCCGGATCGGTAAACTTTTCCTTAAAAGATAACAAAATTAGAGTAAAATACTTTTTCTTACAATAAAAGGTTTTGGAGTATTCGTATCGCGGAAGATTGGAACATTAATTGCGACCTTTTCTCCACGTCTTGCACGAATGTTTCTCACCAAATTACGAAATCTAAAAACATTAAATAAAGAAATAAAGCGTTAAAGACCTTGGGTGACCCTGATAAATTCCTTCATCAGGAAAAAATATAGAACGTCCCGCACAATTAACATCCTCAGGTGTTGGTATTGCAGGTGGATCAGTAAAGTCAAGAACACCGAGTGATGGAAAGCTAATTGAAAGAAGAGACTCGTTAGGCAAAAGAAGGGAGGAAGCCAAAACTTGTCGCATTTGCATATTTGACTCGACAACATTAAAACAAGACATTAAACCTAAAATATAAAATATTTATTTAAGAAAGTATAAACCTCCATAGGGAGTGCCAGGCGTCCCCTCTATCATATAAGAAGCAAATTCAGGTCTCCATAGAGAACGATTCTCCTCGCCCAAAGAATTATTGACCTCTTCACTTGCAAAAAGTTGGTCTAACAAGTCGAGAGCACGTAAAGAGACGCGAACCTAAATTTCGCCGTTTAAAATAGAAAATAATTGCAAAAACTTTTTTGTGTTCATGGTCAAACTTAATAATTGTGTATTCAATCTCATCGCCCCAACGAAGTTGGTCCCGCTCACGGCTCTTAACACGATGGTAGAGAGCAACAAATTGCGCAATTCCATGTAACTAAATTATTTTAATAACAAATTGTCTTGGAAAGCTTAACCTCTTAAACAAACATCGAAAACTGGTTTAAGCCAGTCTCGAATGTAAAATAAATAAAAACCTTTATATATTCCAAATGTGGAACAATTTCCTGCCAACTCAAAGGTGTCCCTTTAGTTAAAAGCCCCATTACTGATATGGAGCGAGACCTTTAAAAATTTAATAAAAAATTTAGTTTAGAAATTAAGACAGAATAAAATGCGAACAACGCAACAAAAAATAAATTAATGTATCTATTCTATTTAACAACTAATTTAACAACCATATTTAACAAAATAAAAGTAGAAAGCTATATCTTTTAAAAATAACAATTAATTAACAAAATAATGTAAGGAAAGCTTTCAAATAATCAAAAAATAATAAAACATTTTTTGAAAATAATAACCACAATCAAAGCAAGCTTATAAGGATCTCTAACAATAATTTTAATTACATATATCTATCAAAAATAAAGTTCTGCTTAAATTTTTTAAATAAATATTATTGAGGAAATATTATAAAACAAAACTCAATATTATAAAATTCTTTACAGATTTATTTGCCAAAACGTCGATGCCTTTGTGAATATTTCCCAATGAGATCACAAAATTCGGTTTCAGTTAATTTATTATAATTTGAGAAGGAATCGACAGAATGAAATTCACTTAAAAACATTAGTTAGAAAATTACAATTAATTAATTAACCTTGTCCGTAAACTCCAGAGCGGAAAATCTCCAAATCCAACATGCAAAGAAGAGCCAACAAAAACAAAATAATCTGGTTCTTTTAACCCTGACAATTCAAAAAGATAATCAAAGAAGATGCTCTCCTTCATTAGTTCATCCAATTCTGAGAACTTTTAATTTTTTTTATTACAAAATATTTTAATTAAAAATTACCTTGGTAACAATTTGGTTGAGAATATTTTTAGATTTTTCAGCACCAATATAAACAACATTTAAATTGAACTTTTCTGACAACCACAATTTATTTGACATAAATTTCACTCCTTTACAAGAAAGTAATTCAATAATTTGACCTTCGATTTTTTTGCATTCATCCTCAACATCAAACAAACATCCACAAAAAGAAATTTCATTAATACCATTTAAAAGACATAAATACAAAAGTGATGAAATAAAATACTTAAAATATATTATATAAATTAAAACAAAAATAAATTTACCGGATTAATATAACGATAATCTGCAAAAAGAAAAGAAATATTTTGTGGAACTTTTTGTAAAACATTTGCAGAATTTCTCCATAAATATTGTTTAAAACTTTTAATAAATTGTTTGATTAAGCAGAAAAATTTCCAACAAACAAATAAAAATAAGCTAAAATTGTAAATAAATTTAATAAAAAAATTAATAAAAACATACATATACAAAAAGGCAAGAAATCGATAGACTTTTGAACAATAAAATTTTCCCGTCTCCTTAAGTAGTTCATTCTTTAAATATGAATAAAAATAACTAAATTCCATTCTAATTTAATGAGTACTATTTAATAATCTAAAATTCTATTAGTCAATAAATGATTTAGAAAAGTAGTTACTATTAAAATTAAAACATTCATTTCTACACTACACACAAACACTAGACACAGATAATTTATTTTTCCTTTTCATTTTAGTATAAACATAGTATATTTTATTATTATACCAATATTTGATCTTTAAAGTTCCATTTTTATTATCAACCTGAAATTGTCGCGCTATTTTAAATACTACTACTAATGTACATAAGTATCATCAAAAAAAAGGGCAAACATTTATGTAACAAATCAACCATTTGTATTAAGGACCAAAAAATATATGTCGTGTTAAATTTGGCTACAAAATTAAATCTAGTTAAATTTAACTCTATTAATGCCTTGATTCATCATCATTGTTAATACAAATTTTAATTTATATTTATTAAATAGTGTTTAATTTAATTTTTTTCGAAAGTGAGAAAGTTGAAACATTTGATCCATTTAATTTCTAACTAGAATTTTTAAATATTTTTTCACGAAAAGATTCTCTGCTGTAACAATTATCAATAACATAAGCCTTCTCGAGCAATACATCATTTTCCGAGACCAAAGAATGTTTTATTTTTTCATAAACAAGTAACCGCCTAAAAATATAATTTTGTGAATATAATAATTTTTCCATATTCTTACCTTGCTGTATTCGTTTGTAATGGTTGTTCACAATTGTAAACCAATCGTAGACAGTCGGATCTGGGCAAAATTTTCTCTGAATACCTATTTTAAATTTTCAGATAACAGTTAAACTAAAATTTAAATTACTCTGATTTACACACTGGAAACCAAAAGGCCAACCGACCACCAATACGTAATAAGCGAACACCTAAATCCATAAGATCCAAAAATACTGAAGAAATTTGATATTGCTGTTTTTCTGGATAATTTCTGTGTCGCTGCTTTTGCTGATTAACTTCTTGGCTATTAAATAAAGTATAAACAAAAAATCATCGTCTAACCAATTTTTGTCTTCCATTTGTTTTATTTCTGTTTCCATTTTTCTTTTCCACTGCATAACACCCAATTTTTGTCCACGCTCCCTAATTCCGTATGGAGCTAAATATATTTTATTAAATAAATATTTATATAAAATCGTCACGATCTGCAAGAATAGCATCGAAAAACCCAGAATGTCGCCACATTTTATGTTTTGACGAATCGGCTAAGATAACACCCAAATAACGGCCATCACTCAAACCATATTGTGAAAAATTTGCTCTTACTGATTGGTCGCTTCCAAGTAACCCTTCTCCAACTCTTGATGATTTTCCCTTTTAAATAAAAGACAGTTAAAAATATAAAATGTTAAACCTTTGCTTTGGCTACATCCCATTTAATCTCCACTCCAAGCACGTGAGAACAGAAATAAGCTGCTGATAATAAAATACCACCTATTAAAGAGTAAATTAATCCTTAAAAATATTTTTATCTAAATTTACCAGTTCCACAAAATGGATCGATCAAAAGACTCCCTGGACTAGCCAAAACTAAATTTGCTTGTATGAAAGCAAGTTCAGGATCCATAGTAGAATTTCCAATGTAATTCCTAGACATAAGCGCGAATTTACTTTTCAAACCAGTCTGGCCTACGCCAATCAAAAATTAAAATAAGATAATCAAAATTTAAACTTTTAAGCTTACAAATTTTGTAAAAAGAATTCGATCAGATTTCTGATTTACTTCATCATTATAATTAATGCCAATTTCGAAAATAGTGAAGATATTATGTGCATTTTTCAAATCGATGGGCGCTTGAGTTAGACCCATGAAAGAGCCATAACGCTGAAACTCGTTTTTTGTTATCAATGCATTAGATAGTTCCAATACAGGCCTAATATAAAATTTACCTGGATCAAAGACTGGGTGTAGACGACGTCGCTTTTTCGCAAATGTGAACGAACTTGGAGACACCATGACTGCGCTGGATCATTAAAAGGCTGAAAAAGCTTTTATTTACCAAATAATAAAACCTGTAAAATATTAGATTTACTCAATTGCTCAAGGACAATATCATGAGAAGGTGCATTTATGAGAATACGGAAGGCAGATTTGAGAAGAACTGAACGACCAAGTATACACCGAACAGAAGCTTCACCACCATCAAAGTGAAGGATTTGATAATGCGACTAAAATTATAATTTAGAAAAATAAGGATAATTTGTTTACCTCGTCCGGGGTAAAATTGGGCACTGGCTGAATCCCAAAAAGCAAACATACACTTTCAAACTCTGCTCGTCTAAATTGTGGATGAGCCTGACTGAAAACAAATAGAAAAATATTTTCACAGGAAGTTTTATCCATAAATCTAAAAATTATTTATTTTAAATTATACTGGTTATTAAATATAACTAACAAACAAATAGTTTAGGAAAAAACGATTCTTTATAAAAAAAATTTTAAAATTTAATTATAGTACAAAATTTTACACAAAAATTAAATCAATATCGTTTTTTGACAAGCACTCTTCCGCTTTCAAGATCCTCCTTAGTCGCGGTCACAGTTCTAGTATCACCAGGAATACTCGAACGAAATTGTACAGTTAACTCATTAACTTGCATAACTAAAGCTTGCATTGACTTCCAACCGGTATTTGATGATTCTATAAAAATAAAAATTCAAAATCTGATTTAAAATTTAATCTCATAAGACTTACTTATGAAAACGTTTTGCCCTCGATGATAAGTTTTCCCATCTAGACTGAGTTTCCCAAATTCTAAGACAACTTTTCGAGGATGTCTCTTTAACCGGGAGTTCTCATTATCTAGTCGTCTATGTTGTATTTCATCTGCATTTGTCGTTGCATCAGACCCTAGCACATTTCTCATTTCTGTTGATCCTAATCTTTGTTCATCGAAATTGTCCAAATTGTTACAAGTGGCTAATTCTGTACCAATTAACGGTGATGCACCATTGATGACAGAACTCTTTGAAGAAGACCAACTGGATGAAGATGGATTCCGATCGATTGTTAACGGGCAAAGCCTGAAAAAAGTTTTCAAATAAAAATTCCTTTTTTTACTTTTCCACGTCTTCAGCAATTGCTTGGGCAGATAAAAGAGATTGTGTTATAAGCGGACAGATATGTGCAGCGCCTGGAGATCTTTTCCTACCCTTCTTTTCAGAGAAGACGGAAGCACTGACGCTGCTCTCAGCTGCGACTGAAGAAACGTTTACTGAACAGTTACCTACTTCGTTAGGCCGTCTAAAATTAAACCGGTCATTTAAAATAAATTATGGGCATTAACCTCCTTAGCTGTTTCTTGCCAAGTATCCCTTGTGAAGTTATTTGTTGAGCATTCATCCAAAGGCTACTACTTTGTCCTGCATGAGCTGACCAATTTGAATCTGAACTGCCAAAACTGCCATCCCATCGAGAAATATCCAAAGAGGAAATATCAGAATCTAACTGGCGCTTCTTCTCTTCAAGTTCTAGCCAAAGATTTTCGACAACTTCGCTTACTCGCTAAAAAATTAAATCTAAAAAAGCTAAAATAATAAAACAAACATTTTCATATTCCTTTTCAAGTAAATCAAATTCATGTTTATATGTATTTTCAGCACGAGCAACCTCTCTCTAGAATTTTAAATAAAATTTATTTAAAAAAAATTAAAACATTTCTAATGTCTGCAATCCTTTCCAGCTTTTGTTCACATAATTCTCTACACTGAGAAATTCCGTCAACAAACTGTGAATGCAATCCTGACTCAAGCAATTGTTTTTCATCTTCCCAAGGGTTGCGCTTTGATGTAGCCAAACTAAAAAATATATTAAATAAACCACATTTCAAAACATACGAATCCAAGAGCTTCCAGCGTTTTACAGGCGTCTCGTAGTCAGCTGACATTTTCCCGCTAATCGTTATAAATTTATGTATTACTACAATAGTTTAAATTTTACACTTTCAAATACTTGACAATATTTTTAACAATAAATACAAAATTTAAAAAATAATTAAGATTTACTATTTATTACAAAGTTTATTTATACATATTTACATACACACAAAATATCTAGACAAATTCCTCTTTATTATTTGACATCTTTTTACAAATCATTTATTCTCTTAATTGGTCATATTAGCTTCGGTTGTTGATTCAGATACTTCACTTTTCATACTGATAGTCATACCACTTTCGATCTCAGAGTCCAAAATAATTGGCTGCATAATACTTATTTTTTCAGTCCTTAATTGAATAAATTAACTAAATACTTGAGAAAATTTATATTTAAAAAAAACTCACTCGCTTCTCTCGTTTCGAGATCTTCGTATGCTTTCAGAGCTTGAATCGCTGTCTTGCTTTTCATCCTTCTCAATCTTCTGTTCCTTCTTTTGATCTTTGTCTTTGTTCTCCGCCTCTTTAGAGGTTTCTGCATCCTTTTTCAGCTCCTTTCCTTTTGTAACACCCGACTTCTTATCCTTTTCTTTCTTCTCATCCTTGCTCTTCTCTTCCTTCAGAACGGCGTTTATTTTAGCCTCCAGAAGCTTGAATACCCTCTGTTTTTCACGTTTGTTCTCTTCGACCGAATGCTTAAATAAAACTTTTACTTCAAATTATGTATATGTAAAAAGTCTCACCCTAACACGACTTTGTTTATCAATAGACCCAATTTTTACTTCCTCATTGTCCTTTATTTTTGCTGTTTTCGTAGTTTCTGGCAGAGAATCAGAACGTGGTCGTCCATTTTTTGACGGCCCAACTTCTTTTTCCGGTGATTTCGGGATTTTCGATGGCAGTAGTTCTCTCTTTGAGACTGATTTGCGGCTCTTCTGTGATTCTCTTTTCGAAATCTCTGCAAGCTGATCAGATGGTGATTCATCCTGTGACGACCAAAGGGATGCAGTTTTTGTATTCGGTGGGGTATCTTTCCGTGCCCACGATTCCGTGCCCACGTTTCCGTGCCCACGATTCCGTGCCAGCTCAGTTCCGTGCCGGCACGTTTCCGTGCCGGCATGTTTCCGTGCACACGGTTCCGTGCCCACGTTTCCGTGCCCGTTATAATAGGCACGTTTCCGTGCCAGCTTCTTTTTAATTTAATAAATAATAAAAAAAGATTTGGATGGATACAGTGAATATCAAAGGATTTGTGCGTGACATCAAGATATCAACAAGTAGATAGCGTTGGATTATGAGGGATATAAGGGGATATCAAGAAATTTAGATCACGATTTTAATGGCATTTTGTTTACATATTGGGGGGAAAATTAATCAAGGAAATCAAGGAAAAATTTTGCCTTGACCTTGCCTTGATTCTTGATTTTGGTTGGGTATCTTGACCAGATTCTTGACCTTGAGTCAAGGAAAAATCAAGGTCAGAAAAAATCAAGGAACGCTGAAAAATGCCTTGATCTAGTCTCTGGATCCAGGAAAAATCAATGTCTGGATAGCCCGCTCTCTAAATATCATATATTTAAATATTGGGCACGGAAACGTGCCCTTTATAACTGGCACGGAACCGTGGGCACGGAAACATGCTGGCACGGAAACGTGCCGGCACGGAACTGAGCTGGCACGGAAACGTGGGCACGGAAACGTGGGCACGGAATCGAGGGCACGGAATCGTGTCTAACCTAGAGGTCGGCAAAATCGCGTTTGCGGGAACCCGCATGCGGGATTTTTTTTAAAAATCTTTGCGGGACGGGATCCCGCGGGAAAAATCCCGCAAAATCCCGCATCCCGCAAAATCCCGCAATTTAAATTTGCGGGATCCCGCGCGGGATTGCGGGATTTTCCAAAAATCGTTGAAATTATCAATATCTATTGAAAAAAATCAATTTCCTAATCATTAACGAGTTCTTAACGGGTTCTTAACTGTATCATACTTCGTACCAAATTACGAGTACATGTTGGTACAAACGATAAGCACTTATCCAGGTCCCTAATTATCAAAAAAAAACATAAAGGGCAAACTTATACATATTCGTCGGAAAATTCGAGTATACGAATTAGAATAGCTTGAGCTGAAACAAATGTGATCGATCAATCATCTTGATCTAACAATGTGGACAATTTTGTTTCGATGTAATAAAGATGATTCCATGGGCGGCAGGCGAAAATTTTGGAAGGCCAAGTATTCATATTCCCTCCTTTTTCTGCGCCGCAGGCAAAAATTTCGAGATTTTAGGAAGGCCAACGACCAAAATTCTTGTTTTTCTAGCGCCGCAGACAAAAATTTTTTGAGTTTAGAAGGTTAGGAGCAAAAATTCTCCATTTTCCAAAAATCCCGCAAAAGTCAAAAAATTTTGCGGGAAAAATTTGCGGGATTTTTTAAAAAAATCTTTGCGGGACGGGATCCCGCGGGAAAAATCCCGCATCCCGCAAAATCCCGCAAATCGAAAAAAGTGCGGGATTGCGGGAGCGGGACCCCGCAAAATCCCGCGCGGGATCCCGTCCCGCGCCGACCTCTAGTCTAACCGTTTGTATTATCCTCCTGAGTCTCTAAAAAAGGTTGTTATGAAAATATTTTTTGAGTTTTGTTTTGCTACTTTGTACTGGAAGTTTTTTGCTATCGCTGTGACGCTTCTTGTTCACATCCATCTTTTTGAATATGTCGACATCTATGTTCCCAAGTGTCATATAGTCATTCTTCTTAGCGTGTCCAGGACGGACCTTTTCAGTTATGCGCGGAGATGGTGTCTTAGATTTTGATGGCGTCCTGCCTTCTGAAAATATAAGGAGTGAAAAATTACAATACTAGATACATACTTTTCTGTCCGGAATGACGTGGCGCCTTCACCTTCTAAACGATTAGAAAATAAATTTGAAAAATAATAGCAAAATTACCTTCTTCCGGCAACAACCACAGCATCCACCCGACTTCTGTTTAGGTGCGGTTTTTCTCCCTTTATGTTTCTTTCCGCGTTTCTTTCCACAATATATCGCCACAAGAGAAGTGAAACTACAAAACAGAAGTAATGAAGAAAAAACCAAAGAGAAAGAGCCATCGAATGAGTCCATAATTTGAAATAAATGTCTGAAGCTTATCCTTGAATTCAGTAGATCTACTTTTAGGTTGCTTCTTTTTATATACCATATTTATGTAGTATACTATTGCTTGTTTCAATCTAAAAATGGTTTAATTAATCGTAATGAAGTTCTAAAAATAAATAAAGCTAGATTTCTACCATTTCTTCGAAAAATTTTTTTATTTTCTGGCACCAAAATAGTCCTAAATTTGCCTTAGGCAAAATTTTACAAGGCCTTAAAAAAGCCGAAACGGCAAACAGAAATTAAAGTTAGCTTATTGTGGCGCTAATAAGGAGGCTAAATTCTTAAAGCATGCGGCGGGATTTTAAGCGAAGATTTTGCCGGTGGATTCGGGGAAATTCTTGCCAATATGATTCGAACCGAAAATTTCGGATATCAGGATTTTTCGGACTTTCCGTTAAAACTCTAAATGTAATCTAAATTATTTACCTTATTGTTAAGGTTATTTTTCTTTCGATTTCAAAAAATTTGAAAAATATTTTCAGTTTCGATTTTCTTGAACTTTTTTTCTATTTCTGATTTTCGAAGATTTTCTTCGAAGCAGCTCTGGTAAGAATGTGTGTAAATTTAAAATCATTTTGCAATCAATGTTTAATACTTTATTTTTATGCATTCTTTTTTTAACATACATATGTATGTATGTAGTTTTTAATCTATAATATTTGTATGAATCATTGATGATTCATTTTTTCTTTTTAATTGTTGTCAAATTTATCTTACGAATACTTTCTATTTTAATTACATATAACAAAATTTATTTTCAGACGATGTTCCTTACATTAACAGAACCACCCGGAACATTAAAAAACCTTATTGGATTCAATGATTCAAACACAATTGATGATAAAAACGAATCAACTGAAGAAGAATTTGATATAGATTCTCATGTTGAAGACGATTTCCCTTGCGAGCCAGTTGATCCAAATGTAAGATATTATTTTTTGCCATTAATACTTTATTTTTAGTGTATTGATGTCGCAATTATTGCCAACACATCTCCGACAGATTTGGATAGTCTCTCTAGGCAATGGAAATATAACTTTTCAAGACGTCCTACCTGGTACGATGCTGGTATGGCATTGCATCAGATTATCAGAGTGATATTCCACTAAATTATTTATATTATATTTCTTACTTTAGGGGAAAGCTGTTGGTTTTAGAGCGCCGCTCTATTCCCGCATATTCATCCAGCATTCCCTATTTCGTGCCGGTTGTTTTGTTCAAAGGCGAGCCTGGTTCATAATTGTTACATTGATGACCCTTTTCTCTTTTTGTTGCTTTGGACTTCGGTACGTGAATGTGGAAACCGACATTGTTAAATTATGGGTTTCTGGTAAGCATATTTTAGAATCCTAAGAGTTTATGATCTTAAAATTAATTGAAGAAGGTGGACGTCTAAATGAAGAACTCAAATTCCTAACTACACTTCAAAATCGGTCACGTGACACTTACAAATTGGATGAATCTTATCTTTTAAGAAACTTTGAACGAGATGATTCCGATCCTCGACTTGGTCTTATACCAGAAGATGACGCTCCTATGGCTTCTTATCAGGTTCTATCATTTATTTTTCTTATCTAATAATAATTTCCCTGTAAAAGGTTCTTATACAAACTGCCGATCCTAATTCACGCGAGCATAACGTTCTCTCTAGAATCGATTTGCTTAAGCATGTTAATTTGTTAAAGGAAATTACACAAATGCGCGTTTTCAAATTTGGCCGGTATGTCTTAATTTTCATTCATGTACTATAAATACTGTTTATTTTTTCACATTTTCAGCTATTGGCGTCTTGAGGATATTTGCTTCAAGCCTGGCTCTCTTGATATTTCTAACAGTTCAATTGCACATGCTTTGAAGCCTACGTTAGAGCGACTCGTCCCTTGTGTCTGGATTAGTCCTATTGACTGTTTTTTCGAAGGTGCTAAACCTCTTGGTCCTTCGCCGCCAATTAAATTGAAAAATATTCCGTTTGGACCACTTCTGAATATGTTACTTTCTGACATGCCTGATGAGGCTACTTGGGCAAACTTAAATCCTGAACAAATAATACAGCAGGTTGCAGGCACTTTTGATCTTGGAACTATCAATAACTTTTTCTTACGCGTTAGTTTAATTTATTCATAATTCATAGGAAAAGATTTCAAATTTTAGTCAGGAATTGGAACTGGATATTTACAAAGAACATGCATTGATCCGCTGGATCCGGACTGCCCTAAAACCGCGCCAAATTTTTATAATTCTTGTGAAGCAATTTCGCATCTGGAGCAGAGTTTATCAAATCAAAATTCTACTTTAAGCGAATTTCTTTCGCCCTTTACCGCCTCCAAGGATTCTGAAATAAATCTTCATCAACAGACATCTGCTTTAGACATTCTGGGAGCGCTATGTATTTTTTTTATTTTATTAAAACATTTTTCATTTAAGTTTTTAACCAACGGTTAAATGAAAATAAAACGGAAAAAGGATTATCTTCACGATCTACTTGTGAGAAATTTAGAACTCCGTTTTTACGTTGGATGGCTTCAGAATGGGATAAGGCAATGCAACAATTTCCATCTAATGTATGTTTTTAGACATACCTATATAGAGTTATAATCTTTAGAGATAAAAAAATAGAAGAAAGACGAAAAAGTTTCTTATACCACTATTTCAGCTTTTACCAACTTTTCCCAACTATGGATTTTTGATGAAAAATGGTTGTAATGGAATAGCGAAAAATGTAATGAATTGGCCAGCTGAAATGATTCTTGGCGGAATTCGCCAAATTGGAAATAACGTCGAAGCGGATGGTTTGTTTTATTAAATTATTTTATTTTTATTAACATAAGCATATTTAAGCTCTACAATCGGTCATTCTTGTTGCTACTCCAACGGATGTCTTTCGACGTTTTAAGGTTAACAATAATATGGGTTGTATTTATTCAACTTTTTTGTAGGATTCTAACATATTTTCTGGTATAAACTCGACTTTATCTTCCAAAGATTGGTCTCCTCTTACTGCTCGGGATATCATTCAAGATTGGGCTCGTGCGTTTACTGATAAAATTTACAACCATGATTTAAATAAAAATGGTCATCGTGTCGTACATTCTTTAGCGTCCAATTCAATTTCTGATATGTTGGCAGAGTTTTGTGATTTTAATTATGCAATTATTCTTGTTGGTTATTTATTGATGCTTGTTTATGCCCTTTATTCTCAATGTCGTTTTGATGGTTGTTGCTCACTTGGTGTAGAATCTGCTGTGGGGCTTGCATTAGCGGGTGTATTAACTGTTACACTCAGCAGTGTTGCCGGTCTGGGTATTTCAACATGGTTTTTATTAATTATTTAAGATATTTATTTATATCTTATTAAAGGTTTGATATCCATTTCAATGCTGCAACAACCCAGATTGTTCCTTTCTTGGCACTAGGAATTGGGGTTGATAATATGTTTATGCTTTTGCATTCTTACCCCGAGGTCGTTTCAAATGTTAATCGAAATGAGCTTGGATTTCTTCTCAAACAGACTGGTTAATTTAGTATTTATTAATTTAATATACATATTTCAATTTTAGGTGTTTCTATTTTGATCTCTTCTCTCAATAACATCTTTGCTTTTTGTGCAGGAACAATTTTGCCAATACCGGCATTACGATCTTTTTGCGCACAAGTATACTTTTGTGATTATTTCTTAATCATTTAATATATTCAGACAGCTATTTTGTTGTCAGTAAATCTGGTTGGTATCTTTCTCATCTATCCTGCTTTTATTGCTTTGGATTTAAAGAGGCGTAAAGCTGGAAGGAGGGATTTGGCGTTTTTAGCTTATTATTGTCTCTGTATGGATGAAAGTGTTGGAACTGTTCAACATTATCAACACCAAGTAAGCCAAAAGTTTCTATAATAATTAGTCAAAAATATAAACCAGAATAATGACAACAATGGAGTAACTCATCAGGAATTAATAAATGCGACAAATGATTATGAATGTGCCAGTCCGCCTTATTTACCGGCAGATTTGGACAAAACTGTTAGTAGTTGCAAACACCCAGAAATTGTTTATACCCAACCAAAGCTCAACAACGTTCATCAATTTAAACGTACCAGAAAACGAAAACAAAAGAAGTCCTATAGAATGTATACTCTTCAAGGCTTTCTTCATATTGTTTACATTCCATTATTAAAATATACGACTTTTAAGGTTGTTTTAATATTCTATTGCATTATGTATTTATTAAAAAATTTTAGATTGGTGTGCTTCTATCAGCTTTCGGACTGTTTCTTTTGAGTCTTTACGGAATAAGCCATTCAACTATTGGTCTTGAGTTAAGTGACATTTTACCTGAAAATTCGGCACCAGCTGACTTTTTAAAAACACGCGATCGGTATTTCTCGTTCTATCCTATGAGTATTGTGTTGCATGGTGAACAGATAGATTTTCCTGCACGACAACACCAGATAGATTTGTTGCGCAATGAAATTGGTTGGTACCATTCTTAATAGTGAATAAATATACAACACTGTTTTAGGTTATTCACGTTTTGTTGTCAAGTTGGCTGATGGTGAACCTTCTGAACGATATTGGCTTCAGCTATTTCGTGATTGGCTTATTGGAATGCAGCAACGCTTAGATAATGCTAAAATTCAATTTGGTGATTTAAATTCTCCAAATTTAACTTCGTCAATGATTGGCAATCCTGACTTACAAATTGCATTTTCTCTGGCATGTTCTTATGGAGAAAATTATGATTGCGATCGGGTTAACTTTGTGCGTTTAATTGATGAGAGTGGGACAATCAACTCTGATGGTTTTTACAATTATCTGTATGGATGGCACGAATATGAACAAATGGTCTAGTTTCCACTTTGTTGTCTTAAAAATTCTTTTTAAGTTCTATGCTGTTTCTCAAGCAAATTTTTATCCTCGATTGAAAAAACTACGCCAAGGAACTCCTGGAAATATGAAATATGTTTGTTTATAATTAAATAAGATTAATATATGTAGAATATTTTCTTTCCAGCGTTATTTTATCCCACCCGCACCAAAGCCACTATTCAGCCGTATTCCTTTCTATCTTTCTGGGTTGCATGATACGCCGACCATAATGCAAATGATTCACGATATTCGATCTATTAGCGAGAATTACACTCGCATGGGATTGGTCAATCACCCCGAGGGTGTGCCATTCACTTTTTGGTAAGAGTTTTTTAAATTGCTGAACAAACATTTTTTAGGGAGCAATATCTCCACCTGGAATACTATTTAGTTGTTTCTATTGCTATAATCTCGCTTTCAGTGTTTTGCATTATAACGTCTGTTTTAATTTTAATTATTATCTTTTATTATTTTTCAGTTTAATAATTTTCAATCCATGGGCGGCTGGGATAGTCACTTTGGTTGTGTTGAGCATGACTGTGGAATTGGCTGGTTTTATGGGGTTGGCACATGTCAAGTTAAATCCTATTTCCGCTGTTACGGTAATTAGCTTATAACTACAAGTTTTATATTCAATTTAAAGTTGATAACGGCTGTCGGTATTGGTGTCGAATTCACTGCTCATGTCGTTTTGGCTTTCCTCACTTCGTTAGGTACTCGGCATGAACGAATGGAGGAATGTTTAAAACATATGTTCGTCCCAGTAATTCATGGCGGAATGAGCACTCTTTTGGTAATTTAATAACGATATTCACCTAGTTAACATTTAAAAATCATACATTTTAAGGGCATTGTGATGTTAGCCTTTTCTCAATTTGACTTCGTTTTTAAATACTTTTTTGTGGTTATGACTGCACTAGTAATTATTGGAATGTTAAATGGTCTTGCACTTTTGCCTGTTCTTCTTTCGATAATTGGACCACCCTGTGAGATAAAACCGGTCGGTGATGGCGCAGTTAATCGCCTTAGATGCCTATCTGTCAACGACAAACCAAGGCTTAAACAATTGACAGCCTCTACCAAATTCTATTTACCTTCTTCTAACCTATCAACATTTCACCATTAATTTTTCCCATTTATGCCCAATGAGAACTGATCTTTGACTAGAATTTTATAAGCATATATTTGACCTTTTTAAATTTTTGATTTAAAAATCTCCGTGCATATTTTAAGTAGAATCCAAATTTGTAGCTTAATTTAAACCCCATATCTACATACGATTTAATTAACACATACTTTCAATTTTTGGCATTTCCTACTTTTGCTATTTCTATTGTTCCCTACAATTGACTAATTTAACTATCAAAACATCATAATTGTTTTCATAAGCTAAAACAGATACTAGAATTTTTTTTTCAAGATTTAGCCTTCAACTGCAAAGAATTATTTACTTTTACATAGGGTTGTTCACTACCGCTAATTAACCGGTACTCTCGTTTCTCGGTTATGGCCAGTTTTGGACCTGTCTTTGATTCGGTTACTGACCGTGTACAATCCTGCTTTTAACTCTCATTCAATTTAATCTAGGATTTTGATTTTTGTTTAATTTTACCTTACTCGATTATATACATATTTTATTGACTATATGAATGACTGGGAACTTTGTTTCTCTTCGATCTCAATATAATTTGAATTTTCGTTCAAAAACCAAAAAAGGAAAAATTAACGGTTGTAAATATTTTTGAACGATCATACAATTTTATAAGTGATTATATTTTTTGTGCATTATATTACTGGCAGATAGAAGTAATTAATTTTTGGTATTTATAAAATGTTTGAAAAAATTTCATTTCATACAAAATAAATTTACTTGAATATAACATTTTCTCTCTTGCCAGGCATAAGATATTTCTTGAGCTTAAATTTAATTAAGGTACACATTAAATTAATAATACCTAAGTCCATTTTTTTCGTTCACACTAAATATTTTTCTTTCTATATTGTGTAATTTGTCAATTGCTTATTTTTAATATGAATAAATTTTTACGCTTTCCATTCCTAATTAACCATGCTTAATAAATTTATTTTAATCAAAATAAAGCCATTTAATTCTTAAAAATATTCGAACATAAAAAGATTTATTTGATAACAATAAGTCCTAAGAATTCACGGCGGCATTTAAAAGACAAAAAAGCAAAGGAATAACAGAAAGTAGGGGATAATGGCTTCGCTTAGTTGGAAGAAGAAAGGACGCCCGACAGCAGTAATATTTGAATTCGGCAATGTGAAGTAGGGGGCTAGTCGAAGAGAGGGAAAGGATTGATTAGCTTTTGAGTTGTGTCGCCCAAACATTCATCTCTCGCCAGCAAAACCCCAGTCTTCATCACAACATTAGTGGCGTCGGTAGTAGAGGCCGGGTGGTGACCATCGGTCGGCCATTTGCTCCCTTCTTCATTCCTTTTTTCTTCATTTATGTCAACGACAGCATGGCGATTTCCGATTTACTTTTTGAAAATGCCGCGCACATTATGTACATTTTTCCCTATCGAAGTGTACCTCCTCTCTCCTTTTTTAACTTTCCCTCTTAAGAATGCACACCGCTGTTCTTTCCCAGTCATTTTACACAATTGTGTCCATTTGTGACGATTTTTCATTTAAATTGCGCAGTTTGGAGTTTTTTTATAAGATTTTTGGATATGCTTATCTTTCAAGAAAATTTGATTTTTCGTCTATTTTTAAATTGTTCTGTTTTATTTTTAATGTATTTTTTTTATATTTTCAGATAAAAATAAATAATAATGGCTGCTAAACGCTTTCTCAGTTTATTCAAATCATCAAACAAACGAGAAAAGGAGAACAATGATCCATTAATGAGTGAATACCAGTATCACTTAAATAATGGACAGCGGAGATCTGTAATTTATTTTTTAATTTTATCAAATGTTTAGAAAATTTTTTAGCGTCGAGTTAACTTTCAATCAGCTGATGCGAGTTCAAAAAGGCGAAGTTGTGTTACTGAAGTAACTAATGATGATGACGATGGTAGTGAGGTTAGTGTGGATGTAAAATTGAATTGATTGGTATAATTTTGTAGATAACTTTAACTGCTTCGGCTGCTAGTCGTCAACAACATCCAAATAGCAAGAAAATGCCTCCAAATCCTTATTTGGTTGTCACAGAACCAAAACAAAACCATGTTAGAAATATTTTTATTTCTTTTTATAAATTAACAATTAAAGGGTCCTCGTTCATGCCCCGGAGGGGGAGGGCAACATTATTTTGATTTTGATTCTCTCGACAATGACGACATTTCTGGAGCTAATGGGGGAACTCTTGATAGATCCTTGGAAGCTCGTTCAGAATTTATTTCGAATACACAACAACAACATAGACGAAGTAGTAGACGTCGATTGCTTCCATCATCAGACGAAAAATCATCACAATCCTCACATCCTTTTAGTGAGATTGGAAATGGGCGGGGAAAAGAAGGTTAAATTTTAAAAGAATATAAAAATAAATAAAACTTTTTTAGGCCAACAACGCGAAAATGGTGTTAGTTTTGGTGGTTCTCGTTATAAAAATATCCCGTGGGCAGCTACTAATGTTAACAATTGGAGATTGGAAGGAAATTTTGTAGGAAAACAGCAATATATTATTCAAATAAGAGAACAACAACAGGAAATACATGACTTGCAGATTGCTTATAGAGATGAAAGAGGACGAAGAAAAACACTTCAACGAGAATTACGTAGAGAACAAGAAGCTAAAGATAGATTTCAGTGTGAAGTAAGGATTTGGAGGGGGAGAGGGGGTTGGAAGTTTTGGAAATTTTTATAAAAAATTTGATTTGAGATTAGGGTTGTAGAAAAGGGGGGAAAGACTTTGAGGAGGACACTTGAAACAAACTACAAAAAATGATCGGAAAATACATATTATTTTTTTGGGATTTGATTAATAATTTTATTTAAAAAAGAATTTTCGACTTCAATCAATTATTGGCTTACTAGTTCAACAACAACAACAACCAAACTCGGCCAATTTAAATACACAACTTGGTATTGAACTGAATAATTTAGCAGCGATCATGCCTAATAATTTGTATAATTCTTGGACTGGAAAGTGAGTTAATAATTATTTTTGTTTTGTAACTGTTAATTTCTTTAAAATTTATTTTCTTTGTGAAGATTTTGCGGTGATTTTTATCTCATTCAAATTAGTTAAACGAGTCATTTTTGATGAGCTATCAATTGTATAAATTTTAACAAAAATTCTCATGTTAACCTCAGCTTTTTTAATTGGAATATAAATTTTTTAGGAAAATTATTTTCAAAAAATTATTAAAAATTGATTGTCTATTCCGAATATTTTAGATTGAAAAATAATAAAATAATATTTATTTTTAGTACTCCCTCTTCGTCTTCTGCTGTTGCTGCTCCACCAATCCATCCACCACTACAACAACCACCCCCACAATCTTTACTTCAACCACAATCTTCAAATCCTTGGACTCCTTGTCGGAATGCTGCAGCATTTGATTTTATTAATTTTCAACAACAATTACCTCCACAGTCTTTATTTGGAAATGTTGGGGGACCAGGAGAATGTTTAGCAGCTCCAATACTTTCCTCTTCTTCTTTAATTTCACAACAACAAACAAAACAACATCAAAAAATTAATCAACAAAATAGTGAAGATGAAATTAAAATTTTTAGAACTGGACAGCACAATACTGACTCTTTTAGTGGGTCTTCTCGTTTAAGTAAAAATTTAAATATTTTTGTGGATATTTTATCGAAATTCTCAAACACATTTCTGCTATCGAAATTAGCCGACATTTGAAGAAAAGTATTAGGGAAGTTTAAAAAATAAATTTATATTTGAAGGTTTAAATAAAAAATTATTTTTAAGCAACCGGAGATTTAACTGAAATGGAACGTGAAAAGAATGATTTGTTAGTTAGTGATGTTAGTTCTAAAGGTAAATAGAAAAATATTTTAAATTAAAAATATTATTTTTATTTTTCTAAAGAATTTTGTTCTTCACCCGAAGTTGAACGTGCAGGAGGAAATACTACAACGACTTTACACGGACTTTCTTTTTCTGTTGATGATTGTCAAAATCTTTTTAGTTTAAATCGTAAAAGTGTTGGAGGAGGAGGAGGGAAAGATAATTCTTTCCCAATTTTATTTCCAGATGTTGAATTACCGTTGAGAGATGATGGTTAGAAAGAAATTAGAAAAAATTAAAATGAATTTTTAAATTTAAAAGGTTACGCAACAAGCGAAACAAATATGTCAGCTTCGGGAATAGCAAATAGTGAATGTACTACAAATACAGTTAATGATGGAGGAGGAGAGGGAAGTATTTCCTCAAGTAATTTATTATTTGGAAATTCTAATAATGTTTTTAAAACTCGACGACGTTCTAAAAGCACGGGACAGTTAACTACAACTTTTTAAAGTTGGAAAAGGAGAAGAGAAAAAAAGTTTTTAATTAATTAATTTTTGTGTATTTTAAAATTTTGTTTGAAATTTGTGCTTTTAATTTTAAATATAAAAAGATGTTTATATAAATTTAATGAGTGTCGGGAATTTTCTGAAGAGTTGATGAGCTCCAACTTTGAAAGCATAAATTATTTTTAACTAATTTTGCCTAAAAATTTTTTTAATTTAAACAAAAAGGAATTTTTTAAATTTCTTTTAAATTTAATTTATTTCTAAACAAATCTTTGTTTACTTTTTATTTATTTGTGTTTTTGAATTTTGTTATATTTTTTGAATAAAATTTCACAAAAAAATTTAAATTTATTAATTTTAAAATGATTAAAACAAATTTAAAATATTTTACTTTCAATGTCCCTGAAGGAAACCCCCGAAAGTTCTTGACCAACATACCCAAAGCTTCCTGCTGAAAACTAATATAGTAAATCAACAAAGAATTTAAAGTAAATGACAGACTTTTTATACTTAATTTCTGCATTCTTTCGTTTTTTGCATTTTCCTCTTTCATTCATTCTCGGTCCTCAGTAAATTCTTGCAAAGTTTATTTAAAAAATATTCTTTTATTTAAAAACGAAATTTGAGAGATAAATAATTTTTATATATTTTTTGTTTATTCTTCAAATAATAAAAGAAAATTCTTTTTAATTTAAAATTTTCATTAAATTAATCGAAATTATTTTTATATTTATTTTAATTGTATAAAATACTGATTTAAATTAAGTTTTAAAAATTGCGGCTAACCGGGAGTTGATTTATAGGGTTTTTGAAATTGTGAAGTGTTGAAGATATTTATGAGGCCCCTCTCCTCCTTCCCGAATTCTACTAGGAAAACTATACGATTTTACATATTTAAAATAACGTATTTTTATTTTCTCAATTTGGCCATAGAATATATATATATATATATATATATATATATATATATATATATATATATATATATATATATATATATATATATATATATATATATATATATATATATATATATATATATATATATATATATATATATATATATATATATATATATATATATATATATATATATATATATATATATATATATATATATATATATATATATATATATATATATATATATATATACTTATTTAGTAGTAGAGGGAGAGTGTGGCTGTATTAAAAAAAAAAAAGAAAAACAAATCCAATCTTTTCCCCTTATTTTTTCAGCTTTTCCTTTTTATTTTCTCATTTAGGAATAAAAAAAGGCAAATATAAGTATATAAAACAGAAAAAATACTTTTAAAATTCCTCTCCCTCTCTCTTTTATTTATTGACTAAATAAATTTTGAAAAAAATTTTATTTAAATTATTTTTATAGCAAGGATTTATTTTGTTATTTGAGAGATAAAATTATTTGTAAATTAAAAAGTTATAAGAAATGAATTGAAGGGAAAGGGAGTGAGTGGAATTTTATTTTTAAAATTTTGTTTTTAGTTTTTAAAGTAAATGAGTCAACAAATACAGACATTTAAAACAAAAATAAAATAAATTTTTTAACTAATTTTCTCTCCTTTAAAAAATATACTGCTAATAAATATTACATACTTTCTGGCTTTTTTTACGAGAATTTAAATGAAAATATAATTCAAAAAAAAATTGGGAAGGGAGGGGGGAAGAGAGTTTATTCTTTGTTTCAAGTCTATAGTTTTTATAATATTTATTTGAAAATTTAAAAAAAAAAACTAATTTTTTGGAGAATAAAATATAAAATTATTTTACCTTTGTCTTTCCTCTTACATTTTTTTTAAATTTTTGTTAATTATTTTTTGAAAAATATTTTTCTTCAATTCTTTACTGATATTTTTTATTAAATTAAACTTCCATAATTTTATATATTTTTTTTGAGGTTAATAACAAAGAATCCTCCTCCTTCCTCCTCCTTTCCTCTCCTTTTTTAAATTTAAAACATAAAAACTAACCAACCGAATAGTTTTTTTTAATTTTATTTTTTCATTTGTCAGTTTAGTTTTGCTTTAAATTTATCAAAAATTTTTAACGACCCTTTTTGTTTTTAGTAATAAAAACAAAAATTTATTTTTGTTTTTTAAAATCATTTTAGGTAATTTATTTTGTAAATGTTTTTTTAGAGAATAAATTTAAAAGAAATATTTAATTAATTAATTTTATTTTTTTGTTAAATTGTTATTTTCTTAACAATTTTTGTTGCTTATAAATTATTATATTAAAAAATAAATTTTGATTGAATTTTAATAAAAAATGTAAAATTATATATTTAAAAATTTTTTTTGCAAAAAAAATTATTTTTTACATTATTAAATTTATTTAATTCTAATTTGTTTTTCAAAATATTTTTTTAATAATTAAATTTATTTATTTTTTGTTTAAATTGTTTTATTAAATTATTTTCAATTTTTTTATTTAAATTAATTGTTTGTAACATTTAAATAATTTTTTTCTAGAAAATTTCAAAAGGAAAATGCAACAAAATTTAATAAAACCAAAAAACCCTTCATTTTCCCTAAGTGATTGCTGTTCTGATTTAATAAATAAAAATATTCCTTTATCAACTTCTTCCCCAGAATTTATTAAAAAAGACGAAAAAAATACTTCTAAATTATTAAATCCCCTTTTAACAACAACAACAATACCCCCCACAACCACCACACCTACTTCATGTCCTCGAAGACATACAGTTTTCTCTTTTTTTGATAGAAAAAGGTAATTTAATTAATTAATTTCGAGAATCAACAACCTTTGATTTAGGGGGTAATTATTTTTGTTAAAAATAATTAGAACGTCTAAATATATCCTCTCTACTAACTAATTTAATAGTTGTTTCTAGAACCTTTTTATTTGTAACTAATCCTGGCTCTATTTTGTGTATTTATTTATAACTAATTAAACTAATTTAATTGAAAATGTTTGTATGGGACAAAACAAAATAATTAAAATTATTTCCTAATAAAAATGAAAGAATTGCTGGTAGTAAAAAATATTTACTGTCCGAAGAGATATAGGGAATATGTAGCTACCGATCTTTAGTATTTTTATTACCAAATTATCTGTAAATATTTAGCAATTTATTTATGGAGTTGTATGTGTGTGTTTTTTAATGCTGGCAATATCCTCGAAAAATGGAAATAAAAAACAATTATTTTTGTTTTGAAAAATGGAAATAAAGATAAATAAATAAACTTTTTGACATATTAAGGGCATCAAAAATTTTAAAATCTTTCTTTTAAAAGCCGTCGAAAATATTCTTATTTTTCCTTCATTTTTTTTTAAATTTAAAATTAATTAATTTTACTATTCTTAATTTTTTAAAACATATTTATAAAAGTTAAATAATATCCATCCAAATCAAAGTCCAATAAACAAAACAATTGTTTGCGGTAAAAGAAGATTTACCTAAAAATCAACCAATAATTTACTTAAATTCTTTTTAAAACAAGTCCCAGCTGTTACATATATTTTATAAAAAAAAAAGAAAAAAAGATTCGGCATTAAAAAAAGATAAAATAAAATAAAAAAAGGTGTGAGGGAAAAACAGTTGCTAAATATTTTTTTGAAAGAGAAAAAATTAAAATTAGCGCAGCTGCAGTTTAGATATGTTGTTGTTTGTTGCTATATATTCGTTTTTTCTTTTATTTTTTATCTTCTTTTAAATATTACATATCTCCTTCTTCTTATTCCTTAAAAAAATAAAAAAGGTTGCGAATTTATTTAAAAATATTTTTTAAATATTTATTTATTTATTTTTACAAAAATATATTTTTAAAGATTAACGAACATTTTTGGGTTTTTAAACTAATTAAATTTAAAAAAGTTTACATACCGTATTTTTCCCAATAGAAGCGCACGTCCCATTTGAAGCGCACGTCCTAATAGAAGCGCAGTCTACGAGGAGGTTGAAAAATACAAGCGCAGGTCCCATTAGAAGCGCACGTCCTATTATAAGCGAACCCTATGAAATATTTTTTGAGCAATTACTCTGTTACATTTACATTTAGATTAAGAATTTAAATTTTTTTATAAAAAATGGATTCTACTTCCGATTCGGAACTTGATGTTTAGGTGAATGTTCAAGTAATGTAAACGGTGCTATACTCGAAAACGCAAATCTTATTCTATCGATAAATTTTTTTAATCTTCACTTTGTACTACTTTCACATAGACGATCTGATCCCTCACTTTTCGACAGATTTAAGGTTTTTAAGTTATAATTGGGGAAAACCTCATTTTCTACCCTGCCTAGGGGATGGAGTGGAAAAAGCTGGATGGATGATGCCCTTACAATCGAATATTTGAGAGCAATTATTGGGCAATCATTGTTCTCACAACGCTTGCTTATTTGGGTCCACCACGATGAAATTTTATTTAGACCAGATGGTCAGGCTTTATTACATCAAGCTTGAGAGGATAAAGAAATTTCAGAAAGTTAGGTAGAAATTGATCTTAATGAAGTGAACTGTTTGTAAGTTCACTCTAAATACCCTCGGTTCTAAGCCTTGGTCAAATGAAGATTAAATATAAATTTATTCAAGGGGTAAAATATTTTAAATTAGAGTTGAAAGGTAAAGTTCAATACAAGTTGAAAAATGAGAAATTGAGGGGGAGTATATATAGTGATCCTAAAGTAAACAGAGATTGTTATTGTGAATGGACAGGTCAGAATTAATTAAATAAAATAGAAAACAAAATATAAGATAAGGATTTTTGGGTAAACATTAAGTCGGGAAAACTCAGTAAACCTTTTATAAAATTGGAAGGTCAAGAGTTTATCATTTATTTATTTATTTTTATATTTTGGGAAAAAGATATTTTTTTAATTTGTTTATTTGCTTATGCGAATGCAGCATTCCTTCCTCCTTAATTAAGATGACGTCCACGTCATGCTTATTAAATTAAACGGAGGAGATTATATTTTTAATTTGTTTATTTGCTACAAATTGCATTCTTTAAAAACAAAAAATTTTATTTTAGAAGCCATTTTAAGGTTCTATTTTAGCTTTTTTTATTGAGGGGTTTTTCATTATTTTTAAATTCTCCTCAGCTACACATATCTTTTTTTTTAATTTTATTTATATTTCTCCAATTATGGGATTGAATTTTTTTTTAACATCTTTTCTCCGACATTAGTTTAAAGGGTGTGATAAAATTTAAATTTGGTTACAGTCTGAAATGGTTTAGACAATTAAAGGTGAAATTATTTAAAGGGATTTGAGTGATTATTTTAAAGGAAATTGGGGAGGGAGACTTTTAGTTTTTTTTTTTATGTCCATTTTTAAATTACAGATGAGCAATATTTCTTATATTCTTTTTACCCTGCGGCATTTGTTCATTTAGTTTCTGATCATATTCTTTGTTTGTTTTTGTGCGTTCTGTCTGTTGTTTTGACGTTGGCAGTCTTATCTTTTGATGATGGATGTAGTCTTTCTCCAATGGTCCTGCTGTCTTTGCCGATTCTCCCATTTTAAAATTAGGGGGCCTTATCACCAATTTGTCCTCAACCCACTTTTTTCTTACTTTTTTATTTGTGGGACTGTTTTTCTGATGAGTATGTACTGGGCTTGGGTTTGTTAAATTTGTGTCTATTCTTAATACACAATTCTTCAGTGAATTATTATTTTTATTTATTTCGTCATTGTTTTTAAATTCAATATTTTCTATTAATTTTATTTTCGCCTTTTCAATATTATGATAATTTCTTATTAATGTTTTCGCGATTAATTTACCCGTTTGTAAATCCAGGAATAATGGAAGGCTTTTCAGGGTTTCTCTTCCAATAATTACATCATATTTTCCTGTTTTACTAATTTCATTTTCTAATATTACAATCTTCGTTAAAATTTCACAACCCGCTATTTGAAAAATTATTTCTCCTTGGCCAAGCGTGGGTACAATTTTATTCCCAATACCGACTATGGCGCTTAAATCAGCGGGAAAGATTTCCTTTATTTTTAATTTTTCTGCGGTTTCTCTACCAGTCAGGGATACATGTGCTCCTGAATCTAATAGGCAAATTATTTCTTTTCCATTTATTTTAGTTTTTATTCTAAACCATTCATCGCATATATTGTCATATCCGGCTGCGATTTCTGCAATGTTAATTTCTTTCTCTAGTTCTTGCTTGTTTGGAAAATTTAGTATTCGAATTAAACAGAATCTCATTAAATATAATATAGTGCTAGCAAATAGAAAGGCAAGAAATATCCAAATTTGATTTAGTATAAGCAGACTCGAGAAATTTTCGGTAAGTGTGCTCTCTTTAGGCAATTCTGTCATTTTCCAATTGTCGCTAATTGTTTTCTCTTTAAAGGTAAAGGGTGAGTATGCGGGACAATTCATTTCAATTTGTGCTCCATAGCTAGCCAAAGTGGGACTTATGATAGCAATGAGTGCAAAAATTGTTAGCAAATAAGGGCTAGATATCCTTAATGGACTTGCAACTCGGCTTTCACTAAATCTCACTCTTCTAGTGGGTGACCGGCTATAATTATTCGGCGAATTTTCTCTATAATTTTCGCGATTATTATCATTATATCTGCGGTTATCTCTACTATATTCATTTCTATAATTATTTCTGTTTTCCCAATAATTATTTTGATAATTTCTTCGCTCATAATTATTATATTGGCGAGATTTATAATTATTTCTTGCTCTATTTCGGCAATCCGCTATAACGTGTCCAGGTTTATGACAGTAATAGCATAAACGTCTTGTTTCTCTAGACCGATTAATTGCTAGGGCTTCTACTTTTTCTGCTAAATCCACATATTGATGTTTTTGGCGTTTTTCGTTCAATAATAGTTCAAAATGTTCGGCAACTTCAAATGCCTTAGAATAGTCATCAGGTCTAGCAGCTTTAACTTCGAATTGAAGATCTGGCAAAAGCCTATCCAAAAATTCATCAAGCAATCGCTGTTGTATCGTATTTTCTTCATATCCAATCATTACAGCACGTACTGCGTCATTTAATCGCTGCGCGAATTCAAAAACTCTTTCGCCAGGTGCTTGCTTAATAATAGATAAGGCCTGGCGAGCTACAGTACGAGAATGACCATTTACAAATTTTTCTTGCAAAAAATCTATAGCTTCTTGCAGAGTAGCTGGTTGTGGGACTCTAGCATCAAGTTCAGCACGAGCGCGACCTCCCAGGCACACTTTTAGGCGACTAAGCTTTTGTGCTTCATTTAGAGGGGTAATTATTAAATTTAGAGCATCCATAAATCGCTGGAAAAATTTAGAAAATGAGCTAGTCGGGTTTCCGTCATAGACTCCGACAGGGGTCATTAGACCATTTAAGAATGGGTCTCCGATCATAATCTCAACATTTTCTCCAGTAATGGGTTTTTCAGCAGCTTCCGACGCTTTTTCAGGAGGTTTAGTCTTGAGATTTAGGTCAACTGATTCTTCACTTCCATGACCATTCCAAGAAAATCCGGATCCTCTCGATCCATTTTCTAAGACTTCTACTTTTGCCTCAAGACTTTCAATTTTATCAATTAATTTACGCGCATTTTTGGCAATAATTTCTGCTATTTTTTGCTCACTTTTAGTTAAATTATCCTCAACCTTTTCCATCCCTTCCTCAAGAATGTCTAGGCGTTGGATTTGTGAAATTTGTTCTCTTTCTAATTCCATATTTTTAGAGCGTATAAAGACTAATTCATCTTTTAATTCTTTATCATCAAATTTATTTTCAATTTCTTTAATTTTAGTTTTATTTACATCATTATCAATTCCTAAATTTGATATTTCTTCTTTTACAATTTGCTTTAAATTTTTAAATTGATTTTCTAATTTTTCAAATTTTCCATCTATTAAAGCATTTATTTTGTCAATTTCAGATGAGGACGAATTTGATGGCAAATTTTGTCCTTCAGTAATTTTCGACTCGATTTTACGGAAATTTTTACATACAGCCTCTTCAAAGCTGCGTAATCGGAATAATAAGTTATTCCAATGACGACCTTCTTCAGGCGTAAAAAATTTATTCGCAAAATCTGATCCTGTTGTCTGTGTTTGATTTTTATCCATTTCCAAGATACTCCAGAAAATGTTTTCAGGGGCAGGAAATCCTTTATAGAGCCTTTCTGAGAGTGGAAAATCCAGTTCTCTTTTTTTTTAACTGAGGATTGCACCCAGCAATTTCCTCTACTTTAACCGTTGCACCAAGCAGGAGGATAGAGCACCAAGCAGTCTACCTCGTTTTCTTTTAATTAATTAATTACGTAGGGTATTTTCCTCCCACAATTTCTCTCAACACTCTTCTAAACTAGCTCTTTTCAGGATTAAATATCCTTCAAACAAATTCTTTTTCTCTCAAGGCTTTTACCCGGATTAAGTGGCACCAAAATGAACTGTTTGTAAGTTCACTCTAAATACCCTCGGTTCTAAGCCTTGGTCAAATGAAGATTAAATATAAATTTATTCAAGGGGTAAAATATTTTAAATTAGAGTTGAAAGGTAAAGTTCAATACAAGTTGAAAAATGAGAAATTGAGGGGGAGTATATATAGTGATCCTAAAGTAAACAGAGATTGTTATTGTGAATGGACAGGTCAGAATTAATTAAATAAAATAGAAAACAAAATATAAGATAAGGATTTTTGGGTAAACATTAAGTCGGGAAAACTCAGTAAACCTTTTATAAAATTGGAAGGTCAAGAGTTTATCATTTATTTATTTATTTTTATATTTTGGGAAAAAGATATTTTTTTAATTTGTTTATTTGCTTATGCGAATGCAGCATGAAGATAATGAAAACGGAATTGAAATTGATAATTCTATAGTTTAATATTTGTTTTAAATTTCTATAATGTTATAAAAATTAATTCGCATAGGAGTTGAAAAATAAAAGCGCACGTCCCATTTGAAGCGCACGTCCCAATAGAAGCGCAGTCTACGAGGAGGTTGAAAAATAGAAGCGCATGCGCTTCTATTGGGAAAAATACGGTATTTAAATTCTCATTAAAATAAGTAATATAAACAAAACTTTTATATTTTTCCAAAAACTAATTTCTTTCTTTTTTTTTCTTCTTTCCTGGCACGAATTAAGTTAAAAAAACTTTTCCCCTCTCTTCTCATTTTTATCAAAAAAATGTACATATCTGCCTCTCTTTTAAATTGTAAAAAGGAAGGAAGCATTGAATCGAAAGCTGAAAGAGAGGGAGCTAGAGAGGGATGGCTGTTTTGTGCCAGTCTCTTTTTTAGCTTGTCATCGACTAAATAGTTAAAATAAAATAAAAAAAAAAGTATAGAGAAATATATTTTTTTCTCTCTTTTTTCAAAAAAATATTTTTTTACTAACCCTCAACAACACAAAACTCATTCATTCCTCCTCTCTTCCTCAACTCAGAAAAAGGGGTGGTTAGTTAGTTTTAACAAGCAAATACTACTAGCTACTAGTTATTTTTCTATTTTTCTAACCAAAATTTTTTTCTGATTATTTTATTTAATTTACAAAAATATTAGAAAAAATTTTGTAATTTTTTATTAAAAAAATATTTAAATAAATTATTTTTATATAAAAATTCTCTCTTTTATTTGTAATAAAAATTCCAATCTTTTTATTATTATTCATGACTGAGTCCCCCTCCCCTCCCTCCCTTACTCTCCTCTCCCCTCTCTCCCCACTCTAATAACCTCAATCTGTCCTTTTTTTGTTGTCTCTATTCATAACCCTCAATATTTTTTTAAAATTCTTTTTCTTCTTTTAACAAATCCAGACACTCTCGGGAGCATTGATGGACCCCCCCTCAAACAATGAATGGATTGCCTAAATTACCTTTTACCCATTGACGCCTTTTTGCCTCACAAAAAATTCTTTTTTTTATTTTACTAGTAGCGCCTGACCTCATTTTTCTCACTTTGTCTCCTTGTCTTTTTCTATTTTTCAAAATTTTCTTCTCTATTTATTTTTTAAATTAAAAAAAATATTAAAATTATTTTTAAAAATTATTCCTGTATTTTTTAGAAAAATAAATTAATTTTGGAATTTATATAAATTTGGGGATTTAATTTAAAAAAAAAGATTTTAATTACTTTTTTAATTAATTACTTCGATATTCCTGTAAATGTGGATTGAATAACTTTGATATTGAAAGAAAACGGAGAAATTAAGGGATTAAATTTTTAATATGAAGGAGCTCATCTAATTGATTCAAATGATACCAACATTATTGTAGTTAGAAAATTCTTAGAAATTTATTATCGTTTAATTGACAGCCGGACGAGGTATTATGTAGATAATTTGCCATAACTTTAAATATATCCAATCATTTAATTTCCTCGATAATTTTGCAAAAACTAATTTTTTTTATGCGAAATTGAGTTTTGTTAATATTCAAAATCTATCTTCAGATTCCTTTCAGCATCTTTTATTAAAGGGAGTTAGTAAATATACACCGTTAAAATACCTCTAATAATCTTTCAATTAATCATTTTATATATTTATTTTTATTTTTAAATATTATGTAAATGCAAATACTATAAAATTCTCTAAAAATGTATTTAGTTGTTTTGTGAATGCGAGGAGGGGAATATTTTTACAAATCTGCTCCGTTACACGAAAAAAGAAAAGATTATTATTATTTAATTATTTTGTATATATATTTAACAACAATTATTATTATTATTCATCACACACACAAAATTTTTTACAAATAATTATTCAACAACTACACATGAAATAATTTCTAAAAAAAATTTATATAAATATCATCATCATTTTAATTAATTTATAATTATTTTTAAAAATATATTTTTCTTTAAATTGTCACAAAAATCGGTCAATTACCTTTGGTGGCTAGCGGCAGCCGCCAGCAGCAACAACAAAAGCCGCAACGTTTATTAAGATTTACTGGATTAAAAAAGGAAGAAGAAAAAAGAGAAAATAATTCTAAATTGTCATCGTCGCCTTTATTTATTGGCGACAATCTTCAAAATACAACAACGCCGAGAACAACTTCAACCCCCCACACAACTTCCCCTCCTTCCCCTTCTTCTTCTACAACAACAAACACCCCTTCCTCTACCCCTTTATCTGCTAATAAAAAATCTTCTTTAAATTTCCGGCAAAGATGGCCACACAAATTTACTTCTTTAAGTTTATTTGGAAGCGGAAATAAATCGAGAAAAACATCAAATAATTTAACAGAAAATAATAAAGAAAAAAATTCTAGTAATTTAAATAATTTAAACGATTCTACAGCAAAACATCGGTCATTACCTCCACCTTCAACTGTATTAAGGGAAGCTACACCAATTGAAGATATTACATGTGAAGGAAGAAAAAATGATGAAGAAGAGGAGGAGAGAGGGGAGGAAGAAAAAGGAAAATCAGAATTAATTTGTTGTTCTTCAGAAGAAATCCCTTCCCCTTCCCCTTCCTCACAACAACAACCAACAGCAACAATTAATACTTCACTTAAAGAAGAAGAAGAGTCATCTCTTTCTTCACCTCCTTCCCAACAACAACAAAATACCTCTCAACAACAACAAAAACCTTCAGAATTTAGTCCAATCTCTCAAAGAGTTCCTCCCCCTCAAAGAGCATTTTTTGGTGGAAGATGGCCAACAAGTGGAGGGAATACTTCTTGGTATTGTGAATCACCTAGACAACATTCTGGCTCTTTAATGAGAAGTAGATTACAGCCATCTGTTTCCGGTGGTTTTCCTCAACAGTCAATGCTTCAAGTCAGAAGAGAAAGTTTTTTGTATAGAGGAGGGGGAGGGGATGATACAACAACAACAAATAATTCTTCACCTTTTTATGGAAATAGATTTGGGGGAGGAGGGAGAACAACAGATGATACAACATCTTTGGCTAGACCGGCATCTAGAGCTAGTTCTGTTACGAGTAGTGAACAGTTAAGTATTTTAATTTAAATAATTATTTATGTCTTTGTAACTACTAAACTCGAATATATATTTTAATTTTTAAATAAAATAAAATATATGTATTTTATTTTAAAAATTATTCCAACCAGCTAGACACACACATCCACAATCTCAAATAATTTTAAAAGATTTTAAATATTAAATACTTCTTATTACTTTCATTTACGTAAATATGTTCTTAGTCAACATTTTTTTAATAAAAAAGTGCGCAAGCTAAGAAAAGGAAAAAATTTTTTAATCTTCTTTTATAAAAAGGGCAAAATTGTTAAAGAATTAAAAGTAGATGGTGGATATTCTTCTTTTATTTTCCAATAAAATCAAAAATTACATATTTTTCTTTAAAAATATTCTTCTCTATGCCAGTTTTTAAACAAATTTTACTTCAACTTTGTGAAAAGTTTTGTCCTCCTTGTCCCTTTAATAATAGGTGTTTAGTTTAATTAATTAAAGAATTAATTAATTTATTTAATTTAATTTAAGGCATAATGACTCATTTGATATTGTCACACCTTTTGCTCAGGTAAATTAAAGAAAATAATAATTTTCTAATTAAATTTCAAGTTATTATCTTCTTTACACAATGTCCGTGCTAATCTTATTGCAATTGCACAAATTCCCCAACCAGAAGGCCAACAACAACAATCCCAGCCCCAACAAAGGCATAGTGGAAGGCGTAGTGGAGGGCAGACATCTTTATTGGTTTGGCCTCCCGGAGGTTCTCCTTTACCCGAAACTGTCCAGCAATGTGGACAAGAAACACTTGAAGAATTGGATTGGTGTTTAGAGCAATTGGAGACTATTCAAGTATATCGTTCTGTGACAGAAATGGCTTCTTCTAAAGTAGATTAGATGAATAATTAAATTTAAATTCTTTTTTTCTCTTTCAAGTTTCGAAAATTATTAAATAGAGAATTGACTCATTTCGCAGAAAGTTCAAAATCTGGACCTCAAATTAGTCGATTTCTACTTAACACTTATATGGAACAAGAAGAGGCACAGGAAGAGGTGAGATTAAATTAATTTGGTTGTAAAATAAAAATTAAATATTTTTTTGTCTTTCCCTCTCTTTTTTCTCGGAATAACAAAAATTAAATATTTAATTTTATTTAAAAGTTTCTTCTTTTTCCTTTCCCCCCTTTTTCCATAAAAACATTCTCGGTCTACTTGTTTTGCACTTTTTTAAATTAGAGTAATTAATTTTTAAAGTAAATTTATTTATTTATTAAAAAAGGGGGACTTTTAAATTTTTTAAAAATGAGGGGAATAAAATAATTGATTAAAAAAGAAAGATTTTTTGTCGGTTGCCTTTGTATGTAATTAATTTGTTGCCGCAAAATGATTTTGATGGGAAAATTAGGGGAAATAAAAGGATTGGAAAAGAAGGGGGGATAGAGGGAATAATTAAAAGAGAGAAGAGGGAGAGACTTTTTTAATTTGAAAAAAATTTGTTTTTAATTAATTTAAAAAGGGGGAAAGAAAGGGGGTTTTTTCTAAAATACAAAAAAATTAAATTTCCCCATAATTTAACAAGAACAAATCACAAAAAAGTTGTGAGGGAAAATTGAAAGAAAAAAGGAGGGGAGGGGGGAGAGGAAACGGAAATTAAAAAGAAAATAAGTTTTGTGTGTTAACGGACTTCCGTTTTGATAAAATTAAGAAATCAGTAGCAAAAAAAGAAGAGAGAAGAAAGAAATTTTAATCACGAAATTCACAAACATTTTTGGACAATTGCCCAAAAACTTTTTATTTTTTAAACTTTATTTTTTCAAATTTGGAGTATCTTCTCTTTAAATTAATTCGAAATTAAATTTTTTACCTCTTTGAAAGGTAAAAAATACCTTTTTAAAACCTCCACAAATCAAAATTTAAAAGAAAAATAAATAAATTTTTTAAATTTTCTCCCTTCCCTTCCCTCTCTCCTTCCCCTCATTTCTTCATTTTTACTTCTTTTTAATCTTTCAACATTGCGCAGGTCCTTCTTATTCTTTTCCTTCCGCCAGTCAATTTCCGTTAAATTTTTTTCTTCTTCAAAAGTCAAAGCCCACTAGAAAAGTTTAAAAAACGCGGAGAGGGAGGGGGAGGGTGGAGAAATTTTTAAAAAATAAATTTTTATATTTAATTTTTGTTCTTTAAAAGACTAACAAAAATTTTATTTAAATTTATTTATTTATTTTTAAAAAAGGGTCAAAAAATGGAACAAAAGCCAAGTACTTCTTCAATTCCTTCCAAACCCCTACCTCCAATGGTTGCTGTCGCTGGACATGCTTCTTTATTTAATAAAGCCAAAACGGCAGCAATGTCCAGAATTTCTGGAGTTCAAAGACTAAGAAGTAGCCAATTTGGACCTCACCATGGATGCCCTCCCGAATTTGGAGTTCCCTGCAAAAAAGAAATTGAAGTTTATATGCAAAGGGTAAAAGAATATTTTTAATTAATTTTATTTCCCAAATAAACAAAATTTATTCTTTTTTTTTTTAATTAAAAAAGGGGTCAATGATTATTTGTGGGGAATTGCAAATTTTTTGATTTATAATTAATTTTAAACACGTGAATATAATATGAAATTAATAAATAAATTAATTAATATTTTTTGGAATATTTAATAATAATTAAATAATTTTAAGATAAATGATTGGGGAGTTAATATCTTCAAAATGCATGAGGTAATATTAATTTAAAAATTAAAAAAATATTTTTAAATCCAAATTGTAGTTATCAAAACAACATTCACTAACATCAGTTACCTACACTTTATTGAGAGAAAGGAAAATGTTATTTAAATTTGAAATTCCTGCAAGCACTTTAGTTAATTATTTACTACATTTAGAACATCATTATCGTAGTAATCCATATCATAATCAAATACATGGAGCTGATGTTGCACGTAAATTTTTTTAATTACAAAAATTATTAGAGTTGTATTAATTAATCACAATCAATTTTAAATATTCTTTTAAAATCACATTTCCTTTTTCTATTTCTCATTTAAAATTTACTTAACACAAAAAAATATTTAAAAAAATAATTTTTATTTTTTAAATTAATTTTTAAGAATCTATAAGCGTGCTAATTTCCTCACCAGCATTAGAAGGTGTTTTCTCAGATTTGGAAGTTTTGGCAGCTATTTTTGCTTCAGCAATCCACGATGTTGATCACCCAGGCTTTACTAACCAATATTTAATTAACACACAAAGTGAACTGGCAATTATGTATAATGATGAATCTGTGCTTGAACAGCATCATTTGGCTGTAGCTTTTAAATTACTTCAAGACAGGGATTGCGACTTTTTGCAGGGACTTACAAGAAAACAAAGTCAAAGTTTTAGAAAAATGGTGATAGAAATGGTGTTAGCTACTGATATGTCCAAACATATGAGTTTATTGGCTGATTTAAAAACAATGGTTGAGGCTAAAAAAGTTTCGGGAACAGATACTCTTTTAGACAAATATCAAGACAGAATACAGGTAAAGAGAAGGGATGTAAAATTAAAATGTTTTTTTCTTTCAAAAGGTTCTTCGTTCTGCTATTCATTTAGCTGATTTATCAAATCCTGCAAAGCCAATTGATATTTATAGGCAGTGGAATGAAAGAATTTTGGAAGAATATTGGAGACAGGGAGACAGAGAAAAACAACTTGGACTTGAAGTAAAATTGAAAATAAATTCCTTAAAAAGTAATTTTTTTTTGTTTAGGTCAGTCCAATGTGTGATAGAGGTAATGTAACTGTAGAAAAATCTCAAGTTGGATTTATTGACTATATTGTCCACCCATTATTTGAAACTTGGGCAGAATTAGTACATCCAGATGCTAATTCAATATTGGATCAATTGGAAGAAAATAGACAATGGTATTTAGCTAGAATGGAAGAAGAAGAAGAGGAGGGAGAAAATGGGGGAGGAGAAGGAGGAGAAGAAAAAATAATTTTAAAAGAAAAGCCTCCATTACCTCAACAACAACAACCATTTTTTCTAAGTAAAGAAAGAGCAGCAATGAGACAAACACAACCACCAGAAAGTTGTTTTAGTTCAATTAGTAGAAGTTCAAGTAAAATATCTAATCCTCCACGTCCACGTGCTGCAACTACAACTGCTGTTATATTACCCGAAACTGCTGATATTAATATTAGTGATCAAAGGCATTAAAATAAAAAAAGGCATTAAAAATCAAAATAATATTAATTACTAATAATTTTTCCTTTAACCCTTTTTTTAAAGAAAAAATAATTTTTTTAATTACATTTTTTTGTTAGTTTGTGTTTTTTAATTCAAAAAATTATGAAAATATTTCACAAACAAACAAAAAAATATATTTTTTTATTGTATATCGGGTTTTTTGTCCTATTCACCCCTTTTATCACCTCTTTATTAAGGAGACACTACAAAATGATATTTCTTTAACAATTTTATCCCAATTTTCTTTTCTATCTCACAGATTAAATTAAATAATTATACCCAATAAATCACCCTTAAACATTATTATTTATGGTGCTCCCCTTCTCTCATTTTTATTTTTTTTTGCATAATTTTTTTCTTGCTAATCCCATATTTTTCTAATGCCAGTTTTTTTCAAATATTATTTTTGTATTGAAAAGTGAAAAAATATTTTAAAAAAAAAGGTAAAAAAACCAATTATTTAACCTTTCAATACAAAAATATCTTAAATATTGTAAACGCAATCGCCTATCTCTTGCTCGTACAAAAATGTGATTTTTAGATATTCAATAAAAAAATTAAAATTGTTTTCTCGTAAAATAAAAATGTTGTATGTTGAAAATAAGAAAAATTTCGGAAAAAAACCCGCAGAAACTGGCTTGATTAAAATATATGTCATTCGAAAGAGCTAATCGAGCTGAGTCGAATATCACCAAAATCAACTCGGTCGGATGATCTTAAATAAAATGATGATTAATGAAACCTCGTTGGGAACACTTTGTGCTGCTGCGGAGTTACAACACAACGACCAGCCCATAATGAGACCTTTTTTAATTTTTTTTAAATCTTAGTTTTCAAAGAACTTTATGTTAAGATAAGAATACCTCCATTTTAATTTATAGTTCGACGAATTGGGTATTTTTACTCTGTTGGACATTTTGAGTTGTGACGAATTTTTTTGCGACAATCTTGAATTTTTTGTTCAGTGGGACGAATCGAGAGTTTTGTTCAAAGGGACGAATCGTGGGGTGACGAATTTAAGCGCATCGGTCCTTTGTTTTGTAAAATTGAGCGAATTAAAATTTTTAGGGCAAGATTTACATACTACTTGAACGGGTCAACTCTAACGCATAATAATCATGGCGGATCCTGAAAAGGCAAGTGATAATGGTGCATGGCTGGACGAACATTTTCCCTTGCACAAAGCTGTGTTTCAAAATGACATTTCTCGAATTAATGAAATCCTAACTACGACTTGTCTTCCTAAAATCAATTTGGACCAAATGGATACTCACGGCAATACAGCGCTTCACTTGGCAGCAATGCTTGGAAATATAGGTAATTTATCATTTTTGGTAATTTCGAACTGGACAGACCCCCTTTTTTCCTACCCAATTTTTCCCCTATACTTTTGCAAAATGGTTAAAGAGCTCATCAAACTCTTTAATTAAAGAGTTTGTTGAGCTGAGTTAAATGACACCAAAATCTCAACTACTATTCGAGATATAGTCTCCTGAAAATTGCAAAAATCATTGGAAAGACAAAGCTCGTATTTGTGACCTCTTCTTAATTTTGTTCTCATTCAGCTCAGCTCGCAGAGCTTTTTAATTTTATAATTTATCCGATTTTGATTCTGTTATATATTGTAAAGTTTTACTTTTAATTTTTTTCAGAAGCTGCCAAACTACTGTTAGAACATGGAGCGAATGTCGGATTGAAAAATAACGATGGCTGGAAGAGTTTACATGAAGCAATTAGTTATGGGGATCGAAAAATGAGTTTGTGTTTTTATTTTTTTATTTGTATTTATCATTATTTTTAGTTGGGTTATTGTTGTCTTCACATAAGAAGCAGTCTCATCGTTCATTGACCTCAAAATTGCCTGAAATTCAAAATCATCTTGAATCCTTGAACGATTTCTATATGGAAATTCGTTGGGAGTTTCAAACTTGGAGTGTGTTTTAATTTTTAAATAATTTATTTTTTAATTAATTTTTATTCTAAAGTTCCTCTTCTTTCGAGAGTGATGCCTTCTGATACATTTAAAGTCTACAAACGAGGTTCTAAGCTCCGTGTAGATTTTACTCTAACAGACTTCAATGAAAGCATAATTAGTTGGACCCGAGGTGATATGTCTTTGCTTTTTGATCCAGGTGCACCAAAGAGTTACCAGACTCTTTTGCTCAATAACAGGGATGAGGTTAACTATTTAGAGAATTAATTTTGGATTTATACTTTTGGCAAATTATTCTAGATATTTTTTTATATTTTAGGTATATCAAAGGGTCCGAGATAAGAATCGTCACCTCAATGATGAAATTGATCTCCTAATGGGCTGTGATATCATAAGGTTATTTATTTAATTTTTCACGTTAAATAATGAATTTTAGTAGTCACATAAGTACTCGACCTATTCGTTTTGTTCGTGCAAAAGGCTGGTTCATGAACGACAAATCGGTATGTTTAAAATATGTCTTAAGCTTTTTGAAATGCATCTTATTATCACTCTGCTTTTTTGGTCATTAAATAACGAAAAACAAAGTTTTACGGCTAAAACTAGTAGATAATTGAATCAGGTGCCGAAAATTAATAGTAGCCGATCATTCTTTCCAGCTAATAACTTTTATTTTATGCGCTTTTAAGTCTACTATGGATTAATAAAAAAGGAGATTGTCTAATCTTTTTTTCTTTAAATTTTTAGTATAATATTGGAGAATACAAAGCTGATCTGTTCAACATTAAGGAATTGTGTCTTATTACCCGGAAGAGGTTTATTCTAATTAATAATTTTTATTTCTTATTTTAGGCGGGAGCATCTTTCTCAAGAAGATCTACGCAAGAACCGAGAGTTGAATAAGGCTTTCTCTAGTGGCAAACTTCCTCCTGATGATGGTAGCAGTGATGATGATGATAAAGTAATTTTAAATAATTGATTTTTCCTTTTTCAGAGATTTTGAAATTAATTTTTAAAGGACCGTCACCGTGCAAGTTTGTCCCCTCCCCCAAAACCAGAGTTTACTTGGGCTGAATATCTCCGTTTGCCTGATGGGCCGGACTCGCATTTGGGAAGGCCGAAGGAAGAGAAGACTACAAATACTGAAATTAAAGGAATGCTGGCGTTGGTAGGATTTTTCAAATTTAAAATACTTCTCTGTTAATTTAAAGTGTCAGGACTTTCCACTCACAACCGATCAACTGTTGGACATTCTTGAAGTTCTAGAGCCTGTGAAAACAACAGTGAAAAAATTCCGTGCCTTTTGCAGTTCTGGACGGTTGCCATCAGGCTTTCCTATTCAATTAGGTGTGTTTTTTAAAGTCTTACTTAAAGTTTAAGTATTCTTAATTGGTTATACATACCCTTTAAAAAAATTTAAATGGATTCTAATCAAATAAGCTAGTTAAATAAACTACCTTTCACACGGAAATAAACTACCCACTGCTCACAATCAGTGTCTTTTTTTGGTGGATGAGATTTAATTTCTTCTTTCAGAGATTCCCATCTTTGCCACGCTGACAATGAAGATTACAGTTCAGCTCTTTCGTTGGCAACAAACTAATAATGATGCAGCATTTCCAGATGAAATGTTCAAAGTGCCTAGTCATTTTCGTGAGGATCCAGACCATTTTGACAAAATCTAATGGATATGTGATTTGTAATCGAAATAAAAACGATCTTTCATTCAAAATAACCTCTACTAGGTAAAAACTGAAAATAAGCCTCTATCTCATACAAAATATCCTCCAATAATTTACCCAAATATAACTTAACTCAGTTACTTATGTATACATATTTTTATTATCAATGCATTTTTGCTCTCGTGTATTAATTAATTATCCCATTGGCATTAAAACAAATGAACGTGTAAATATGAAAATTAGGATTTTTTTTATTTGTTTCGTTTAGATTAAAGCTTTAACATACCTTTTATATATGTACAAGTTTTGTATAATTGTTTGTCTGATTTTTGATAAATCACCTGAGCCAAGCTCAATATAAAATTTTGTTCTTTCTTGAAGTAATTATAATTTTAAATATGTAATAGTAACAATTGCTATTGTTTATTTTGTATGAAAATATGTTAATATTTTTCTTATTTAATGAGAATACTTGCAGGTTTATTTAGAGTATTTTTAAATGACTGATTCGGACGCCTCAAGTAATGACGGGGGAGGTGTTTATCAGGTTAAATTTTTTTCATTTGTAAAATAATAATTTAATATAAGGTTGAAAAAATCTTGGACAAAAGAACGGTCAAAGGAAATAAAGTTGAATATTTGATTAAATGGAAGGGTTATGACAATCCTAGTGACAATACTTGGTATTAAATTCATTTAAATTTCATTACTTTAAAAATTCAGGGAACCAGAGGAAAATTGTGATTGTCCTGATCTGATTGAGGAATTCAAGAAGAATTATAAAGAGAAGGATGTCAGCAAGAAACCTACAAAAAAGAGGCGACAAAGTCCTGGCCGTTCAAATTCCAAATCTGTGGTTATTATTTACTTTTGTTATTACTTGCGTTACTTTATCTTTTATTTTAGAGTGTTGATCGTTCTTTGAAGGAAGGGTCAAAAGATAGAGGTGCCAGCAAGACTTCCAAGGTTTAATTGTTTTAAATTTAGAGATTTGATTCCTTTAGAATACTGCTCTCGCTACAAGCAAGAAAACACGTAGTAAAGAATTCGTCATATCTTCAAGTAGCGATACCGAAGCACCTGCTGAAGAGAAGAAAACTGTTGCAAATGAAATGGCTCCTTTCCTTGGTACACGTTTTATTCTTAAATTCATGCGCATCTTTACTCACGTTAAAATATTTTAAGAAATTCCATATGAAGGGAAAGTATATAAATTTCAACAAGACAAGAAAATTGACAAGGTATTGGGTGTTAAGAAGACGCAAAAGGATGAAAATCAATTGTTGGCTTTAGTTCGTTATGAGGACACTGATTACGAGCTTGTTCCTACGCCTGTTTTGGCTACCGAAAATCCTATTAAGGTGGAGATTATTAATCTAAAAGTGTTTTAATTCTTAATATTTAGCTAATTGAATATTATGAGCAACATCTGCGATTCTTTTGAATGTTTTATAAAAATGTGGAAGGAGGAATAAACTGGACATCGATCTAATTATTTTCATTTTGTTTTATTCACTTCTGATTTTTTGTTTTCAAAGCTGTAACCAGGTTCTAAATCTCTCATGAATTTGAAGAAGTTACAGTTTATAAATTTTTTGCTGGCAATTTATTGATTATTTCTCTGATAATAAATTATTTTGTTTTATAAATTTAACACGAAAATATTGGATTTTATCCACATTTTTAGAATTCAATAGTTTTTTTTTCTACCTATTTTAAACTAATAGAAATGAACAAGAAAAATGAGCTACGCCTTAAATTACTTTCACGTCAACAACATATTCCAAAAGCTAAAAGGCCAGCTGCTTTGGTTTTTTTTGGATTATTTTCACTTATATTTTCTCTGATTTAGGTTGCTTCTGCTGCTGTCGCACCTGTAAAACGATCGAAGTTTGAAAATCCGAGAAAGCCACAGCCAACATCATCCTTAACAAATGTGACAGCAGCAGCGGGTCCATCTGAAGCGCCTCAGGCCAAGAATCAAAGGAATTTTTTATCACATCCGGTAAAATTTAATTATATTAAAAATCAAATTGGTCATAAAAATTATGATCATATTAAGATTTTGACTTGTTTTGAAAAATAAATTAGTGAAAAATTTATAAAATTTTTATAAAAGGTATTTTTGTAATAGGGAATAATATCAAATAATTGAGGGAGTTAAATACTATATTGTTTACTAAAGGGATAATTTTAAGGTCACTGTTCAAAACCATGGGTTAGGTAATAATTTGACTTCTAAACAAAATACTTTTGGTCAATTTCGTATTTCTGCACAAACAGAAACGAAAGAACTTGAATGTCAACCGCTGCGAAAAGAAGTTGAATGTTAGTATTTTTAATTTACAAAATAATAGTTGATCCCATTTTAGCATTTCCAGTCACATCAAGAGTGAATTCATCAGTCTCAAGAGAAACTGATAGTGAACAACAAAATTCGTTGATAAGTGGAATTGATGAGCAAAAAAGTTCACAACATCAGTCAAATTTTGTTCATCAATTTGGACTTTCTAGCTGTGATGAGTCGACAATTGATGTTGGTTAATTTACTTACATTATATAATTATTTCAAAACTCTAGAAAGCATTAATTGGTATGCTTCCAACTACAGCTCTAAGTGGCCTTGAATCATTTGGACTTTCAACATTGGCATTCTCAAAATTAGTTTCAATAATAACTTCAAGTGAGTTTCATCACAAAATTGATGAGAAGACAGCCGAGACAATAATACCTTTTCTTTCTGCCTATCAACTTAGAGGAGCAACCAATAATGTTAATCAGGTTAAGAAAACATTTTTTAATATTTTGGAATTTTTTTAATTTTCAGTTAATTTCTTTTTTTCGTTCAAAATTTCCTCTAATTGGCAACGACGAACCTTTAGACATTAAACAAACATTTATAAATTTTCCTCCACATCTTCAATGTAATACAGCAGGCAATACATTTACTAAAGAAATAGCTGATGTTAACTTGGTGGCACTTTCTTCGTTTTCTGACGAGGATGGATTAATTTCTGGTAGTTATAATGAGGAAAAGGAAATAGATGAACAAGCATCACCAAATGAATTGTTAAAAATACTTTGTTCGGATAATGTTTGTACTTACAATTAATCAATATATTTACTTACAATTAACATAAGTAGTTCATTTTTTAAATTTAAAGGCGAAGAATAACACCCATAATGCTTTACTTTTACAAAATTATTGTCTTCATAGACCGGATATCTTGGATTTAAATTCTAACAATTTCGACGAACAGGTGGTTTTTAAACCGCTTTCTCAAATTTTTAAAATTTCTTTTATGACCCCGGCCTTTTTTTTGCCTTTTTCAATCATAGTTTTAACTCAATATACTCTTTTTAGGTTCAAATACTTTTCTCATCAAAATCAGAATTTTCTAAAGAATTGATTGTAAAAATTGTTAATCATTCTTCAGCATTAGTTATTCGAAAAGTGATTGACAAACTTTTGTTCAAATTTGATGAACGGTTCATTTGAATTTTTTTATCTTAAATTTTATTTATCTTTAGTTTTCTGCCTTCGTCTGTTATTAATTTTGTGGGTACTCTTTGTAATTCTTCACCATCCTTAGTCAAAGCCAAACTTGACAAACTTCAATGTTCTTTTTTGACACTTTATTTCGTTGAAGTATTTTCATTTTTTTAAATTTATTTTTGTTATAATTTAGGCATTATTCCAATTGCCACAGGAAAAGGACTTTACGGATGAGTAAGTTTTGAATAAAGTTTTAACCTTTAAAAATTTAGGTTGGATAAATTTGTAACTATTATTCAACTTCTAATTCAATCATCATCAGTGGAGATGCCAAAAGATAAATTCTCTGATATTTCTTCACATGGATTCGGTTCTACTCTTTTGGCATATCTTCTTCGCTTTTTTCGTGAACAGGAGGCAAAGTATCAAAACTCTCAAAAACGGAAACAAATTCTTCAAAAATTAAACGAGCGTCTTTTTCAAAAGTTTCCCCGTTAGTAATTTTTTTTAATTAAATTTTAAATTAATTTTAATTTTTTAAAGTTATTCCACGTGACATTTCTTTCTTGAGCATAAGTGGTGATCATCATAGACAACTTTCCGTGCTTGATATAGCTGACGCAGATAAAATTTTGGAACAAACTATTTCCGAATGTTTCGAGATGGTTAAATCTACTTCGTCTGTTAATTCTACTCAAACAAAAGACAAAAATATAGTTATTGACAAACTGGAAAATTTGGTTAAATTCACTAAAACTAGCCCAACTTTAATGATAAGGTTAATTATTTTTATTCTAAGTTACATAAAAAATACACTCCTCCACAAAATTATAGCCCCACCTATATTTTTCTCGGTTTCAATACTATAACCGTTGTTTTTATTTTCAGACTTTTTTGTAATAATAAATAGTGGTCTAAAATTAGGTTGTAAAAAAATTTTGTTTTCAAATCAATTTTTTCGAGAGTTATAGGCAAATCCCAAGTTTTAGAGTTCCACAAAATTATAGCCCCACTTTGAAATTTCGAGTTTCTAACAATAAGAAAAATCTAAAAAAATTTGAGCTAATATATTCATCGATTATAAGAAAAAATAAAAAAGAATTAAGCCCATACCTCACTTCGGTGTCGAGATCCAGATACCTCGAAAATCAACGTAAACCAGGGGTAAGGCTGTTTAAAAAATATTTTCGACCCCTTATGGTTTGTTTTAAAATTTCAATTTGGGCTCATTCGAATGCCCTTGAAATTTGCTACAAGATAGCATAAGTTTTATTTTCTAAAAAAATTATTTCAGTAATACCCATAATAATTATCTCAGTAAGCCCCCTAATGCCCCATAAAATTAGCTCCGGAAGATTAACGTCCTGCATATCTTTATTGAATTTTTTCTGAGATATAAGATTATTTCCTTCTTGTAGCAAATTTCAAGGGCATTCGAATGAGCCCAAATTGAAATTTTAAAACAAACCATAAGGGGTCGAAAATATTTTTTAAACAGCCTTACCCCTGGTTTACGTTGATTTTCGAGGTATCTGGATCTCGACACCGAAGTGAGGTATGGGCTTAATTCTTTTTTATTTTTTCTTATAATCGATGAATATATTAGCTCAAATTTTTTTAGATTTTTCTTATTGTTAGAAACTTGAAATTTCAAAGTGGGGCTATAATTTTGTGGAACTCTAAAACTTGGGATTTGCCTATAACTCTCGAAAAAATTGATTTGAAAACAAAATTTTTTTACAACCTAATTTTAGACCACTATTTATTATTACAAAAAAGTCTGAAAATAAAAACAACGGTTATAGTATTGAAACCGAGAAAAATATAGGTGGGGCTATAATTTTGTGGAGGAGTGTATTATTTTAAGGCAGATGCCTGTTATTGCTTCAAAAGTTCAAGACTTGGTAGAAAATTTGAGTGGCCGTGAAATTCGATTTAGTACAGCAGTTCCACTTTTACTTTATATTTTGGATATTATAATGATAGCAATGAAACGGAAGATAGTGCTAACATTTGAAAAAGAAGGAAAGGATAAAACATGTTATCTTTTACAAATTCGATCTTTTCTTGCTGTACTTAAATCAATCTTTCAAATATTTCAAGTATGCTTTTTAATTAAATTTTTAATTTTTATATTTTTCATTTTTAGAACCGAAAAAATCGACAAATTCCATTTTTGACTGAAAAAGCTCTTCAAGCAATTGTTTTGTTTATTAAGGAAAATCAAAATTTTTCTTCTGATTTACTAGACGATGTTCCTATGTTGAAAGAAATATTGGATCGACAACAGCATGTACTTTCACAAATGGACAAAGAAATTTTGAAACGTGAAATATCTAAAATAACTAATGTCGAGAATTTATAAATTTAAAAATAATTTCTATATAAATATAAATTTACGTGTACCAGACGAGTATGGTTAATTATAGAAAAAATCATAATAATAAAATGATAATTAAAATAATGATTCCCAATAAGGAAGGAATGTTAGTCTAATATTTCCTTTTTACCAAATCTGACCTCGGGAATTTGCTGACACGGGAACACTCCGGACTATTAAAATATAAATCGATTTTTACGAGATTATGAACTAAAGAGCCCCTACTATAAATGGAAAATGTGAAAGAGAAATATTAAAAGAATAATTAAATATTTATGTATTTCCACCCGATTAAGACGTTAATTGCTGTCTTTTAGTCATTTTGTCTTTAGTGCTTGAATTATTTTATTGTCCACTATTGCAAAAAATTCACTGGTTTTTTATTTAATTAAATTAATCTTTTTAAAATAAACAGCTGATACTTTTAATGCTTTTAATTAGAACAGTTACATGATATAAAGTTCATGTCATAAAGTATATTTAAGTACTCTATTGTCCATTTATTTGTGTGTAAGAGACATATTGAGTAGCAAATACTTATGCATATTTAATTACGAAATTTACTTTTAAAGATCATTGTCTGTGTTAATATTAAATTTTTCTAGCAATTTCTAGCAAAACAAAGCAAATAAATACTTTCCAAATATTACCAATTAACAACTTAATTTTAGATGCAAATTAAAGTATTATTTTCTACCGATAATTAATTTAGCAAACAATGGAGGGATCTACTAATACAACAACAGGAGGCAAGCATGATATTAAAACCCATGAAGATTGTGCTAAAAATGTAAATTTTTATTTTTTAAATTAAATATAAATTGTTTAGGCTGTTCTTAAAGCATTGAAATCTCTTGAATCAGCAGATGGGCTTAGTGATGATTGCACTTTTGCTCAAGCAATGACGGATGGGATAGAGATGTAAGGGGGTTTTTTAAAGGAAATTAATCTAAATTTATAATTGTTTTTTTGTGGATGAAAATTTAATTTTATTTAAGTTTGGTTAATGTCTGGCGCAAGAGGGACTCAAAATCAGAGATTGCATTTCAAGGCATCCTTTCTTCCCTGGAATATTGTTTGCAACATTCTTTTGAGACTGTAGACCATTTTGAAAATTTTGTCAATATTCTAGGTATTTTTATTTTCTTTTAGGTTTATAGTAGGGCTGTTCACGACCGGTTTAAAACTGAAAATTTTTTATTTTTTGCTAAAAATTAACCGTTTTTACAAAATTTAGTAAACCGAAAACTTCTGAAAATGAGTGATTTTATTAAAAATTACCCCAAAATAAAACCGGTATTTGTCTAAAACCGAAAACCGGGTTTTTAAAATTTGGATTAGATATCCAATTTTAAAATTTGGATACAAATTTATCTAAATTAAAATTTAGATAAATTTGGATTAACCGCGGGTACCGGCTTTAACTGGGAGTGAACAAACATAGTTTTTAGGCTTTAATATTTATTAATGTTTATATTTGAGGTTATCATACTGTGCAATTTTGGAGAGCGGCAATTCCTTACATTTATGAATCAGATATGGCACATGGAACTAAGTAATTAAAATTTTTTAAACATTTAAAATGGAGATAATTTTAATGTAAGAATATTTTTCACTTTTAATTTTCAGATATAGAGATGCACTTCTCTTTAGCCTAACATTGCATGATGTCAATACTGGGAGGAACAGGCTCAAGTAATTTTATTTTTATAAAATTTTTAATTAAAAACTTTGAACAGAGAATTTTATGCTGCTGTGCCTGGTATTCGTAAATCTCTTCTCGGTTCTTCTGCAAAACGCTTTAGTGAACAGTTCCACCATTTACAGCAAAGACGGACTCATTCGTCTTCTTCCCTTCATACTTCTTCCAATTCTTTATTACTTTTACCTGAGTCTCAGCTACATCAAGATGAGACATCGAACAAATTAAGTCCTGCACCTGTCTCTTTTTCTTTGGATAATAATGAAAATAATGATCAAGTGGAAGGACAGAATAAATCGGAAAACGAATCTTCGCATCCGTTTGGTAATTAAAATATATAAATTATTTTAAATATTAATTTTTAATAGAAATTCGTAGAGAGAAAAGAATGTCAATAGCATCTTCTGATACTTCTGATCGTCATCATCCAGCTGTTTTTGATGGAACGGAGGCTATTCCTTCAGGAGGCATAGTCAACACACAACATTTTCAGGTTTATTAATTTCAGATATTTTCATTTTTTTATTTTCTAGCAAAGGGTTATTAATGTCTCAAATGCTCCACCGGTTGCATTGAAACAGTCAGAATCTGGAGAATGGGAAATTAAACAGGCTTGGGCACATTTTTATTTAAATTACTTTTTTTCTCAATTAGGGCTCCGGTGGTCTCGTTTCTTGTGTGGATCCAGTGATGGCTGTAAATCCAGAAAATATGTGGTTGGCAAATTTGGGAATGAACATTGATAAATTTAAAATTACATCAACTGAATACATTGAAAAGATTGATCCGAGTATGGAGAAAATTGATCCTACTTATATTTCTGCTCCGACAACCAATACATTGGGTAATTATGAACCGTTAAATATTTATTATTATTTTTTTTTTGATTCTAGGACTTCCCTTGATGAAACAAGCACTTGCTGATGTTCTCTTTCACGTGATTGGTTTCTTAAATAATTATTTCCGAAAATTTATTTTCATTGTTTTCAGCTGACGATGACCTCAAAGAAGAAAACGAGCCCGCGGATAAGCGTCAAATCAGAGAGGAAATGTCGCTTCTTGGTGTTCTTAATACTTATAATCGTGGAAATTATAAACTCAACCCTGTAAAAAAAAAGAATTTTTTACCATTTAAGAAAAATATTTTTAAGGTAATCGTTCAAGAACAAGATTATAATGTCTACTATGGAGGAATCAGCAATGGACTTCTTTGGCCAGCTATGCACAATCTTGCAGAATATATATTACCCGAATATAAGGACACGAAAACTTTAAGAGAACATTGGTTTTCATATGTTAGAGTTAATTATCAATTTGCAATTGATGCTGTAAGAAATAGCCGTCCACAGGATTTTATTTGGATTCATGATTATCATTTAATGTTGACAGGAATGATTATGCAAAGTTTGGACAGAAATTTGGAAATTGGTTTTTATTTATTAAATACAAGTTTGTTTAATAAAATTCTATAGGGTTCTTTCTTCACATACCTTTTCAACCACCTGATGATTTTTTTACTACATATAAAATTGTTGCTTTTCCAATTCTTAGGGGATTACTTCGCTTCACCAAAGTCGGATTTCAGACACATAGAGACCGGACAAAGTTTATTGAACTTGTTAAAAGTTATCTGGTAATTGTATAAAAAATCTTTTTTGTTTATTTAACAAATTTTAGCCAACGGCCAAAGTAAAAACTGAAGATAAATTGGATGTAATTGTAGTTACTTATCAGGGTTGGAGTTGTTCTCTTGGAGTTTTTCCTGTTAGTATCAAAAACGAGGATTTCCTTCGAGTGGCTAGAGATCCAGCTGTTATTGAAAGATCGCAACAAATTCGAAAACAAGTTTGCATTTTTTCTATTTTTTAAACTACATATTTAACTCTCTAGATATTCGGTGAAAATCCTCCAGCTGATGTTTGTTTATTCTTTTCGGTTGAAAGATTTGATTATACAAAAGGCATTAGAGAAAAATTGTTAGCTTTTCAACGTTATCTTGAGAAATATCCAGAAAGGCGTGGAAAGGACATTCTTTTCCAAGTTGCTGTAACAAACCGCCGCGGTGTTGACACTTACAGAGTTTATCAGGTTTTTTATTTAATTATTTTTAAAAATGAAAAAATCTTTCAGGATGAATCTATTGATTTAGCTGAACAAATAAATAAGCAATTTAAAGATGAAGAAAAATATGGGAATTGGTTACCTGTAATTTTCCAAACAAGCGGATTACAACGTAGTGAATTAATAGCTCACTATTTGGCTATGGATGTTGGTGTTGTAACACCTAAAAAAGATGGAATGAATTTGGTTTTGCTTTATTGATAAATTTCAAATAATATTTTTTATTCAAAGGTCGCAAAAGAAATGATGCTTTGTAATTCTGCAGCTGGTTTAATCCTCTCGACTGGTGCTGGTTCGGAAATGCAATTTTCAATGGCTGGATTACATTCAGAGCAGGATCCAAACTATCACAGAGTTTATTTTGTTTTTTAATATTATACTTATTTGTATTTAAAGGTTGACGATTTATTTGATGTTGAGGCTTTTGCTGAGGTTTTTCATAAAGCACTTACAGAAATTCGTGAGCAACGAGAACGACACGGAAAGGTTCTTAATGATTTTATTATGGCAAATGACATCGAAAGGTATGTACATTATTTAAAAAATATTGTTTAAAAATCAAATCTATTTTAGGTGGAGTCAAACATTTCTTGATCCGAGTTGGTCACATCTTGTCATTCGTCAAACAGATGTTACCACACTTGATGATTTCTTTAATATAATGCTTCGAACTCGAGATGTCCGAAAAGCAATTGTTGAACGTGTTCTTAAAGGAATTCCTATTAGACAACATTTTGCAATTTCTCTTCAAAATGCAAAAGAATCGCTGGAATTAGCTTGTAAACCTGATTGTTTTAAAATTGAACTTCAATCTGGTAAATAAAATTTTGCATTTTTAAATAGGTAAATTAATTTAACAATTAAATTAGGTGTAGACGCAACAGTTGCAAATAAAAACAACACTGTAGAATTTTATATAAAAAATGAAATTGAAGAATTGGAAAAAGATTTAAAATTTTTGGAATTTATTCAGAGTGAAGATGTTTTTAATGTAAAAATTAATTTTTAAACATTTTTTTGTTTTATATTCTAGATTGAACAATTTATTTCTTCTCTTCAAATTTATCATCCAGATTCTGAAGAAAGATTCAGAAACGAAGTTGCAGCTGTTGTTGATGTTAATATTAAATTTCAAATTATTTAATTTTTTTCTATAAATTTAGATGTTTTTTGATGCTGATCATTTTAATTATTTCTTCACTGATCGTGATGGGACTCTTAAATCCTACAGTTGTGCTTATCCTGCTTCAATCCAACCTGCTTATTCAGGCGTTATTCAAGCACAGTTTGCTAGGCGTTGTGCTCAAACATGTGCCATTGTTACAACTGTAATATATTTTTTTTTATAATTTATTAATTTTGTTTTTAAGGCACCATTGATGCAAGTAGGAATTTTGGATGTTAATACAATCCCAGAAGGATATTATTACATTGGTGCATCTGTTGGGCGAGAGTGGTATGTTGAGCCAGACAATAAATTTAAGGTTTTTATTTCTGAAAATCTGTAAATATTTCTCTTTTTAATTTATAAAGGATCAATCAATTCCTGAACATGATTTACAACAACTTAATTTAGTTTTTGATTCTATTGCTTATTTGCTTGAGGATTCGGAATTTAAAATCTTCAATTTGATAGGCTCAGGATTGCAAAAACATTTTGGACATGTAACTATAGCGCATCAAGATTCATCTAATACAATACCAACCGAATTAAAAAAGAAAATTGATGACAAAATTCATGCAATTGTTGAAGATATTGATCCAAACAATCAATTATTTGAAATTATAGTAATAAATATTTTTATTTTTAAATTAATTTGTTATTTTTTAGATTGATGACAGAGACATAAAAATATTTGTTAAAACTGAATTTGGAGGAATTTTTGACAAAGGAAATGGAATAGAATTATTAATAAATCACTTAAAATGTGATTTAACTGAAGGAACTATTTTAGTATGTGGTGACTCAATTACAGACATTCCAATGTTGGAATATTGTCTTATTAAAAATCCAAAAGTGAGGATACTTTAATTATAAAAATTAATAAATATGTATTTTCAGAATGTTTATACTGTATGGGTTGTAAATGGACAAAATGTACAGTTGAGGAATCAAGTAAAATGAATTTAAAAATATTTGAAAATTATTTTGCTTATATTTAGGTTCATGATTTGTGTAAAAAATATGGAAATGAACATTTGGTTTTTGTTTCCTGCCCTGAAGTATTGCTTGGATCGATGGCACAGGTGAGAATAATAGAAAGGATAAAAATCGCTACCAAGCTAACTAGTAAATTTTAAAAAATGCCCAAGTGATAGCTAGAATTTCAATATGTACTCTAGTTAGTTTAAAAAGCGATGAAGAACTTAAAAGTACTATTATTAATTCTACATACATTTAAGGCAACTATCCGTGAGATTAGCATTTGCAGAGGAGCTGTCACCCACCATAGACACAGTTCATCCACTACACAATTAGAGGAAGGTGCTCCCACAGATGACAGATAATTAACATCGAGACAATAATTTAGTCTTTTCATTACGATTATTAGTTATTTACATATTTTATTAGCGAGAGACGCACATTCTACCTTATTATCCTTACAATACCCGCAATCATTGGTATTGGAAAGTTGCGTAATTCTAGTTTGATAGTTTTTCAATGTAAATTAAATTTCGTTATAAGTATTTTTAATAGCTTAATTATGCAACATTCATTTATTCAATTATCCTATTCTTAATTTGTGCTAATTTGTTGCCACATCGTATAGGCCATATTTGTGGTGCCCCGAAGTTCTTCGGAAAAGTTCTTTTCTAGTATTTTTGGAATATTCTTCCCCAACTTTTTTTGGAAAATACCTCCAAGATTTTCCTGATTTCCGAAAATACTCGTAGATAAATTTTCCGATAGTTATCATATATTTGCTCATATTGATGCTTTCTTACTACTTCCAGTTTCTCCTACTTCATACAAAATATATCTCTTATAAGTTAATTCTGTTTCTGATTTAGATACCTACTACATATTTCCATTTTTATATTTTAATCAATTAATTTTAAATTTTATTTTCCCTCTAATCTATGTACAACCTCCAATTTTATATTCCCCATAGTGTGCACACTCTCGCCTATTCGTTTCATACCAAAACTTGCCTTAAGACATATTTTTCACCAAATATTTAGTTAAAACAATGGCGCTATTATTTTTATTATTTCGTCATCGTTTAATAAAATTAAAAAAATATTTGTTTTAAATTTTTGACTTCCGTGTACTTCCGTTTTAAAATTTTAACTTCCGAAAATTTAATTCTTTGAAGAATGTTGATGGAGTATAAAAGCCGAATTTTTAATCACCACTACTTCAACATCTTCCATTAATAAAGCATATATACGATCGTTTCATTGGGTTGTCTGCAATGGTTAAGAAGGTATTTAAAATATTTGCTTTAAAATTTTTTTTAATTTTAAGGGTAAAGCGCCAGGAAAGAAAAAATCTCCGGCCCCGAAAAAGCCTAAAAAAGCTCCAAAAGTTAATGCAGGGAAAGTGAAGAAGGCCAAGGCGGTTTCTAAAGCGGGAAAGAAGCCAAAGGTTGGGAAGTCATCTGCGGGTGCAAAAACAGCAGTTAGTGGAAAAACAGCGGTTGGAGGAGGGAAAACAGCAATAGAAGGTACAAAAATTGAGAAAGGTCCTAAAGCTGATAAGCCAAGTAAAATTAAAAAAGCTGGAAAGAAGAAAGATCCAAGTGCAAAGACTGCCGTGGATGGTGGAAAACATTTGAAGGAGAAGAAGGCACCAAAAGCAGAAAAAGGCAAAAAGAAGGAAGGAATTGGCAAAAAGAAAGACGGAGGGGATAAAACGAAGGCAGAAGGAGGGGATAAAACGAAAAAGGAAGGAGCTGATAAAAAGAGGAAGAAAGGAGTGGATAAAAAAGGAGGGAAAGGTAAAATAATATTTTTAAAATTTTAATTTTTAAAATTTTTAAAGGGGCAAAAGGTAAAAAGGGCAAAGGACCTAAAACAGCTGAAGATCATGAAAAGGGAAATAATAGTTTAGATAAAACAGTTGGAGCTACAACAATAGATAAGGAAGGGGATACACATAAAGAAGCAAAACAAGACAAAAAAGGCGGAAAAGAAAAGGGAAAAGAGAAAGAAGGTAAAGAAAAGAAGAAGCAGCCAAAGGAAGATAAAAAACAAAAACTTTCCAAAAATGACAAAAAGCAACAAAAAGATAAAGGTGCTGCGGGTACTTCTTCTGTTCAACAATCTTCCGAATCTTCAATTTCTGATACAAAAAAAGATAAAAAAGAAGAAAAGAAAAAAGATAAAGAAAAGAAGAAAAAAGAGAAGAAGGAAAAGAAGAAAAGAGTGAGAGAAAGGAAGTCTGTATCTGTATCTTCTTCAAGTTCTTCCTCTGAAGAAGAAGTAGTAGTAGAAGCAAAGAAGCCATCTCGCATTGGAAGAATTGCTGGTTTAGTGAAAAGAAAAACTGTTGGGGTTGCTAAATTTGTTATTAGTAAGTTGTTTTTTAGAAAAAATAAATTTAAAAAATAAATTATTTTTTTAAAGATAAAATAAAAAATATTAGAGTAAAGAAGAGAGAACAAAAGGAAAAAGAAGAAATGGAAAGAAATCTTCCACCTAAAAAAGAAGAAACGGAAGAAGAAGAGGAAACTTCTGATGAGGATGAGGAAGAAGAGGAGGAAGAAAGTTCTGAAGGAGGGAAAGATGAAGCTGGATATGTAGCTATTGGGGATATAGATACTGGGTCTATTAAAGTAGATAAGAAGAAAAATAATAAAGAAGATTTGGGAGATGGAAAGAAGAAAAAGTTACAAACAAAGGGAAAAGAACAACCAAAAGGCCAAACATGTAATTAATTAATTAATTTGTTTTTAACTGTTAAATTAATTAAATTTAGCTGAAATGTCAACAATAACTTCTAATTATAATGCTGATACTTCAACTGTTAATGCTCAAAGTAAAACTTCTATTGCAACGAAAACTGATGCAAATTATAATAGTGAAATTTGTATGACAACAAAGTCAATAATGCCAAAGGAGGATTTGAAGAAGAAAAAGAAATAATTAAAGAGATTACACGTATTGTACAAAATTAATTATCAGTATGTAAAATTAAAATCTGTATATACCTATTTTTAATATCGAAATTTTTTTTGAATAATTTGATTGTATATCTTTGTTTCATTGTAATAAATTATGTATTTCGAGAATTTTTTTCTTTGTAAATTATAGTAGAAATTAAATTTCAATACTTTTAGATATATTTGTGAAACGAGGTTCAACCTCAATTTCAAATTATTTTTACGTAATAGATATCGGGAATATCAGGGATTTTGAGGGATAATGAAGTATGAGGGATATTGGTGGATCGGACGGATTAAAGGGATCTAAATGGGTATGGGGGGTTAAGTGGGGCCCGCAAAGTTTGTGACGTTTCAAACCAACACAATCACACCTTACCGTCTAACTGTTCCACTGTCCAATTGTCAAAAAATGGCATGTTCCGAACTGTCCAAATGTTTTAGAAAAAAAAAGCTGGGAACAGACATGAGAAAGTGTAAAAAAATAAATAAACAATGATAAATGTGTCAGAGAAACTATTTAATAATTTTTTTATTTTAATTGACATTTTTTAAAATAAAAATTATTTAAAATAAATTTTATTTTTTTTTCTAGAGAATATAAAATTATTTTTTTTATTATTTTAAAATGAAACAAATAATTAAGAAAATTGAACGTTTTAACAAAAAGGCTACAAAATTTAAATTTCGAATTGAACCACAACAAATGACTATTGAAACCGACGATAAATGGTATCCAGATCAAGTATTTCTTGTTTGTCAACACAAGTTGGTTTTTTAAAGAAATATTTTAAATAATTTAAAAGAAATAAACGTTATACTTCACAACCACGAAAATTAGAATCTAGTTGTACAATTGCTTGTAGACGTCTTGTTGTATGGCCAGAATCAATGCCTCCAGACCCAATTGAATTTGAAACAACTTTATTTAATTTAAATTCTGATTTATTTGAAGACAAAGTTTTTTTAATTTTCTAATTAAAAATAATTTTTTTAAAAGATTTGGACTTTAATTTTGGAAGGTTCTATGACTAAATTAAGAGGAGAAAAATTTAAATTAAAACAAAGACCTTTGGCCTCAACAGAATTAAATATGAAAAATCTTATTAGTCAACCAGGAATGAAAGCTGAAATTAATGTTGTAATGAGGCCTTTACAAGAAGGGGTTTTTCTTTTTTTTTTTATTTTTAATTTTTTTTGTTCAGATTAAATTTTGTAAACTTGAAATGATTTTAATTACTGTTAGATCTTTTGAAGAAGAATATTTTAATACTCCAATTATGTTTGTTTTTAAATAAAGAATTTTTTTAAAAATAAATTTTCTTTCTAGCCCTTCTAATAATTTAAATAATTCTCCTCAAAAAATTCTTTTAGAAGAAGAAAATATTTCTTTATATGTTGATGACAATAATCAACAAAAACAACAACAATTTATTCAAAATATCGATCAAGATGATGGAAATATTAAAAAAACTTTTCACAATTCTCCTTTAGAGTCTTCAATTATTATTACTAAAAACAACAATATTTCTTCAAAATCTTTGGAAATATTTAATGAAAAACAAAATAAAGAAATTAATCAAAATGAGAATATTAAAGAAATTTTTGGTAAATTTTAATTTTTCTGTTTTAACAAACTTAAAATAAGGGAAGGGGGAATCCTCCGTATTTTTGATATTATTTGACCTCTGCTCCCTCCCCCAATTCAAATTTTTTTTTTAAAAACAAATAATTTTTTATCGATACTTCCGGACATTAAAAATTTAAATTTTAAAACAATTTAAATTTTCTACTATTTTTTTCACATTTATCTTTTAGAGAACGGTGTTGAACAAAATGGTAAATATATTGAAAATAATCATCATCAATTAATTAATGAAACAAATAATTTATTTGAACAAAAAGAATTTAAAACAGCAATTCAAAACCTTCCTTCTTCTTCTTTTACTCTTCCACCTACTTCTCTTCCACCTATTCCTCCTTTACATCCTTCTCCTCTTCCTTCTTCTTCTTCTACTACAACCCCTCAACAAAATATTTTATATACAAATAATCGTTCTTCTATAAGGCCAATACCTCCAAATAAAGCTGAAGTACAAGCACTTGCTGCCCGGTTTATTGCTTCAAAAAGGCCAGGTTCCTCTAAAAATTTTTTATTTTAAATATTTTTTTTTAAAAAAAGATATGGTTTTATTTAAAACTCCAACAACTTCTTCGGCAAAATCTCCAAAAGTTGTTTTAATACCCCCTCCAATGGATAATGATTCAAATGTTTTACTTGAAGAGGGAAGAAAAATAAGTAGTGAATTAAAACAAATTAAACAAAAAATTGGAGAAATTGAAGAACAAGACGAATTAGTTAAATTAAAAACTTTGGATTATGGTTAGCTTATTTATTTTAAATTTATTTTTTATTTAAAAAAAAATTAGAGAGAGGTAGTGAACAAGAAATTGAAATTATTGAACATCATCAACGGCTGGTAGGAGAAAAAGAACAACTGTCAAGACGTCAAGATTATTTAAATTTTAAATTAGAATTGTATGAAGTTGACTTTAAAATTGTTAATTTACGTAAACTTTTGGCAACATCGGCTGGGGAAAATGAAGAAAATTTAAATAATGAAGGTATTTTTAAATAAAAATATTAGTCCCTTAGGGGATTGACGTTAATAGGTAAATGAGATTATATAGAATGTATTTTTAAGGGGGGAAGTTCTAGGAGAAAAAGAAATAGACTCCCCTCTTTTCTCAAAGAGTGTTCTTACACCTTTAAACTTCTCAGAATGTTCTTTTAAAAAATATTTTTTATATTTAATATTAGTAGAGGATGGAGAAAATATTTTAATTAATGGCCGTAGAGATAGTAATCAAATGTTGATGGAATTAAAAGAATTTATGGATATTAAAGATGAATTGACACATAAATTAAGCGATTTGGAAGCAGAGTATCTTACAATAATTTTTTTAAAAATATTTTAAAAATTTTTCAGAGATGAAGAAGGTATTGAGAGAAGTAAACTTATTTTGGAACAAACAAGAAATCAAAATTTGGTAAAAGAAAATATTTGTTTATTTTAACATTTATAATTTTTAGAATTTCCGTCGTGGTACTCAAGACCCATTAAATGTTTCAAAACGATTAATGGGTTGGTTAAATGGAATGGAACAACGTTTTAGACAATAAATTATTTTTAAAAATATATTTTTGTGATTTTGCCTTTTTTCTCCCAAAATTTTAAATATTTAACTATGGCTCATTGGCATTACTTAGATATATTAAATCAAAATTTTGCCTGTGTTTTGTTTAATTTACGGTGTTTATTATTTGATTTTTATTAAAGTGTGCACAGAACCAAAAATTGAAACAAAAAAAATTTTTAGGCATATTTATGTGAACACTTGTAAAAAATATTTTTATATTTATGTTTGTTTTTTTCGCTAGATTCCTCCCGATTATTATTCTTAAAATACAAAAAATGATTAAAATACTTTAATTTTTAATATAAAATTCTCTTTAAACTTAAAGTGTCAATCAAAATTATTCAGGTATTACAAACAGTCAAAATCAAAAGTTTTCAAAGTTACTTGATTTCTTTTCAAGGTCAGAAACTAAAGTCAAGAATTTTAAAAATTACCGGTCAATAATTAAGCGCCTAAAAACTCCGTTAAATGCTTAAAAATAATTTTAAATATAATGAAACAACTTTTAATTTCAAAAATCCATTTTTATAAAAACAAAAAGATATTCGAAGAGGCCATGTGTTTAATTTGGAACTGGGCACAATTAAAAGACAAAAAATAATGTAAAACACATAAATACATAAAATAAATTTTGAGAGACATTCATCGTTACAAATTCTTTAAATATAATCTAGCACCATCAACAAAAGTAAGAGGCCACTAACATTTAGCAATCCACATAACGTTGTTGTACCGAATCATCAATTCACCAATCTTTGCACCTTGATCGGATCCAACAAGTTCCTAAAATTGAAATTTATTTTAAAAATTGAAAGAAAAATTAAACTTCGGTTTTGATAAGATGCAAATTCATCCAATCATCAGTAGAGATCAAAGTTCCTCGAAAACGGTTGCCCCATTTGAGTTTGACGACTACTTTCTTGCCAACCATCGAATTAAGAAATGGCTTAGGGTTAAGAGGTTCGACTCTGCCCATTATTAATTTTTTATTTTTATTTTGTTTGAAATACAATTTACAATCTGAAAATTGTTTACAAATTTAAAAAAAGTACTAGAAATTAAAAATTAAGCCTACGGAAAAATCATTTATATAGTACACATTTATTGTTTTAAAATCTCGAATTTAGTATTTGGCGTTCCGTATTTTTTATAATGGTTCCATATCTTGCCAAATCCTAATCTTGCCAAAAAGGCTAAGATACCTTTTCGGCCTAACAATAAGACGACTACCTAACAATAAGATCAACTGTATAATGTAGATTTCAATTATAAGGGAAATTCATTCTACGCATACTGAATGTCCCCTTGTAACAGTATACTGAACCGGCGTTTCGCAGAGTTAACGGTTTCGAGGTTTTGTACACGGTATCAATCCTTTTTTGATAAGATTTAGACTTTAATTGTTCACTTTATTTGTCATTAAAATTTTAAAGTGACAAAATATTTATTTCCACGTATTTATTACTTTTCCTTTTTACTCTTATATGTATTTTTTATAAAGTTTTTAGGAATATATTTTTATTTCATTGAATTAACAGATAAATTAACAGATATGCTTGTAGAATTACCTCCATTACTTGACAATTTATTCAAATTAGATTCATGGTTGAAGCCTTACGAGAATGAAATTCTTCGGCGATACCGTGAATTTAACAACAAATTAAGTTTTATTGAGCAACAGGTAATTAAAATTTAAAATTATATTTTGTTATGTATGAGCAATATAAGCAGTTATGTCTTTTTTTGCGTGATTGAAATTATGAAAATCCAATACCAGTTGTTTCTTGCTCTTAAAGCTTATTGAATCTCGAGTATGACTGATTTATTTTTTTAGTGTGAAGGTCTAGATAATTTTACACAAAGTTACAAACAATATGGTATTCATGTAGAGACTGATAATTCTGTTAGTTGCCTTGAGTGGGCGCCTGGAGCTGAATCAATGGCCTTAGTCGGTGATTTTAGTAAGTTCTAATCTCATTATTTTAAAAAACTAGGTTTTGCACTTAATTTTTAATTTGGATAACATAGCCTTAAAAAATTCTCTTTTTTAGATAATTGGGACACTAATGCTAATATTTACGAGAATATTGGTTTTGGCAAATGGAGTTTGAAAATAAAGGTTAGCTTGAAAAAATTCTTGTTTTGTTAGAAATTTAGTTAATTCTGTATATATCAGTTAACTTTATTTAAATAAAACTTACCTAAATCACACATTTTAGCCAAAAACAGACGGGACTTGCCCTATAGCGCATAATTCTGTGTTAAAAGTGGCAGTAAAAAAGAATGGGAAGTTTAACTATAAATTATCGCCTTGGGCCAATTATGTTACCAATGACAGCATTGTTTTTCATCAAGTTTTGCTTTGAATCTCTAATTTTTTCTAGAAATTTTTATTCTAAGCAATTTTACAATCCACCGACCAAATATTCTATTAAAACATCCCATCCGAAAAAACCCAAGTCTTTACGTATTTATGAAGCTCATGTTGGCATTTCTGGTAATGAAGGGAAAATTAATTCTTATCGGGACTTTTCTGAAAATATTTTACCACGCATTGCAAAGCAAGGTTTTTTTATTTTAACTATTTTATAATATGTTTAGGTTATAATACAATTCAATTAATGGCAGTGATGGAACATGCTTATTACGCTTCTTTTGGCTACCAAGTTACAAGCTTTTTTGCTCCTTCAAGGTCCTAATTTAAAATATTTATTTTTAAACAATTTGTTGTTTTAGTCGTTTTGGCACTCCTGATGAACTTAAAATGCTTGTAGATCGAGCTCATCAATTGGGTTTAATCGTTTTGTTGGATGTAGTTCACTCGCATGCTTCTAAGAACGTTGAGGATGGTCTTAACCAATGGGACGGTACTGATGGTGGTTATTTCCACAATAATGTTAGAGGATTTCACCAACTTTGGGTATATAATTCAAAAAATTATTTTTCTTATAATTTTCTTTAAGGACTCACGTTTATTCAATTATGCCGAGTTTGTTTTACTTTTTATTATTTTATAATTGTTTATTTTTAGAATAGAGACATTGCGCTTCTTACTTTCTAATTTACGTTGGTGGATTGACGAGTATGGCTTTGATGGTTTTAGATTTGATGGGGTTTCATCTATGCTTTATCATTCTCATTTAATTAGTAAGAGATTTGTTTCTAGTGGAAAATAATAGTTTCATAGTTTTTTCTCTCTTTACTCATTTTCTATTTTGACATCCTCCGATTAAATCGATGATGCGCTTATTTCTCAAAGATGGAATATTTTGAAACTATTTTTATTTAAGGTGATCCTGGGCCTGGAAGTTATGATGATTATTTTGGATTAAATGTTGACACTGAATCCCTAGTCTATTTAATGCTAGCCAATCATATGCTTCATTCTTATGTATATCTATATTTTAGGTTTTCTTTAAATAATTATTTTTTCAAAAGTTTCCTGATGTTATTACAATTGCTGAGGTTTTGGTATTTTCTTTTAGATTATTTTTTAAATAAAGGAAGTTAGTGGAATGCCTGCTCTTTGTCGTCCTGTGTCTGAGGGAGGACAAGGATTTGGTATCTTCTTATACTTAATCTTGATACTTTTTTCTTAAATCACCCCTATCCTTAATTAAGTGTTAAATAAATTTTTCCCTTTTTCTTCCATCATTATTTGTGTCCTAATTTATATTTTATTTTTGTTAGACTTTCGATTAGCAATGGCTATTCCTGATTTATGGATAAAAATCTTGAAGCATGTCAGCGATGAAGATTGGCCTATAGGAGAAATTGTAATTATATTTTAAAATTTTTTTAAATTAAAATTAGGTTCATACATTGGAAAATAGAAGATATGGTGAGGGGCATATTGCTTATGCAGAATCTCATGATCAAGCTTTGGTTGGCGACAAAACTATCGCTTTTTGGTTAATGGACAAAGGTATAAATAATTTTATAAAAATTTATTTATTTTTTTGTAGAAATGTATGAAAATATGTCTTTAATACATTCTCAATTAACTCCTGTTGTCGATCGAGGAATTGCACTCCACAAATTAATTCGATTGATTACTTATGGTTTGGGAGGCGAGGCTTGGCTTAATTTTATGGGTAATTTTTAATATTTAAATTAAAAAAAACGTTTTGAATTAAAGGTAATGAATTTGGCCATCCAGAATGGTTGGATTTTCCTCGCCATGGAAATAATCAATCGTATCATTATTGTCGGCGACAATGGAATTTAGCTGATGTATTTTATAATTTATATTTTAGTAAATTCTTTTTGATTTAAGGATGATAATTTACGCTACAAATTTTTAAATGATTGGGACCGTGCAATGAATCAACTTGAAAATAATTTTGGATTTCTTAGCAAAGGGCCGGTTAGTTTTTGGTTTAAAAATTTTAAAATTTTTTGTTTTTAAGGGGTATGTTTCTTGGAAGCATGATGTGGATAAAATAATTGCTTTTGAGCGTGCTGGTCTTTTGTTTATATTTAATTTTCATCCGACAAAAAGTTTTAGTGACTATAAATTTGGAATTGAAAAGGCAGGAGTGTTAGTTGATTTTTTTTGATAAATTTATAATATTGAAAAACTACTCTTAGTTATCAATTGGCATTAAACAGTGATAATGAGAAGTTCGGTGGACATAATCGTTTAAAAGAAGATCAAGAATATCATACTTTTGCAGAAGGGTAAAGAGTATTTTTGAATATTTTTTTATTTTTTATTAATTTATTAGTTATGCCGGTCGACAAAATCATCTTTTTGCCTATATACCTTCAAGAGTAGCTATTGTTTTGAAGAAAAAAGAATGAAGGATGAAAGATTTTGCCTTATAAGCGATACTAAATAGGATTTTCTTTTTATAAATCACTTAAAATTAGGTTTTTAAATAGCCTTGCCATATTGACAATTAATTAATTATATTTAATTAAATATTCGCATTTTGAATAAATTTATTTTTAATTTTATTTATTTTTTTAAATTTTGTTTAATCAATTAATATTGTAATCTTTGTTTAATATTATTGTTTATATTTTTAATTCTGCAATATTTGGATTCAAAAACATTTTTATGGATTTACATTTTGACTCAAATATTAGGCAACATTATTATTGAAATTTTGATAAATCAATATTCTAGGCATTTAATTGATTCCACGTATTAAATTTTTTAGGGCCAAATTTTTTTATTTTATATTCTTTAACAGAATTATAAAATATATTTTTAAAAGTTACAACAACAAATAATATTTTTATTTATATATTTTATTGTCAAAATTGTTTGTGATGGCATTGTTGCCTTTAAAAGGCGAAAAGTTTGCAAATGAACAACATTAAATCAACAATTTTTATTCTTTATTTTTTATTACAAATATTTACAAAAATTGTTAGTGAAGACACTGATACTTTCCCTGTACTGACAAGTGTATGTTTAAAAATATTTTTTTTAATAATTAAAGATTAATTTAGGATAAGTTAATTGAAAATTCAAAAACTTTATTGATTTCAACGATTGACGGGTATTTAACGGCTGTTGATGCACAAACTGGATTAATTAAATGGCGCTTCAAAGAAGGTTTTCTAAATTTGTAATTATTTTTATTTTTCTTTTAAAGGTCCATTACTTGTATCACCAAAAAATGTTCAACGAGGATTTACTTTTATCCCAGATCCAAGAGATGGACAGTTATATTTGGTTATTGAGGGTCGTATTACTAAATTACCTTTCACAATACCTCATCTTGTACGTGTTTCTCCCTGTCGAAGTTCTGAAGGCATTTTCTACGCAGGTTTTTATTTTTTAGTAAAAATAAGACAACTGCACTTTGGCATCGTTTTTTAAAAATAAATTAATGATGGTTCCTTGTCAGTGAGCTCGTGAGCCCTTTCGAAGGAGCCATCATCTGTATTTTCGAATTTTTTACCCGACAAATGAAAAAATGGGCCCTATGATTTTTGCCCATTTTTTAAATTAAAATTTTTTATTTTGTCAAAAGCGACTCCTTTAATTTTTTAAACTTATTGTTAGTATTAATTTTCTTGATTTTTTTATTCCCTCTAGGAAGCAAAAAAGACGTTTGGATATCCGTAAATCCTGAAACAGGCGAACGCATCGACATACTTGCTACATCTATTTCACCTTCATTTTGCCCAGCTAATCATGCACATGCAATTCACATTGGAAAAACTGAATATCAAATCCAAATGGTGGACACCAAACGACGAGACAGGCATTGGAATGCAACATTTGTTGACTACTCTTCGCATCTTTTGCCTGGTAGGAATTTTTTAAATTAACCGAATTGTTCGATTTTTTTTCTCAGAAGATGCAGATTATCCACTACAGCATCTTACAAGTTCTGCAGATGGTCGTGTACTTACTGTTGACTCGCGTTCCGGCTTGGTACTTTGGCAACATGATTTTGACAGCGTGATTGTAAACATGTATTTGCTCAAAGATGATGGAATGCATCGACTACCTAGTACTGCAATTGGATTAGAAACATTTGAATTGCTTCTACAGGTTGGCGATAGTATACATTTTATTTTAAATTTATTATTTGTACAATATTAAACAAAAGTTATAGTGAAAGAGATCTGAATGGATCTGGTCCAGAGAGAGAGATTGGGTTTCTTAGTCTTTCTACATTCTGGACCAGCCCAAAATGTTTTGAAATTTAATCCATGACCTTGCACGTGCGTGCCAAGTTTTCTTCTCTTACGTCTTTGTAGATTAGCGTCCGCGTTTTACTGAATGTTTTAGCGTTAGCATAAGTGTTGACTTGCCATTTTGTTCGGATTTTTTGTTTATCTTTATACAAATGACTTAAATTTATTTTATTTTTAATCATACATGTTATCCGCATGCTCTTTATTGTCTTCTTCTTCATTTCCCTCTTCGTCACTTGAGTACATATCACTGCAACGACGCACCATATAACTTAAATTTAAAAGGGACAATTTTCAGATATTTTCGACATCTTTTGTCTCAAAAACTTTTTTAAGTAAAAGCATTATTTTAATATTACCCGTGAAAGGGACATAGCGGCTTCATAAACACTATTTGACCTCGCGATCCATATAAACAAGTGCATGGCAGTTCTTCTCCTGGCCCCAAATATCTTTCTGCTTTTCTACTGCCAGACGAAGTAGAAGAAGAACTACTTTTACTTTGCCGACTTTCACGCTCTTCCTGGAAAAAATGTTTATCATTTATCAATAAATAGTGTGATTACTTTTATGACTGATATATCTTTCGGTAATGATTTTGATGACTTTGAAGAACGTCCGCCAAGTGATGGATTGTTACTTGGCGTTTTACTTGTTTTAAGTTTTGAGATCGAACCTGTGCCAACAGATGAAAGAGGCGTACTCGAACGTTTTACTTGTACTCTAAAAACAAAATTATAATTAACACAATTTTTATCCTAATACTTTTTGGTGTGGTAGAAATCTAGACAGAACCAGATTAATTGGACTACTTCCAGAATGCTGACGATTGAGATTCCAATCCATAGACCAGTCAAACCACCCAAATCGGCAATTAAACTAGTCAATCCATAAGCCGGGCTTTCAGATAATGTCTCATAGTTGAGCTCTTCGTAAAATACTTGAATCATTGCTGCATTTGTTCTATACTTTTCCATGCATAGATCATCGCTGCTTTTACATTCCATTACGTTCGTTGTTCCTGAAGGCCATCTTGCGGCCGAATAAGTTACTTCGTAACCTGTTTCCCTATTAAAATTGAGGTTATTCTCGTTCCTGAAGATTAGGGAATCTGAGGATCTTTCTGTTTGTTTTTTTCAGTTCAGAGGTTGATTCGGTTCTTCATAAAACGAAGGATTTCTGCACACTCAAATCTCAACATTTCTGCCTCGGTGATAAAAATTTTTTGATCCCCCATGGAAACCCCCCTCTCCTTCGGTGGGGTACAACCCTAATTAAAGCAATTTTGTATTAAAACTCATATTTTCCTTGTATACCTGCAAGGCTGTGGGCAAGTGCAGTTGAATAATTTATCTTGTGAGATTAGATCACTGATTTCTCTTGTTGCATTATCTATACACCTTCTTGCATCAGGATCACTTACAGGACAAGCATGAGCTGAGTTAGGAACTGGGTAGAGAGGGTCAGCACACCCACAAATTCTGATTATCTTAATGAAAAAATCTTCATTAAAATTTTTCTCTTTTTTCACTTCTTGTTGGGTACAACTTCTATGACATCCTTCAATGCTATAGCTGTAATCCTTGTAAATATATGTTTTTGAATTATCTCCACGTTCACTGCAATGTCCATAAGGCGGTTCAAGTCGAAAAAATTTTTTCTGAAATTTTTTTTCAAAAATTTTAATTGAAAATTGTAAATGACCGACCATTCTAACACCGAATGCAGACATAAAACCAGTGGGGGCATTGTATCCAAAAGCATCCGCGAATGGAACCGTCCATTTGTCGTGCACAGTAATTCGGAATCCAACCGCTTCTGTTATTGATAAATACTCTGATACATTCGCATACAGCATAACCTTTAATCCTAACAAATAAAAGTAAATTTTTTATTCTTACTTTCTTACCATAATTGGCTCCTGCTCTATATGCTGTAACTGTTGCATTACGATTCCAATTAAATGTATAACAATTTCCATAAGTCGGATCAAAAATTTGTTTAAAATCCCTAGAATTATTTTGTAGTTTTATTGTAAATTCATATCTCAAACTTTTCAATATCACAGTCTCTTTGGTTAAAGGAACATTTTAATATTAATTCATCCTTTGATTGTGACATAGTTTTTCGCTCATTTATTGGTTTTTCTCCCATGGCAAAACGTAGATTCTCTTGCGCTTTGTTTCTTATTGCTATCTCGTCTTCTAGTTCCTTTTTAATAAAAATATTATTATCTTTTAAATAAATATTTAATATTTGTTGATATTTTTGATAAAATATTTTAACAAATTACTTCATATCCCATCGCCTCAACAACGTCTGGTGCTCGTGTAGTTGTTGTGGTTGTTGTTTCTGTTATTGGATTAAATAAAAAATCACTATCTCGACTATAATTCGATGGAGTAGCGAAACTTTCAGTAAAGTTGATGCCTTCAAGATCTTCACTCGGTAAAATGTCAGGAATTTCTCCGTTAATATTGTTCTGCACGCAATGATTGTATTCTTGGTGACAAATGCATACATCTATATTTGTTTCGTTTAACTTTTCCTTTGCCCGATTAGTTTTCTTATTATTTGTTTTCAATTTATCCCTTTTTGATTTCGAGTCTTGGTCTGTAAATTTGATTTTCTTTAGATATGTTTATTTTCTTTTTACCATTCTGTCTCCTTTTTTTATCATTTCTTTGTGCGCCTTTATTTTTGCTGCCATTTCCATTTGATTCGACAATATCATATGAGTAGAAACGCATTGGACAATGCCCAAGTTGATCAACACATTCCGTACAAATATGTTCTTTCCATGTGTTGTCTAAAATAAAATGTTTTCTTTTTTATTTTTACTCTCCAAAATTTTTACATGGAAAACAGGGCCACAATGTTTTACTAATCCAGTCAAACTAAATATTTAAATATTTATTTTTGTTTTTATTATTTTACTTGACATAGACATTTAGTTGGATGAAAATTTTGTAATTGACTTCCAGTTGCGAATAGAAGGGAAATTTTTCCTTTATAAGCGGCAAAGCAACTAAAATATGTAAAAATAACACTTTTTTATTCCATTTACACACCTTCCTGGCTTTCTTTCAGCTGAAAGTCGATTTATTTCACAATAGCATTGTGCGTAAACTTGTAAATACCGACGTTCAAAGCCTTCTAGTCTAGCTTTTCTAGCTAATTCTCGCCTTCTTCTTTTGATTACTAAAAATTTAATAAATTTAAAAAAATGTTATTTTTTGAGAATCTATGTTAATTTTCTTAACATACATGCAGCATTCTCGATTTTTAAAGAGGCTGCAATTCCTCCTTTGTGACCAGTTTCTCTTTCTCTATCTTTGAATGCATCTAACTAAAAATTAATATACTTTACTTCGAAATTCAAATAATAAGTTTGTTTTGATACTGACCGTTGCTTGAATTTTTGAATCTTCTCCTATGGCTGAGGCTTTGTACGGATTAAGATTGCAAAAAGTAACTGATGGAAATGGGGCATTTTCAAATTTGAGCTAAAAAGAATATTAGACAATTTAGGATATTAGGACTTTTAGTGTAACTTACATCAAGATCAACAGTTTTTGGAAAGCGCAAATATTTGAGAACTAGATATATAACTTGAATAACCATAATAACGAAACACACGGTAAATACTCCTAACCAAAATCTTCGCCAGCGCTTGTTTGGAGCTAGCGAGGCATGGCATATTCCATGAATTGTGGAATGTCTTTCGAATTTTTCCATAATCTTTTTAATTGAAGTCATATGCATTTTGTCGCCTTTATTTAAATATGCAGAAAGAAAACTTTATATTAATTTACCTGCTCTTTTAAATGGAAATTCGGCGCGCGACAATCTACGGAATGCATTAACAGCATGTGGTCCTTTCTAAAAAATCATGACAATTCTATGTATAAGTATTTTAAAGATATTATTTTTCTTAACTTATATCCGCTATTTGTCTCTGTAGTCGGAGTATTTGCCATAAGAAATGCTGCTCTACGTTCGGCTGGATGCATCTTTTTATGTTTCATACCCTGAGATGCGGTGGATCTTTTTCTAGATTCTGATTGTTTTTTCCTAGCAACGTCTTCATCTTCTGTGCTCACTTGACGGCTACCTCCCATTGACCTTGGTCTTCTGACAGGATTGTTCCCAACATTAGTTTTTTCCTTTTCTTCGTCTTTTTTCGGAGCTACATCAAAAGTGGAAGTTGATGGATCGTCTTTGATTAATGGAGATGAAGATTTTTCATTTTCTGGAGGTTGGTAATCTTCCTTCTCTCCACTTAATATCATTTTTCTGAAGTAGAACCTCTGATGATTTCAGTTATTTCCTCTAAACATTATTTGACGTGAGTACTGAATTTTTATTGATTTGTAATGGATTTAAAAAATATTTCAAATTTTTTTCTTTGTTCAAACGAGAACAAAGGTTCTAGTAGATAGCAAAATTTGAAAAGGGGCTTATATTTTCAAACCTTAGAATGATTAATTCAAAGGTGACGAGATTATTTAAGCCTACATTCTAAAAACTGATCTCATATTGCAATCGATCAGTTTTATACGTTAAATATTTTTAGCCTAAATATTTTAAAATGAAAGCGGGTGGGTGTGACGTTTTCACATGCCTAGGTGCATGCATTATTATCCGTTTATTTTTACTCCAAGTTTCATTTAAACTCAAATTCTTCGAGGTTATTGTTCATGATTGTAAAAATGGCGCCTGTCTTCCCTTGGCTTTAGATGCAAATATATTTTCTCTAACTTTCCATTTTGCTATGATTTGGGTGTTCTTCCTATATGATTTCCCTTCAATAGTGTTCATTGCCATTACGTATCCTTCAATTTTCCATTTCTATTTTAACATTAAGCAGTTGTTTCGTCTTTTTTTAAACGTGAGAGGCGACGAAGTGCTCCCGATTTCTTTACCTCGCTAAGAAAATAAGGGAAGAATGTTTAAAATTATAATGGATCAACATTGTTTTTTATTATTATTTTAATTTTAATGGGATGAAGGAATGATATTAATATGTATGTAAAGGGTTAAAAATAATGGGGGAGGGGGGGGGGGTTCTATTAGACACATATTTTAGTTGGTATTTTTTAATTTATAGAAAAAAAGGATTATTACAAAAAATTTTCATCAATGGTTCATGTATTCTTGATAAATAGGAGAACTTCGAATGATGCTTCTGCTTAAATTCCTGCTTGCTTCTTTTAGTTGTTTTTGTCTTGTCGAGATCTAATAACGATAATATTTTCTTACATTTAATTGTTCCACTTAAATTTATGTATAGCAATTCTGCCCTTATTTTAAATTGACTATCTATTTCAGAACGCTGCAATTAATCCTTTGCTTCATGTCCCTGCTCAATTTCCTAATCGTCTTTTTCCTACATTGTATGTTGGTGAATCAACGCGTGCCGGTGGTCTCTATGCACTTCCTGCATATGTAGATGAACGAACAAATAGGATTTCACCAAAATATTTAGGGCCTCCACTTTTGGAAGGGCCAAAATTTGAGGTAATTAAATGAATTTTAACGTTAAGTATGAATATATTTAAATTATCTCAGGACAATGTTCACCATGATGAACCAACAACTCCAAATTTAAAAACGCGTAAAGTATTACCTTCTGACACTGTTGGTACGACTTATACAACTGAAGATGGCGAATTTTTGATATTGGGTTTGATTTTTTATTAATGTATGTATCATATTTTGAACCTTTAGGTTACCATGAAGTTCCAAAAATTGCTATCTCTGGCGTTGGACATATCTTTTCTTTAACTAATAACCCTTTCGGACACGATCTTTCACTTGTTAGTCGTCAACAAGTCAAAAGTAACAACATTGACTCAAATGTTCGCGTTTTGCAAGTTGATGACCATAATCAACAACAAAATGCATATTTGAGTGTTGACACATCTGGCCCATTTATTGTTGAAATGCTTCATTTTGCATTAAGACATCCATACCAAATGAGCGTTATTTTCTCTATAATGATTGCACTTGTAATTGTTTCCTCTTGGCTGCTTGGGAAACAGGTTATTTATTTAATTTTTTAAAAAATTTATTTTTTTTAAGAGTGCTTTGACCAGGAATCGTTCATGGAGTTATAGTTCTAACAGAACATTACAAGGTTCAGAAATAGCCAATCCTGAACGAGGAAGTCGCTCAAGTCAAGGAAGTAGTGTATTTACAGCTTATGAACCTCCAGAGGAAGATGGCCCTTTGGGCTGGCATCGAGTCAATAATTCAGCTCTTAGCTATAATTCTGCAGAGATTTTAGGACGAGGCTGTGATGGGACAGTTGTTTACATGTATTTTATTAAACAATCTTGTTTTATTTGTTATTTTTTAGGGGTAAATTTGACGATAGAACGGTTGCTGTCAAACGAATTGTGTCTTCCAATTTGGATCGAAATTTTAGACAACAGATTGAACGTGAAGTTATGCATCTTAGACAGAGTGATTCTCATCCAAATGTTATTAGATATTTCTGTTCGGTTCGTTTTTATTCTTGTAAAAAATATTTTTTTAATTTAATTTAGGAAGCTGATCGTTATTTTCATTATATTGCGTTAGAATTATGTGATTTGAGTCTCTCGGACTATATCCAACGGTATGTAGGTAGTCTGGACAAAGTGACAAAGTTAGACTTGATGAAGCAAGCAACCGATGGCATTGCTCATTTACACCACATTAATATAAGTTGGTTCCGTTTTTATGTTATTTAATCAATTTATCTACTTTCCAGTTCATCGAGATGTTAAACCAAAAAATATATTAATGACTGGGTTACTAACAACTCCCAATAACGGACATTTTTCTCGTGTACGTGTGAAAATTTCTGATTTTGGATTATGCAAAAGTGTAAAAATTGGACACAACTCAATTTCTAAAGTATCTGGTGCGGTAGGGACTGAAGGGTGGATGGCACCTGAATTGTTTGATGCTGATGCCTCTGTGGTAATTTTATTTAAATACAAGCTTTAAAGCTAAAATTCTTTCTAGACATATGCTGTTGATGTTTTCTCTCTTGGTTGTGTATTTTATTATACTCTTACGGAGGGAAAACACCCCTTTGGAGATTCACTATCCAGAATGTCTAATATTTTGTCTGGAAATCACTTTCTGAATCATTTGGATGAACACGGTTTGGAAATTAAAAAGATATATTTTGTATTCTAATTAATTTTTAGCTGAATATACTAGTCTAACTTTGATAAGTTCAATGTTACGACCAGAAGCAGGACGTCGACCTACTGCTTCTGCTATAGCTGCACATCCTCTTTTTTGGGAACCCTCAAAACAATTACAATTTCTTATGGAAGTTAGTGATTGGATTGAAAAGAAAGAACCTAGAGATCCTGTAATGCGTCGGTTGGAGTGGAGGCGTAATCTTGTTTTTACAAATTGGTTAGATCAATTGGATGAACCTCTTCGTTTGGGTATTTTTTTTGTTAATTTTCTTTTATAAAAAAATAATTTCATAGATTTGCTTAAACAACGTCAGTATATGAATAATGTTCGGGATTTACTCCGCGCTATTAGAAATAAAAAACATCATTATCAGGCAAGTATATATAAATTAAATAAATTTTTATATTTTTATTTAAGGAACTTCCTCTTGAACTTCGTTCATTGTTAGGTGCAATTCCAGTTGATTATTTATCTTATTTTACAACACGCTTCCCAATGGTTTTCTCAAAAAATATTTTTATCTCAATTTAAATTTTTCTTAAAGTTATTAATGCATTCATTTATGTCTTTGGCTTGTATTGGAAATGAAAGTGTTTTTAAAAATTATTATTCTCCAAATCAACTCAGAGATTTTTATGAGCATGAACAGACTATACTTTTTACTTCATGGATGAAAGAAAGGAGAAGTGTTAGTCCAACAAATTGGCGTTCTGATGGAAATATTGTTTCTAAACAAATTCAAATTGTGTCACAACAACAATCAGTTTTTGCTTCAACAACTTTAAAATCCCAACTTCAAGTTTCATTTGATCCATCAATTCCACCACCTCCAATTATTAAACAACAAATTAGTCCAATTTTGAAAATATCTGAAGAAAATGAAAATAATTTAAATAAAAAAGAAGAATCAACAACAACTTTGTTAGTAAATAATGAAAAAAATCAGAAAAGTAAAAATAAAAATAAAAGAAAAAAGAGAAAAGCCCCTTTTTCTATATTGATATCTGAAGAGCAAGACGAACAAGAAGAAGAAGAAGGAATAGAAAATAGTAAAAAGACGAAAGAAATTTCAGAGGAAAAATGTGAAGATGATGATAGTGAAGATGCTTCAAAAGATGATTTCAAAAAGATTTTCTGTGATAAAAATTTATATTAATTTTCTAAATTTTTCGTTTTTTTGAGAATTTGTTTATATGTTAATTTTGTTTTAAGAGTTATATATGCCTGATTTTTTATGGGTAATTTTTCTTTAAATTAAAAATTCAATGTCCATTACACTCTATAATTACATATATGTATTTTAGTATTAAATTGAACATTTTCATTTATTTTCTTGTAATTTTTTGTTCAAAATTTAAAAATTAAAATATTTTCAAAAACGAAGAATTTAAATAATTTAAAAATATTTTTTGAACAAAAACTTTCGAACAATTTAAAGTTTTAATGGATTTATTATTTCTTTATATTCACTTAAATTGTTTTGAGTTATTTTAGTGCATATTTTTGGGTGGTATTTTAAGAGAATTATTCTACGAATATTTTTTGTTTTAATCCTTATTTTATATCTTTTGCATATTAATTTGTATATAAATATTTAAAAAGAATTATTATTTAATTTTTAATGGATTTTATTATCCAATTATTTTTTAATTTTAATTTTAATTATTAAAAATCTTTCAGATATTTTGTTTTTTTCTGATAAAAATGGGTGGAGAACATCACGAGCCGTATAAAATTCCGTAAGTAATTTTCTTTTTATTTTTATTAAAAAATTAAATATTTTTAAAGTCATTGGACTACTCATTCAAACTGGCGTTCTTCGCCTGATTTGCTCGATTATCATAATCGACTTGCCCGTCTTGGACTTAAAGACCCGTGGATTAGGTAATTGATTAATTAAAATAAATATATTTTAATTTTTTAAAAGAAATTTCTGGCCGACTTTTGATCCGTCAAAGACCGGTATTAGAAGGAGAGGAAGACGTTGGTTGCTTTTTGGGGCTTGGAAGGTAATTAATTTTATATTTTTTCTGTTTTTTATTTAAAAGAAAATGTCAATTGGAATTAAACCGGGGATGGCAATTGCTGGTTAGTTTTGAAATATTTTTATATATTTTTAATTATTTTAAATAAAAAAAGGAACTGTTGTTGCTATTGAGGAATTATATAGTAAATTAGTTGTAAGTTTTTTGTTTTTTAAATTTTATTCAAAAAATATTTAAGTATGGACATACAAGTTGGGGAGGCATTTGGGCCGAACATAAAAAGTCTGGACATTAGGGATTTAAATAATTTTAAAAGGGAAAAAATTGTTTTTATTATTTAGTTAATAAACTGATAAATATTAGAAAATTAAATAAATTTATTTAAAAAAAATATCTTTAATTTTTAAATATTTTCTTTCTTTTTCTTTTATTAATCTCATAATTTCATTACAAGACATTGACAAGCCCCTCCAGACTAAAAAATAAATTTTTTTAAATTATTTTTCTTTTTAAAAACAACCTTCATAAATTCACTCATTTCAACTTCTTCAAGAGAATAGCCTAAACAAGTTAAAGCTTCCAAAGTTTGTTTTGAAACACCTTTTGGTGAAATTACTTTTTTCCGAATATTTATAGCATTACAAACAAAATTTAATGCTTCTTCCTCGCTAACAGAAATTGCTTGAGGAAGTTTTGTTTGTATCTTTTTTTAAATATTTTTTCTTTAAAATTTATTTATTTAAAAAAACTTTTTCTCTAGTTTCAATTGAAAATGCGGGTGGAAACCACAAAGCTGAATTTTCCCCAACAGGGCAAAAACAAGTATCCAAATGATAAAAACGTTGATCAATTAATTCACAAAAAATAATTTCAAAATCATTTCCCCCCATTAAACGTATATTGTCATATGCCTAACAAAGAAAATATTTTCTTTTTTCCAACTTTTTCTTGAAGAAAACTTTTTTGTCTGTCCGAGGTCCACCCCAACCTGCCCACAAAGTATTTTTATCAGAAAATACAGCATCTCCTCCACCTTCAAAAAATTCTGGATAATCTTCTCCAAATAATTGAAGTCCCAATTGCTTATAAAAAGCAGCAAAATATTTTTGTTCTCCAGTCCTTTCTTTGTGTCGATATTTTGAAAGAAAAATTTTGTTGTTGTGAACAAGTCCTTTTTTTGATAATTTTTAAATTTATTTTTTTCTATTTATTTACTCTACCACTATTACAAGCAAAAACCATATCTGGTTGTCCTTCCACTTGATTTAATGTCACAACTTTTACACCTTCCTTTTCAATTGATTCTTTAAGTAAATTCCATTGTTCCATTGCTTTTTGTTTGTCTACTTTTATTTTTTCGTTCATCCACGGATTTATTGAATACTTTTTTTTTAATTTTTATAAAATAAAAGAATGTTGTGACTTATAGGGGGTTTTTGTTGGCTGGACCGATTTCGACAAATGAGGTGTCATTCGAAAGAGCTCGCCGAGCTGAGTCGATCCCGCGGGGGAAGAAGTCGATCCGACAATCATGGACCGAGTTACAGGCCCCTGAAGTTTGAAAAAGAGAAGGGGGGAGTAAGCTCATTTTGGGGTGAAAAATTCGAAAATGCAAATAATAGCTCATTCGACTCGGCTCGTCGAGCTGAGTCGAATGGCACCAAAATCGGCTCGATACCTTGATTCTGAGCCAAGATAAACAGGTTCAAAATGGTCAACATAAACCTATAGGGCGTAGGCGAGGCGCTTGTGCGAAACCCCGCGCGTCGCGCGGGGTTTCGCGGCACGCGCCTCGCGGGGCGTCAACGGTCGCTGGGTCTGGGTTGGTAACATAATCCTATTCCTATCATCGATGAGTTTGGCATACTTGGCTTCCTCCGCAGCACCAAAAACTCCACGGGCGCCTTAGGTAAGGAGCTAAAAGAAACGATCATAACTTTGTCCAATCAAGTCGGATTTCGGTGATTTTAGTGTCATTCGACTTAGCTCGACGAGCCGAGTCGAATGAGCTATTATTTGCATTTTCGAATTTTTCACCCCAAAATGAGCTTACTCCCCCCTTCTCTTTTTCAAACTTCAGGGGTCTGTAACTCGGTCCCTGATTGTCGGATCGACTTCTTCCCCCGCGGGATCGACTCAGCTCGGCGAGCTCTTTCGAATGACACCTCATTTGTCGAAATCGGTCCAGCCAACAAAAACCCCCTATAAGTCACAATACCCAAATAAAAAATAAATTACTTTGACTGTAAAATGTGTTGGAGGGACCATCAACACTCGTTGAATTGTATCGTTTATTGCTTTTTTCATGGTTATAGTCCACAAAAATTTTTGAACCTTGCCTTTTATTTGTTGAAATTTAAACAAATTCGCGTTTAATAAGTCTTTAATTAAACTTAATTTTTGTTTGATTTTAGTTAATTGATTAAATTATTTAAATGTGTTGTGTGTACTTTTGTTAGAGACATTTCTTAATTTAACGCTTTCATTAATTAAATTAATTAATTATTCTTTCCCATTTATTTGATTGATGTATTATTTTTATTTTCTCTACTTAAATAAAAGACTTTACAAAAATTTTTTTTTAGTTGTTTCAGGGATTTTTATATTTAAAAAAATTATTTTTAAATTATTCTCTTTTATTCAAATGTCACACTCATCTAATAATACTTCAAAAAACAACAAAGAAAATGGCAATAATTCCAGAAACTTTCGACCGTCAAAACAACGAAAACAAAATGAAAATTCTCAAAAAAATTTGGAAGGCAATAAAAATGGGGAATATGTTCCGAGAATGGATATTGTGGAAAAGGTAAATTTATTTTGGGGGGTTTTTTGTATTTTTATTTTGGTTAAAAAAGCAAAGATTTTTTTAGTTTTAAAGGATTAAATGATTATTTTCTTAAATATTTTTTTTTTATTTTTAAGAAATATATTCCTGAAGATTATTTAAATAAATCTTTTGTTGGCTGTTCTTCATCTCCAAGGACTCCTTCAAAAAATATTAAAATTATTACACCAACTAGACAACAAAACGTAAACAAAATATTTAATAAATATTTACAAAAAGATGAAACAAAAATTGAATCCAATATCAGGAAAAATTCAAAACAATTTCAGCAGCAAAATGGAGGGAAATTAAATAATCAGAATAAATACAGGTTTATTTTTTGATTTTTTAAAATATTTTTTTAATTTTATTAGCAATCAAAATGGATCTCATTTCAACAAAAATATTCAAAATAATCGTCCTTTAATTAGGCAAAGTCCTACTTCTTTATTACGTCCTTTAAAAGAAGAACTTAAAATTGATGGAAAGTCTAGTGAATTTAAACCTTTATTATATGGTATTATTTTAAATTATTTTTAAAAAAAGTTGTTTAGTAAGGGAATTAATTTGTATTTTTAGAACTTTTAATTTTTATCTTTATTAGGTCAATTTAACTCTTCGCCTGTCATTCCACAAGATGTAAATGGCCGTCCTCCAAGAAGAAGGAGACATCGTCCAAGGAGTTCAATTCCTGCTGAAATTAATGGAAATACTTTGTCTGGTAATGAAGAAGAAGTATTTACTCGTTCTTTAGGTTTTTAATCATTTTTCTGGTTTAAATATTTTTTTTAAAAAAGTTGGAGTAATTCTTAAAAATTCTTTGGAGGAAAATAAATTTAAAAATGATGCTGTGAATAACTGGGCAGAATTCCTTGTTTATCAAGACAGCAAGGCAACATTTAATTCAATTGTTCGGTTACAGGCAGATGGGTTTTAATTATTTTTAATTAAAATTTTTGTTTTTTTTTCTTTTTAGAATGCTTTCTTGTTCTCCTCCAGGCTCTTGGCGACGAGTAATTTTAACAAATCCAGTTAACTATAAAAAATTAAATTTTGATACTATTTTGGTACCAAAAAAGGTTTTATTTTGTCAACGTCATTTTATGACTTCATTTTCTGATGGGCAAGTTTCTGTAAGGGGTTTATTTAAATTTTGTGAATTTAAATTTATTTTTTTAAATTAAATGCTATATAAAACAGATTTAGACAAAATATTTTGTTTTTAAAATGTTCCGTTCTTCGATCTACCCGAAATTACCTGATGAGAATTTTGGAGACCCTACTCGCTGTTTTCTAAAAATTCCGATACCCGATTTCATACCGACTTTAATTCTCCCTTATTTCCCTTTTTTGAATATTGGAATCCTTTTTTATATATGTATGTCTATAATTTTATAAGAAAATATCTAGTAATTTCTAAGTATCTTCTCCATGTCAAAATTTTGTTTTAAAATTCCAAAATTGACTAAATATATTTCTACAAACTAACAAATTTTAAAAATTTTTTTAAGTTTTTTGTAACAGCTACATCTCGAAAGGATATTATTTCTGGAGATAAAAATAAATTTGTTTATCATTCTCGTTTGTGTAATTTATTTATTGACAAAGAAGAATTAATTGATCCTTTAATAAAAATGTTTGGAAATAATTCTGAAAAAGAAGAAAATGATATTCCAATAAAAATTCGTCTTTGGTTTGTTTTGAAATTTTTTATTTTATTTTAAATTTTTTTTAAAGGTGTTTTCCTTTTATTCAAAATAATAATTGTCAATTAGAATTTAAATTGAAACAAATTGATGAAAGATATTATGTAAATTTTGATTTAATTTTTTTTTTAAATTTTCTTTTTTTAAAAGGCTAAAATAAATTCAACAGAAAATGAAGAAGAATCAAATGATGAAAATTCAAATATTGGAGAACAACAATTATTATTTTCTACAAATTTTTGTAATTGGTTTAGTGAATGTATTGAAAGGTTTTATATAAAAAATAAAATGAATAATGACAAAAAAATTAAAATGGACAAATTTGTTAATTTATTAAATAAAAAATTGAAAAATAATTTGGATTTGCCTAATGAAGCTAAATTAATTTTGTTTGGTTCGGCAATTTCTGGTTTTGGAAGTAATGACTGTGATTTGGATATTTGTTTAATTAATTGTGGAATTGATTCTTCTTTAAATGTTTGTTTGGAGGGAAGGGGAGGGGGAAGGGTTTTAATTAGGTTATAAACTTTAAAAGTCCTTCAGAGTTTTTAAAAGACTTTCTAAACTTTTGTTTATTAACTAATTAATAAGTACTTAATTATTTAATAATTCCTCAGTTAATTTAAAAATTAATTTTTAGCCTTCCAAATCTTTCCCAATAAAAAGAATAATTTTATCTCAAATTGCAAATATTCTACGCAAAGATGACGAATTTATGCAAATAACAGCAGTTTTGGATGCCCGAACACCGATTGTTAAATTTGAACATTTACCAACTGGTTTTAATGGAGAGTATGTTTTTTAATAAGAAATTTTTTGTAAGAGGATGGGGACTAGAGACCGGACCGATACGATATATCGAAAAAAAATATCGATATATCGATGTCGATATTATCGATCGATACAACTTCTTCCGTCATTTGTACAACCTCCCCCGTCATTGGTACAACTTCCCCCGTCGGGAAAAAATATCAAAAAATATCGACGATATTTTTCGATACTCGATATCGATAAACGATACAGATATTATCGATCGATCACTCAAGTCCGGTCTCTAATGGAGACTGTTTTAATAAAATTGGTTTTCCGCCTAAATTGAGATTATTCCCCATCCTTAGTTTTTCAGTTTCGAAAACACCTTGATATTTATTATTTATCCTAAATAATCTTTATTTATTTGTAGTTTGAGTGTTGACAATACATTAGCAATACACAATTCAGAATTATTAAAATTATATCAAGAATTTGATGAAAGAGTGGCCCCTTTGGGGTTTGCAATAAAATGTTGGGCAAAACTTTATGGAATAAATGATGCATCAAAAGGATCTATATCTTCATATGCTTATATTATAATGCTTATTTATTATCTTCAACGTTGTTCTCCTCCAATACTTCCTTTTCTTCAACAAGAAGAAGAAGAAAACAATAATTCTTCTCTTAAAATTGTTGAAGGATGGAAAGTTTATTATACAAAAGATATTAATTTAATTAAACAAAAATTTCAATCAAAATTTACTCCAAATAAACAAACTTTGGCTGAATTATTTTTAAATTTTCTTCATTTTTATGGTTATAAATTTTGTATTCATTCAAATATTGTTCAAATTCGTGTTAATGGTATTTATGATAAAATACAAGCAAAAGTGCCTATTAAAAGAAGAATTTATGTTGAAGATCCTTTTGATTTAAATCATAATTTAACTGCTGGTGTTTATTCAGAAAGTTAATTTTTAAGAAAAATTAATTAATTAAAATCTCTTTATAGATTTAAATTATTTTATTAAATGTTGCCAAAAACCTATAATTGGATTACGTCAATTAGATAAAGAAATTTTCTCTTTAAATGAAGTAAATGATCAAATATCTTCTGACAACAATAAATTACAAAAAGAAAAATTAAAAATGGTTTGTAAACATAAAAACTAATACACTTTCATAACTTTTAAACGAAAAATTAGGGGTTTTGCCATTTTATACGTCCACCCAAATTAAGTGCCGAAATAGTACACTCCAAGGATCACACCAAAGATAAGGTTTCCGCCTTTCATTTTTTCCCTCTTTCATTAATTTACACCTAATGATGGTCATTATTTTTGAAAAAAAACTTTAGCCTTCTAGGATTTTAGCTAAATATACGTACAAAACAATTAGTGTTGTTTTGTACTCATAAACTTTGATTGAACTAATAAAACTTAATTTTACTGTGTATAAATTAGAATTTTAAAATTAATATACCTACGGTACTGAAAGTATTTTTTGAAAACAAATACCTCTTCTCTCCACTGATTTTTAAAAATTTAAATAATGGTTTGGGGATTTGAGGTCTGTTCATTTTTGGTTTAATTAGAAATAAGAACATTTTTTGAGATTTAATTGAATTTAAAAAATTTCCAGGACTTTTCCACATTACTGTTAATATATCGCCCTAGACGGGTGACTGAGCCGAAAAAGAAAAAGACGAAGCCGAAGAAAGAATTGCCATCAAAAGATTCATTAGAGAATTAGAATAGATAGATAAAGTTTAGGAAATTAATTTATATATGTATTACTATATTGTTATTTAATAACTAACTTTGTGTAAATTATTTTGGATTTATAAAGATTGTTGTTTAGGAATTATAAAGATTAAGAGATTCTGGATCTCAATATTGTACTTTCCCATTTTGGAAATAACAAATGAAAATGGAGCTTGTACATGGAAGATTTGAGGAAAATATGATATAAGATAAAATGGAGAAGTTAGGCTCTTTAAACTTTCTTTTCATTCATTTTTGCCATTAATTTTATGCTCTGTATCATTAAATTTGTACCCTAATTATTTTAAATTAATCAAGTATAAACTCAACTTCTTGTATTTTGTGAAATTTCATTAAGCAAACCACTATTATTTCATTTGAATCCCAATTTTCATCAAAAATTACCTTAAAATTTAAATTTTCAAAAACAGTCCGAACAAACAACTAAAGTTTGTTCAGCCATTAGGTGCTTGAAGAGAGCTAAGTGATGCCCCCAATTTTGAAAAATTCAAGTTCATTTAAATACATTAAATTTCAAGATTAGAGAGCTAAACGATTTTTCCCATGTAAACCAAATTTTATATTTTTTCCTTTTACCTTCTTTACAACATTTACTGTATTTGTTCGACGAAATTCTTCTTCAAAAGCTGCTACACGTTCAAGGAAATAGGCCCACTATTTGTAAATAATGCAATCTAGAGGAGTAATCTAATTAAGAATTCAAGTGCAAACAAACTAAACAAGAAAAGATAAATATAGTTTTCAAAGGGAAGAACTCGAAGCTCTAATGGAAATTGAAAATTTTCAGCTACAGATAAGGGCTTTCAAAGAGAACCTAGGAGAATCCTATCCTTAAATTTTGACTCAACACAAATCAAGCAATTTACAAATTTATTTATCATACATTCAACAAACATACATATATACAAAAAATAACAAATAGAAAAGGGTTACAACAAAATATGAACAATTATGATGGGAAATTAGGGAAAATAGGACACATTACAAAAAGTTTGGGGAATATACATGTCACAATCCTATGAGTTTCTGTTATTGCCCACATCACTCGTCGAACTTCTGTCCTGGCTTCGGTTTGCGACACAGCACCAAGAATTTGTGGACAGCTGGTCCCTCGAAGCGCTCGTCCTTGCCAGCGACGACAGCCGATGCACGCTCGTTACGGATGTCCGCTTTGCCGAGTGTCTCCTTGCCATTTGGTAGAGTTAGCAGGCATGGCGAGATGTTTCCTGAAAAGATTAATAAATTTTAGGGGTATCTCAAAGTATTAGAGGATCGAACCTTTCACATGGTCCACGTGTACTGGATAGTACACTCGGGAGTTCTTGTCATAGACGGCAGCATCACTCCACGGGCGCCAAAGGTAGTCGTAGCCGCGAACTTGCTCAGGAAGGTCGACGAGGACTTGAATGGAGCCAATATTGTCGGTGAAGGCCTTGCCGTTCCAGCCAAATGCAGCAGCGACCTGTTTTAAAAAAAGATAAAAACGATCTTATTGATTTATAATAATAACTATCACCTTTCCACCATTGTTCCAGATGCGGCCCATCACAGGTTCACCGTGCACGTACCACAAGGCCACATGCTGCTCAGCAGAGTCTCCAGCCGTTGCGTTCAGCGTCTTGTCACCAGCTCTCACCGTCCTATATCCTGGCCATGGGTCTCCCATCCTGATGTCTGCCCACTCGTTCAGCATGATGAGCACTGGCGGCGGTCCCTTGGGGCAGCTGGCGCACACACATCCTGGAGGGCCTCCTTTCAGATTTCTAAAAATGGGATAAATTTTAAAGACGCACCTAAACACCTAAACGTACCGAATAATGATCATCATTTCCGAGAGCGGTTTTCCAACGACGCATTCTGCCTTGCCAGCTTGTGAAAAGTAGGCTTCTTCCGTCTTCATGTTCAAGTAGCCGAGCAGTGTTCCACCAGGACGATTAACCCATAGAATGGGCATCGAGTCGCCGCACCGAACCAGTTGACGTTCATCTGTCTTCTCGAAACGGTCCTTGTACTTGATCCACTCGTACCAATAGCCGAGCGAGTTGTGGTCTCCTTTGTACTGCAGCACCTTAAGGAAAAAGAAAACGGTTATAAGTTAGATTACTAAAAAAAGACCCAACGCACCTGAATCATGCCGCCAAGATCGACTTTCCCTGTGAGCTCAGCCTTGCCGTACGGAAATGAAGCTTGTACAACGCCACCGTCGTTCCATGCGTAGCCGTGCACCGGCTTTCCGTTCTTGTACCACAGTGCGACGTACATGTTCTGCTGGCCCAGCACTTTGACAGGATTGTCCGGAAATGGCGACCCGATCGGATTGAACGCCCACGTATCCTCCTTCGGTGCAGGGTTTGGCATTGCGGCTTGCGTTGACGTAACTTGCGATGATGATGTGATGGACGAGATGAGTTGTTGACGGTGAGGAGTGATCGAAAACCGTCGTTTTTATAGTTATTTTGATCTGCACAATGCCACCTACAATGAAAGGCTATAAAAACGACGGTTTTCGATCACTCCTCACCGTCAACAACTCATCTCGTCCATCACATCATCATCGCAAGTTACGTCAACGCAAGCCGCAATGCCAAACCCTGCACCGAAGGAGGATACGTGGGCGTTCAATCCGATCGGGTCGCCATTTCCGGACAATCCTGTCAAAGTGCTGGGCCAGCAGAACATGTACGTCGCACTGTGGTACAAGAACGGAAAGCCGGTGCACGGCTACGCATGGAACGACGGTGGCGTTGTACAAGCTTCATTTCCGTACGGCAAGGCTGAGCTCACAGGGAAAGTCGATCTTGGCGGCATGATTCAGGTGCGTTGGGTCTTTTTTTAGTAATCTAATTTATAACCGTTTTCTTTTTCCTTAAGGTGCTGCAGTACAAAGGAGACCACAACTCGCTCGGCTATTGGTACGAGTGGATCAAGTACAAGGACCGTTTCGAGAAGACAGATGAACGTCAACTGGTTCGGTGCGGCGACTCGATGCCCATTCTATGGGTTAATCGTCCTGGTGGAACACTGCTCGGCTACTTGAACATGAAGACGGAAGAAGCCTACTTTTCACAAGCTGGCAAGGCAGAATGCGTCGTTGGAAAACCGCTCTCGGAAATGATGATCATTATTCGGTACGTTTAGGTGTTTAGGTGCGTCTTTAAAATTTATCCCATTTTTAGAAATCTGAAAGGAGGCCCTCCAGGATGTGTGTGCGCCAGCTGCCCCAAGGGACCGCCGCCAGTGCTCATCATGCTGAACGAGTGGGCAGACATCAGGATGGGAGACCCATGGCCAGGATATAGGACGGTGAGAGCTGGTGACAAGACGCTGAACGCAACGGCTGGAGACTCTGCTGAGCAGCATGTGGCCTTGTGGTACGTGCACGGTGAACCTGTGATGGGCCGCATCTGGAACAATGGTGGAAAGGTGATAGTTATTATTATAAATCAATAAGATCGTTTTTATCTTTTTTTTAAAACAGGTCGCTGCTGCATTTGGCTGGAACGGCAAGGCCTTCACCGACAATATTGGCTCCATTCAAGTCCTCGTCGACCTTCCTGAGCAAGTTCGCGGCTACGACTACCTTTGGCGCCCGTGGAGTGATGCTGCCGTCTATGACAAGAACTCCCGAGTGTACTATCCAGTACACGTGGACCATGTGAAAGGTTCGATCCTCTAATACTTTGAGATACCCCTAAAATTTATTAATCTTTTCAGGAAACATCTCGCCATGCCTGCTAACTCTACCAAATGGCAAGGAGGCACTCGGCAAAGCGGACATCCGTAACGAGCGTGCATCGGCTGTCGTCGCTGGCAAGGACGAGCGCTTCGAGGGACCAGCTGTCCACAAATTCTTGGTGCTGTGTCGCAAACCGAAGCCAGGACAGAAGTTCGACGAGTGATGTGGGCAATAACAGAAACTCATAGGATTGTGATATGTATATTCCCCAAACTTTTTGTAATGTGTCCTATTTTCCCTAATTTCCCATCATAATTGTTCATATTTTGTTGTAACCCTTTTCTATTTGTTATTTTTTGTATATATGTATGTTTGTTGAATGTATGATAAATAAATTTGTTTTTGATTTTTTTTTTGATTCTTTCTGACATCGTTTTGAGCCTTTTAGTATTTAAGCTGCTTCCCATAGTTTGAGCTTTTGGATTTAAGTTGCCTCATATGTACTTATTTTCGTCGCTTGCTTACTTTGTTTGCACTTGAATTTTGAGTTAGATTGTTCCTTTTAGATTGCATTAGTAACAAATAGTAGGCCTATTGCTTATGAACGAAGTTCGACGAGTGATGCGGGCTTTTGAAGAAGAATCTCGTCGGACAAATACAGTAAATGTAAAGAAAGTTTAAAAGGAAAAATAATTGTTATCACTTGATTGCCTAAGGAAAATTGCCTAAGGAGAACTAGTTGGACATTTACCAGTGATTTCTTACTCTAGGCCTTCTGAAAGTTCCAAAATTTTTACTTGAGGGGCTTGAAAAGTATGAATTCTGGCTTCTTGACCTTGTGAAAATATAAAAATGTGTTCACTTGCAGCGTAAATATTTTGGCGTTAATTTTAGCCGATTTTGGCGCAAAACTCTTCTCTCGAGCTTGAGTAGAAGCATGATTCTGAAAGGCCGGAGCCGGTGTAGGATTTAAAAAGGGTTAAACCTAAAATCGAAATACCAGCAATACCCTGCCTGGTAAAATCCTGGTTTGGACGGAAACTTTGGGTACAGTCTCGGTTTTACCAAACAACCCAACTACATACAGATACTTTAATATAAATAACAAAAATAATTCAGATTTTTTAAATAATTTCTTTATAATCAAGAAAATAAAACTAAAGTATTTGTCGGAATTCCCCTTGGATATTTTTGATTCTTTTCTGTAGGTCTGTACATAGAAATTATTGAAGTAAAGTCCTGAAAATTAAATTTTGAGAATAAATTAATTTACAAAAATAGTTTTTAATTTACCATTTTTAATTTTTCTTTTTGTAATTTATTGTTGTCAGAAGATATTTGATCATTTACTTCATTTAAAGAGAAAATTTCTTTATCTAATTGACGTAATCCAATTATAGGTTTTTGGCAACATTTAATAAAATAATTTAAATCTATAAAGAGATTTTAATTAATTAATTTTTCTTAAAAATTTACTTTCTGAATAAACACCGGCAGTTAAATTATGATTTAAATCAAAAGGATCTTCAACATAAATTCTTCTTTTAATAGGCACTTTTGCTTGTAATTTATCATAAATACCATTAACACGAATTTGAACAATATTTGAATGAATACAAAATTTATAACCATAAAAATGAAGAAAATTTAAAAATAATTCAGCCAAAGTTTGTTTATTTGGAGTAAATTTTGATTGAAATTTTTGTTTAATTAAATTAATATCTTTTGTATAATAAACTTTCCATCCTTCAACAATTTTAAGAGAAGAATTATTGTTTTCTTCTTCTTCTTGTTGAAGAAAAGGAAGTATTGGAGGAGAACAACGTTGAAGATAATAAATAAGCATTATAATATAAGCATATGAAGATATAGATCCTTTTGATGCATCATTTATTCCATAAAGTTTTGCCCAACATTTTATTGCAAACCCCAAAGGGGCTACTCTTTCATCAAATTCTTGATATAATTTTAATAATTCTGAATTGTGTATTGCTAATTGATGTTCAATACAAATACTAAAATTAATATTTTTATAAAAAAATTTGTGGTCCAAAAAGAGGGGGGGGTTTTGTTAATTGGCAATATTTAATTAGTCTGTACTTGCAAAGAAATGGTACAAAAGGGGTGTCGAATTTAACTAATGCCAAATTGTGATTCTTCTTTTTTAAACGCCAAAAACGAATTTTTTTTTATTTTAAAGCAAAATTTATTAAAAATAAAATCCAACCCACTCGCAATTAAAATTTGTTGGTAAATGTTTAAATTTGAGAATAGGCGTTCTGGCGTGTCTAAGTAAAATTACTTCTCCAAATTCATCATCTTTTCGTAACAAACTGCCTATTTCAGTTAAAATATTTAATCTTATATCAATAAATATTGAAGGCTAAAAATTAAAAAAATTAATTAAACCCTTCCCCCTCCCTCCAAACAAACATTTAAAGAAGAATCAATTCCACAATTAATTAAACAAATATCCAAATCACAGTCATTACTTCCAAAACCAGAAATTGCCGAACCAAACAAAATTAATTTAGCTTCATTAGGCAAATCCAAATTATTTTTCAATTTTTTATTTAATAAATTAACAAATTTGTCCATTTTAATTTTCTTGTCATTATTCATTTTATTTTTTATATAAAACCTTTCAATACATTCACTAAACCAATTACAAAAATTTGTAGAAAATAATAATTGTTGTTCTCCAATATTTGAATTTTCATCATTTGATTCTTCTTCATTTTCTGTTGAATTTATTTTAGCCTTTTTTAAAAAAAGAAAATTTAAAAAAAAAATTAAATCAAAATTTACATAATATCTTTCATCAATTTGTTTCAATTTAAATTCTAATTGACAATTATTATTTTGAATAAAAGGAAAACACCTTTAAAAAAAATTTAAAATAAAATAAAAAATTTCAAAACAAACCAAAGACGAATTTTTATTGGAATATCATTTTCTTCTTTTTCAGAATTATTTCCAAACATTTTTATTAAAGGATCAATTAATTCTTCCTTGTCAATAAATAAATTACACAAACGAGAATGATAAACTAATTTATTTTTATCTTCAGAAATAATATCCCTTCGAAGTGTAGCTGTTACAAAAAACTAAAAATTATTTTTAAAAATATTTATTAGTTTGTAAAAACATATTTAGTCAATTTTGTAATTTTAAAACAAAATTCTTACACGAAGGTATTTAGAAATTAGGTGCTTTCTTAAAGAATTCTATCCAAAAAAGAAAATATGGGAGAAGAGTAAATTAAAGAAAAATCTTACAGAAACTTTTCCATCAAAACATGAAGTTGAAATGCGATGTTGACAAAATACAACTTTTTTAGGCACCAAAATAGTATTTAATTTCAAAGAATTATAGTTTACTGGATTTGTTAAAATTACTCTTAACCAAGAGCCTGGAGGAACACAAGAAAGCATTCTAAATAAATTTTAATTTTAATCAAAATAATTTTAATAAACCCATCTGCCCGTAATCTTATAATTGTATTAAACGATGCTTTATTATTTTGATAAACAAGAAATTCTGCACAATTAGATTTATTGAAAGCTTCCTCCAAAGAATTTTTAAGGATTACTCCAACTTTTAAAAAATGTATTTAAAACAAAAAATAAATTAAAAACCTAAAGAACGAGTAAACGGTTCTCCTTCATTACCAGACAAAGTATTTCCATTAATTTCAGCAGGAATTGAACTCCTTGGACGATGTGACTTTCCATCAATTTTAAATTCTTCTTTTAAAGAACATAATAAAGAAGTTGTTGGTCGTGTAGAAAAAAATCGTGCAAACAATCGTGTATAATTATTAAACATCTTTAAAATATAAAAAATAATCATAAAAAACAATTACTTTAAATTATTTCAAAAATTGCAACTTTTCATTTACGGCATTTACAACTAAAAAAACCAAAATTATATATTTATGTTAATGCATTCAATATATAAAAGACGAAATGGAAGGGGAAAACTAAAAAACAAAACCGGTATCCTCAAAATAGGTACAGAATTGGTTAATCTATAATTATGAGGGTATTGGTTGGTGAAAAGAAAATTGTTGGACACAAGATGACAAAAAATAAAGTTTAGAAAATTTTAAATGGAAAAACTTTCGGCAATTATTTCTAAAAATTAATTTCTAAACTTTATTGTCATTCTATAAAATGTAATGAATTTAATAATTATGTAGAGAGATTGGCATAAAACCCATAAAACATTAAAGTTCAGATTCAGGCATATTTTGATAAAATAATGAAAAATATATTTAAAAAAAACAGAAATTGCAGTGTATTGTCAGTTAGCAAAAAAGACAACAAACGGAAGTGAAGCAATTAAATCATTTTTCATAAACAATAAAAATGATTTGAATTTATTAACCAAGTTGTTGCCATTCTTCCAACAAAATACCTTCATTTGTTTGTTGTTGTTGTCCAGTTTCATCATTCATTTGATCGTCATCTATTAACCATTCATTATCAACATTATCACTTCCCCCATCATTTTTATTTTCAAATTCTTCTAAATCAATATGTTGTCCATACGATGTAGAAGTCCCTTGATCATCAGAATAACCACTTGTTCCGGCATAATTGGAAGGGTCGAAATGAGTTACTGCCTTCCTTTTCCTTCCTAAACCTTCATATCGAAGAGCACCAAACCCGTCAAAATGATGAAGATGAGACCGACGCCGATTCTTTTTTGATTTTAAATCTTCATCTTCGTCGTCTGAAAAGTCGTCCCTCCTAACCTCCACATCTCCTTCGCTAGATTCTCCTAAAAATATCTTCAATTAATTTAGAAATATATCAAGCATACCAATGTCGTCATTCTCATCAAGAATTCTGTTCTCCATTTCTTCCTCAGTTTCCGTTTCTTTATCGGTTCCTTCAGATTCACTCAATTTTTCATCTCCAAAATCAATTTTATCTAAATCCATCTCGCATTCACCATATTTTGTAACAGGACGTCGTTGGCGCGGCCCACTGACCAACAAATCAGCAGCATCTGCTAGAAGAACCCGTGCCTCACGACGAGGTTTTGCAAGAACAGTACATGCACGGTTATTGTTTGCCAACGGTTGATTTTGTGAATTAACCAAATTATTAGCAACAGTGTTCTTAAAAAATAACAATTATAAAAAATAATTTAAAATATGCACTTTTTTTCTCCTTTCTTTCTCTAAGGGAGATTCATAATCCCAATTGACAGAATATTCAAATGTTGTAGCGAAAAGAGCTACTGCTGAAGGGCTTTGACAAAATTTTATAGCACGTTGCCAATCAATAAATGTTTGTGACGGTGTTCTTTTAACAACTTCAAAAAAAAATTTTTCAAAAAAGAATTAAATTAAACAAGCCTAATCCATTTCTTTTTGTTTCAGTGATGAATGGCGATTGCAGACATTCCAATTTAACGCCCTGAGCTAACTGAATTAAAGCAACGGCAAGTCTTAAATCAAAGGGATAGTAAAAACAACAAAATATTTATTTAATTTATACTTCTCGACGGGAGTTATATTAAAAATTTCTTTGCCAAACAATGAACTAGGAGCAAATAGAATATCTGAGTGTGAAGAATGAAGAACAGAAACACGATTATCAACACAGAATGGTGTAGTATCACCATCTGCTTCCAATGCTTGTCGCCATTTTTCACGGTCAACTGTGCAACGAGGGTAACCGAATCGTCTCTCATGGACCTTAAAAATTAAATTTAACTAAAAAATATAAAATAATAATACAAATTCCTCTAATTGAAGCAAATGTGAGATCATGTCCCTATACAAAGCATCAGAAATACTTGGACTTTGCTCAATTTTAACTTCTTCTTTGCCACCTCCCAACTCCTTAGGATTACTTGAACTAAAACCAAATAATTTTAAAGAAAGTGGTCGAACAGAATGACGATCCTTCCAAACATCCAAAAAATCATTCATCTCTTTTGTATAAATTTCTTTGAAAAAAGAAATATTTTCAGAAAGCTCAGATTCACGAAAACCACGAGGATTTAATGAATTCAATATCTAAAATATAATTTATTTTTAAAATATTATTTTTTAACCTTTTTAACAGCATCCCTTTCAATGTAATATAAAAGCCGACCACTTGAGGGATTATGCACAGGACAACCCTTTTTACTAGTACAAGCCATTAGAGGATCAACATCAGCAAAACCTTCGTCATCAATAACATCATTCTGATCTTTGTGTTCTTCCTGTTCAACAGTATTCAATTTCTCACCGTTAGATAACGACTCAGTACTTAAAACAAAATTAGTCTTATACCCCAAAATTCAAAATACCATTTATTAACATTATTGCTTCCTTCATTCACTAATGGCTTTTCATGTGCTTTGTTATTTTCTGACATGCCTGATACAGCCACTCCATAGGAATCAAGAATTTGAATGTCATCATCTTCGTCGGCCGATAACTGAGTTGGATTTGGAGTTGATTCTTCACATTTTCCACAATCTTCAATTGAAGGGCATTGAATTACAAAAGTTGAGCACATATACTTAAAGCAACAAAAAATAAATTATTCAAAAACATATATTTACATACATAATAGCTACGAAAAGCACGATCTCTACCAAGAAAGTATAAACCCATTTTGCCTAAAATAAGATTAAAGTAAAATTTAAATATATTTAACCATGTAATTCAAATATTTTTTGTAACAATTCTTGCACTCTATCAGAGTGAAAATTTCGTTGAACAGCTCTAAATTCAAGTACTTCAGTAATATTATCCATTTGTGCCCACGGCAATGGATTTTTTTCATCTAATAATCGTTCCTTAATCTCTGCAATATTTTGTATCCTACGGCCTCTAAAATAAAAATATATAATCTAAATAAAATAAAATTAAAAAATACTCATTCAATTGAACAAGAGCTCTGCGCAAATTTGCTAGTTGTTTAGATGTCGATTTTGATGCCTGCGACTTTTCGCCCTTAATAAAGATAATCAACTTGTTAAAATTTCTACTTCTTAATGCGTAAATCAAAGAAAAATATATCAGAGTCAAAAAATATTTAAATATTTTATAAAAAATGGTGAGATTATAAGTTATACACAACTCATTGTGTAGACATAAGACGCTACTACTATTAAATAAAAACAAACATTAATTACCGATTCAGAAGTTTTTTGTTGAGACAATAATTGGTATGCTTCGCGTGATTCCCTTTCATGCTTAAAATAAATGAATAAATATTTTGCTTATAAAAACTGACGCAAAAAATAAAGAAAAATACCTGTTGATCAATAGCCTTTAAATGTCTCAATTCACGCTTCAATTCATTCATCTCTTCCGTTCGTTTAGTAATAAGAGTCCGACATCGTCGATGACTAAGTAATTGATTGATTAAAACATTAAACAATTTAACACGTTGATGAGGATTTAAAGCATAAACACTTGACTAAAGTAAAATATTTAAAATAAAACATTCAAAGCAAACCTTTTTCAATAATTCCATTATTTCAGTTTCAGAATGAGAAAAAATATAACCATCATCCTCATAGCAATGCATAGAACCACGTAATTGACGACGATATTGAGTGTAATAACCTAAACAATTTAAGGCTTAAATGTTTAAAATTTAAGTCACCTGAAGTTTTCAAATGAAGTCGAATTATTTCAGTTATGTCTCTATTGTCACGAATTAAGGCACGAATATGTACTCCTATTTAGTTTTATAATTTTAAAAATTTAAAAACAAAATTAATAACCATGAATTCTTTTTTGACGTTCACATTCTTTATTGATTTTACGAATACGATCTCCATGAATAGGATGATCAAAATCTTTAACAGCTTCATTGCCAATGTGCTCAGGTTTTAACAAATCAGCTAAAAAATAAAATTTAATTTTGAACATAAACAATTACCAGGATCTCCTTCATCTTCTTCGATACTTTTATTCATTGCAGTCATTAACCAATCCAAAATTTGGTAAAATTGTGTATTCTCTGTTGTTTGACGGGAAACTAAAAATAAAGAATTTCAATAATACAGAGTAAAATAACCAATTGCAGTGGCAATATTTGCAAGAGTAAAAGGATTTTTCCCGTCATGAAAGAGTACTTCAGCAAAATTTTGAAAAAAGCTTTGAACTGACAAAATTTCCCAATATAGTTCACGAGGAACCCAATCTGGCCAACGTAGTTCTCTGAAGCCAGAAGGAAAGGGCTGAAAAAAGAGAAAATAGAGGGAGAAAAACAAATAGAAAAACCTGAAGATCATCGCAAAGTAGATCATCTCTAAAAATAAATGTAGTTACAAATAAAAGAAAAGGATAATTACTACCTTGGTTTTCGCCACTCAGCTAATAACTCTCTTTGTTTCCGACGCTGTTCAATTTGTTGTTTACGAAGTTCAGCCTTCTCAGCCGCTTTTTCAGCAGCTTTCGCTATTGCAATAGCATTTCTCAATTCTTGGATATCTTCATCCGAGAGTACTTGAAATGTTTGCCGCCAACGTTCGACATTCTCGACACCATGATTTTCGGCTGTTTCGAATAAGGGTCGAAGTTGCATTTGTTGCTCGATAATCTTAAAAGAAATAGAAAAACATATTTATTAAAAAACCCTTTTGCGGCGAATATCTGCTTTGCTGACTCCTGCCTTCTTCGTTAATTGCCCATTACTTGATGAAAGCTGTGCTGAAGTACTCGGACGTGAATAATTCTCCTCCATTAACATTTTCATTGTGGAGGGGAAAAGTTTGTCACTGTCAGAAAAAGAAGTATTTCGATCTTCTAAAAGAAGAAAATAAATTTTATAAGAAAATTTAGAAAAATAAACTTTGTTTTTTAAGTGAACGAGTTTGTGGAAACTTTGGAGGCG